AAAGCTGTAATCTGTAAGAGTTTCGTCTGCTATGTTTACATTTTGTTTGTTTATGTTTTGACTGCAACCGGTTGTACTTAGTAAAACAAGAAAATTACAGTATACAAACAGAGTAAACTTGTCTGTCTTCACTGTTCATCTTGCGGAGACATTATAGACACATCTTTACAGTCTTTTACCCTTTTCATTAAATAAGCTCTAGCAGACATAATAATATTATGGCTTTTGAAATTAGGTATTACAATGCTAATTCATAACAAAGACGATATCAAATTCGTCACTGAATTCCCATGTTTTTTGGGACACCCTGTATTAAAAAAAGGAGATAGTTAAGAGTTGAAGGGAGAGCACTAGAATTTCCATAGTAAGGGCTGGTTCATTCGGTGTACCGTCCCGTTTTGGCTGTACATGTACTGTACAGCTTGCTCTAGCTGGTTTGATGTCTGCCCAGTTCTTGAAATGAACCAGACTAATTAATTAATTAATTAATTAATTATCAGATAAGTTCTGTAATATCAAATGTTTTAAATGATAAACCATTAAAGCCGATATGATCTGGTTAACTGGGAGAAAAGGCATGCATTTAGTATACCATTCCCGGCTCGAATCTTCTGAGGGTTAAAATCTATAGAATAAAGTTCTCAAATGATAAAATGATTTGCAAAAGAAATAAACAAGTTTGAACCTGTCGGTAACCATGAATTTAAATAGAAAGCCTGACTTACTTCTATATACAGTCGTCTGCTTTATCCTAATTGTGGGTAACACTGTATGTAAGTTTTCGTAGAATCTAAAGGACGAATATGTACTAAAATATCGTCTTCTTCTTAAACTTGTTTTTAGGCTTTAACGAGGAATAATATTGCAATGAGTGCAATTCTGTCCAGCGGATCTCCAATAAATAAATTATAATACAATTAGGCCTTTACATCAAACAGGATATTTGTTCGAAAACTCTCAACATTATAAAAAAAAGGTTTTTAATGATGCATAAAAATCGGGATTAAAAGTTTACTTAAAATTTGCACTTTAAGTCGAATCTAACTATATAACCATCACATATCATATTAGTTTTTGTGAAATACTTGTTAACCGACTACTTTTTGTATAATAAAAGAACATAAGAAAAGCGGCGAAAAATTTTGGGCCACCGTATGACCTTATTTTTTTGGTATTTTTGAACTTATTTCCTTTTAAAGTCAAATTCGTTCTACTTAAAATTATTTTCCTGTTGTCCAGATTAAAAAAGATGTATTAGAGCAGAATTTCTTACGGCGTATTTGTAGCTTTAATCTTCCAATTCTCATACATCATTGCAATCAACTCTGGATTGTTCTCATATCTCGGAACGAGACCCTTCAGCTTATAACATTAACTCCACTAACTAATTAGTAATTAGACATTTTAACTTTAGTTTCCAGAGCTAGGAACTTTTAAATGGGATACCATTAGTCCCGACTGCTTAATCCGAATATCCCATGTGGCCACTTTTGATTTCTTGCTTTATCCACCCTTTTCTGGAAAAGAGACCTTCCCGTTTCTGTATACTAATCTGAAATGGCGCGCAAAATTTCAAATTTATAGGCTTCTGATACGCGACTTTGATTTGTTGAATTTTAAACACTTTTCAGGATACATGCACAAAATTTCGAGATTAAGAAAAAGAGAGAATCAAGCATTAATCTCGATATCAATCATTTTAAAGTTCCCAGCTCAGGATCTGTAAGATCTGAGGATCTTTATAAACTAATGTGTGTTCAGGGTGTTCAGTGACAAGATGTTATTCAGTGTGTTCAACCAGGAATTATCTTCAAACAATCGATCAATCACACGGAACTCTACATGCACAGTTTTCTACATTTAATCACATGTTCAAATCTATATAATTAATTGAGATTTTTAATGTATAACTATTTAAAGGCCAATTTTTATAAAGAATAACCTGATTTTGTTTTATAATGCAGAACCTGAGTCATGGTTAAAATGTTTTATAATTTAACATATATATAATATTTAGCCAAAATCTATATATTGTCTCGCCAAAGCCTAATGATGTCTAGCCTAAGCCTCGAAAAATCATTGTCTAAATGAGTTTTATCTTTCAAACTGATTTATTGTGTTTTCAGTTCACAGTTGAGTCCTGTATAAACTGCCTACCTGAAATATATACATAAGATTTAATAAGTGCAAATAGAGGTGAGCCGAAGAGAAAGAGTTCATGCTCGCTCTTATGTTTGTAGTTATTACCTGGTCTCCTATAGGTAAAAATGAGCACAGGATCTTTTTCTTTTTTGATCTCGATTTCAAAAGTATTTAGAAGACCTAGAATGGCAATTGGTGATCCTTATATTCTGATGAAAAAAAATACAATTTAATCCTGTTGAAAAATAGAATTTTCTTAATTGTGCATGGAGTTTATTCCACAAAAATGATAAAAGAAAAATAATAATTAATTCAAATTATTTAAAAAATATTTATAACTTTTAATATTGCGAGAAAATATAATCTTCTTTAACACTTTGAGAGTTTATTTTTACGCTCCAAATAAAATAGGCACGAAATTTCAAAAATTCTTTGAAAATCTCACTCATTTAAAAATCACCAAAAAATAATATTCCTTTTCAACTTTAAGAATTTGCAGTTTATCAAATACACAATAAACAGTGCAGTTCAGGGTCTACATGTAAGTATGTACACTGCACAATATAGCACAAAAATAAATAATATAAGATGTTACTCGTCAGTATATTTGTATGAAAATATACATATATTTACAGCATTTATAAAGATTTACAGTTGGTTAATATCGTATATGTTTGAATAGGCACTATTTCAAAACTTATAAATCATTATTTAGTTTAAACTGAAATATTGCGTCGAAGAAAATCCAGAAAACCACCGCGTGCGGAGAGAAAATCCAGAAAACCACCGCGTGTGGGGAGAAAATCCAGAAAACCACCGCGTGCGGGGAGGAAAAAATTAAATGATATACTTTGATATACTTGTTCATCTTCGGACATTGTTCGGAACATAAACATAAACATTAACGGAAGTAACAGTCAGGAAAAGACCGAACCACTACAGTTGATTTAATTGTATGGTGTACTGTGTTGTGAAACCAACTTTCCTGTTCTAAAGTACTGATACAGCAGTAGGCTGTACACTGTACAGCACACAGTGCAGTTTAGTAACGTCAACAAACAATTTCAAAGAAAAATACCCAAGGTCCAAATTATTTTGGATTGAGCTACACAATTTTAAAATCGGGTTTATTACACGGGAAATTTTGTATAAATCAGGACATGAAGATCTAATTTGCATATATTGATGTAGAGGTGTAGACTGTAGAACCAAGGTTCTCCAGCTCGGGGCATAGATAAATCTACAGGATTTTACTGAATTATTTAGAGACTTTGTTACGGATACAATTATTTTCTTGAAATCTAGGTTTAAATGAATTGATATTTTACTGCACTCAACAACGAGTCTCAAAATGATATTGAATATACATTTTGAAACAAGAATATTGGAGCAAGGATAATATTTGAAACCATTTAAAAATTTAGAACATGCGAATAGTTGAAATGTACAATGTACATTGTACTACTAGGGTAATGTGGAAAAGTCACTCTGCTGACTTCCAAATCCTTTTCTACAGAAATGATCTGTAGATTGCTAAGAATGTGGACAATGGACATATTAACGGTGGATTGTGTAAATCTCCGTGTAGAATCTACCGAGTCTGGACTAAAAAGATGGATTCTGTTGGAATCGGTCTGTGTAGAATCTGTTGGAATCGGTCTGTGTAGAATCTGTTGGAATCGGTCTGTGTAGAATCTGTTGGAATCGGTCTGTGTAGAATCTATTGTGCCTGGGCTGCAGAGCTAACTGTAGGAAGAGGTCCATCGTACTGGAATTGTATCAAGGAAAGCTCCGCCTCTCGAGCCTTCTGATTTATCAGGTTGTAGTAGTTCTGAAATATTCATAAGTGTAAATCGGAGAATATCCCAAACCCGTTTTCAATAACGTCATTTTCCCATGATAAAAAGAAAACAAAATTTTACTTACTGACTCAGATTTCAGCTGTCTAAGTAAAAGAGTAAGAGAAAAACAAAACTTTAGGGAAGAAAAAACTTGCTGATTGGTCCAATTTTTAAATCTTCTCCCTAATCTTCGAAAAAGCTTAAGATTATATTTCAATATACATTCTTAAATAAAAGGCTGTCTTTTGGTGTGCAACAAAATTATATCTGAGAAAAACTAGATTCAATGATAAACCAGTCAAGTAACCATCTCCAAATAGTTTAAGACCCCTGTTAACAGCATGGATCGTATTCGTAATACACAGAAACATAGAAATTAAGAGAAGGGTCTCTAAGATTACTTGTAAACTTGTAATTCGAAAAAAGCTTGTGAAAAATCAAAACTTCTATAAAAAAAAGTCTTCTTCGTTGTATTGATAAAATCACCTACCACTGTAGCAAATTGGAATATTTCTATAAGTAAGAAAAAAAATCCCTTTAATTTTAATTAAGTTTATACCTTAGGTGGAATATAGAAGCTGTCCCCCTTCTTTGCATTAAACTGAGTGGTGTGAAGAATAACAGTAATCTCTCCTTCAAGAACTACAAAAACCATTGTATTCTTGTCAGTACAACTCATCCCCTTAGTACTGTGCCCTTTTATCCTAAATTTGGAAACTAATTAACTATAATTAATTATATTAACACTAATTAATTAAAGTCAAATAATAAATTAATTGATAAAGGATAAACAATAGACATTATCAATGGTCTTCTCAACTAGACAATTACTTCTGAATATATACATTCAAGACTAAGAAAAAGGGGTTAAAATCATAAACACAATTTTTATATCCCCCTCCATAAAACAATATCAAAATTGCTAGTATCCTCCTCCCCCCCCCCCCAAAAAAAAGCTTCGTAATATAGGAAAATAACCCCTGTAGATCCATTTGAACCGAAGTAGCTAAACAACAGCTAATTAATTAGGATATAATTATATTGGAAGGAAAAACAAGATTATAATCGATGTATGTGGTCTTATAATATAATTAAAACTAATAAACCTAATTAACTTACTGTGTTCATGTAATGGACTGTCCATTGTAGTCTGATTTAGACTTTCCATAAAAATAATTTATATTTTTTGCCCTGTTTTAAAACCTTATTGTACAGTGGACCGCGACCTTTGTAGCTATCATATGGTATTTTTTTATTAACAATTTATTATTTGTGAAATTTTTATCATATAAATAAAATTCTGATTTGATTCTTTTTCTTGTCATTGTTTCTCTTCCTTTCTTCTTTTCTTTCTGTTGACTGTCCCTGATTCTGATAATTTTGAAAGAAAAGAAAAATTTGTCTAGACCAGTATGTTTCGGGACACTCTGCTCCATTGTAGTTGTAGTAGTTTTCAGTTTTATTGCCTAACTCAAGAATACCTGACTTGACAAGTTGATTTAAGGTTAATGCAGTGCTATTTCAGCTTCGACACATGCTTCTGATATATTTTCTGAAATGGAGGGGGACGTCTCCCAGCCCGATCTCAAATGATTTCTCCATTCCCTAACGGGAAAAATTGATGGCGTAGAGCTTATTATCAGAGAGTTCCCTACCATTTTTCCAGTTCAATTTATTTTTTCTCCTCGTTCCTTGTTTCTATGTTTCTGCAATTTTACTTTGAGTTCCATATCTAATTCCTAGTGGTCTTACAAATGAAGGCCACAACATTTGTCCACTGAGAAATAAATTCCAAATGCTGTGTGTGACAAATAGGTAGGGTTGAGGTGTAGGAGTTAGAAGTTTGGATAGGTCAGGAAGGGAGGGTATCGAGGGACTCCCATAGCATTAAAAATCCCTACTTTCCTCTGAAGTACCCACTCTGCAGAATTTAATGTTTTTTCCCATTGGTTTGCACCACATTACAAAATGGGAAGTTGTTGGGTTTGTGGCTCAGAATGTGGCATTTTCGACAGTAGTCCATTCTTCATAGTCGGCCGGGTATTGCAGCCGGTAGAGAAAAAAAAACCGCCATCATATTGCATGGTTGGCAGCCTCTCAGGATTCTTCTTTCTGTGTTTCTATTTTTCTTGTTTCTTGCGAGCTGTACTATATTTCCTTAATTTGTTTTTAAAGTGTGGTGCCGCCATTTTAGTTCTGCACAGCGCTCTTCAGCTGAATAGAGGCTCCGGCTACTAAGAGCCGAGCACTGAATTTCTCTGACCTAACCATGCTGATGCCTGTCCTCAACATATGGTAAAATAAACTATTGCAAGCTAATACTATATGAGACCTTAAAAGTTAAAAAAGGAAGAACCTGAGGAAAGAGAGTAAATGGTATGGAGGTCTGAGAGCTCTGGCGTACTGTACTGCGTCAGGGGTCATACCGTCCCTCTCCTTGCCAATATTCACCCATCTAAACATATCAAATATGTATTGTACACTAAAAACCTTTAATTTTTTATTTTATGTAACCTTTAAATTTTTTTTTAAAAATCTGCATTCTTGATATTTCCCGCCGTAGTAAGTTTAAATAATAATAAAAAAAAAAACAATATTAAAAGTCAACCTTTAATCAGTGGAAATCAGGTTTGAGCTCTGGCAATATTATACATTACAATAAGAATCATAAACCTATGGAATTAATGTGACGTATCTGTTCTTCCATTTACTAAAATTTATTATGTCGCTGTAATTTGGTGATTTGGAATATGCAACTGATAAATCTAAAACTTTTATAATTGAAAATAAGAAAATTTTTTTAGCAACAATTTAGAAAAAAACAGACTGTCATAAAGTCCATACGAAGTCAAAAATGCTGGAAACCTGAACATCTTTAAACTACTAAAAGGCCAATGAGTTAGAAAAGTGATGTTTTATATTATCACACCTGTGATATATAAACATTAACACACCAATTAACCCAATAAATCTACCTGTGGTCATCGTAGGGCGCGAAGCACTCAACAACAACTTCCTTCTGTGTCGTTGTATCAGACACACAGCTAACAGACCTCTGCTGACCTGAGCAAACAGAATACTTTAAAGTTAGGCCAAAATTTTTCAGTTTTCAAAAAACACGTCATTGTTAACAATACACAGGATTCGACATCTTATACGTGTTTAGCGGGCAAAGATTTTTTTGTTTCAGTCTCGGTTGATACGTGGATCCGAGAACCAGCTAAAATGTTGAACGCTAAAATGTTACGAATCCATTTAATCGGGATCAATAATGCCGTTTTTTTGTCACTGTCAGGAAACAATTTTAGAATAAATCGGTTCACGCTTTTCAAAGTTTACCTGCAGGAACGCCTGCGGCGAGTGCTGCTGAAACAGCGGCGGCATTTCTGCTTGATACTGTGGTCTTCTCAGGAGATCCTTTACTCTTCTTCTTTCCAACCTTAATAACAATTTATTAAATTATATTGAAAAAACTGGAAAAAAATAAAAAAAAAAATTTTGAACTTAGAAAAAAATTAAATTTGTTTAGTCTCTGTTTTTGCTATATAGGATTTCGTATGACGTTATAGTTCATTAAATTGTTCACTTAAATCATTAAGGACATTCTCCTTTATAATTATAATTCTAATAAAGGTCAATTTAAATGCATTAATGCGTTAAATTTCAATTCCTTGAGACAGATATTCACTTAATGATTAACCATAATCAAATCAAGGTATTCATACAGCTCAACCAAGGTTTCACGTCCTATTTAAGGACAGAGGTGGATATTTTCTTGAAAAATCATTTCTCCCCCCCCCCTCTCTTCTAAAATCATTTCTCTTCTCTCTTTGAAGATAATCACTTCCCCCCCCCAATAAAAAAAAATTGGCTGTAATTTATTGCTAGGGAGAAAGGTACTCAAATTTTTAATTTTTCTAGCTCATTAAAAATCTTTTTCCTTCAATTCAATCAATGTCACCTACTCTTTTTCCTGAACTCTGAACAATCCCTTTGAGATAATTAAGAAAAATGTATTGACCTGGTCGGTATCACTCTGTTCTGCCATGCTATCATCACCAGACTAGAATTATAAGAATATATCCTTCACTACCGGACAAAAAAAATTCATTATGTTTTATCTGGTATTTTTACTCAAAAAATTTGAAGATTTCTCCAAAAAAATTTATGGCAAAATTTTTGTAGTAGGGAATTGTTTAACATTTATAATACAGAAGATTTGGAGTCACGGAAGTTCGTAGTAAGATTTTGACTCCACTGGAGACCACCGGAGGGAATTCTTTTTCACTGGAGGGGTTTGAAAAAATGCTTTTTACACTGAATCCCTCCAGTGGAATTATAAACCCCTTGGAAGGATAACTGAATCCTCCAGTGGAATTATAAACCCCCAGGAAGAATATCTGAATCCCTCCAGTGGAATTGAAAAACCCCTAGGAAAGATATCTGAATCCCTCCAGTAGAATTATAAACCCCTTGGGAGGATAACTGAATCCCTCCAGTGGAATTATAGACCCCCAGGAAGGATATCTGAATCCCTCCAGTGGAATTATAAACCCCTAGGAAAGATATCTGAATCCCTCCATTGGAATTATAAACCCCTAGGAAAGATATCTGAATCCCTCCAGTGGAATTATAAACCCCTTGGGAGGATAACTGAATCCCTCCAGTGGAATTATAAACCCCCAGGAAGGATATCTGAATCCCTCCAGTGGGATTATAAACCCCTAGGAAAGATATCTGAATCCCTCCAGTGGAATGTAAATCACCCTGCGTAAAGATTTAAATTGTAAAAAGCATTTTTTCAAACCCCTCCAGTGAAAATGAAATCCCTCCGGTGGTCTCCAGTAGAATCGAAATCTTACTACGAACTTCTTTGAGTCGAAGATTTGGACATTTTTGAGTATTAATTTTCTATTTTTTAACGCCCCACTATGCTTGTTTTTTACCTGGCTACTTTTAGGTTTCTTGGCAGGGTTTGGAGTTCCTGTACTATCCTCCTTCCTTTTCCTTCCTCTTTTCTTCTTTTCTGATACAACCTTCTCATCCCCTTCCTCCACCTTCTCCTCCGTCTTCACCTCCGTCTTCTCCTCTACATTCTTCTCACCATCAACCTCCATGGACACATCTACCCTGAATCGACAAAAAATGATTAAGATTTTTAAGAATTATTATTATACAAATTTTTCAATTTTTATCTGAGAAACATATGCTTACTATAAATAAAGATTTAAGAACAATTAAGTTAAGTTAATGAATCAGTATATAACTTTTTCTCAAAATTTATTGAATATGTAACTGTAAGGGGTGTAACTCCCCCCTCCACCTCCCGGTTATTATATAGCTTAAACCTTAAAGGGAGTGTTTGCGAAAAATGAAAGGGGGAATAGGCTTAATGCGATAAAAAGCGCTTTTGATCGCTACTAATCTTACTTCTATCTGTTGCGTCTATAAGGGAAAAATTGTTAAAAACGACTCACACCGAAGAACGCAGCGTCCATACATTTCATTTTTCGCGAACACTCCCTTTAAACTCAAATATTTTCAGGTCAAACAACCTCTTAATAACGTAGGGAGGAAAAAATTATATTTGAAGGTTGGTGACTGGTGGGGGTAATGTTCCAAGAAAACAATGATCTTCGTAAATAGTTCCGTAAAAATAACCCCTCTTTCCCTCATTTTTAGTAATGATGACGTTAACATTTGCATGTGAAAAGATGAATTTTTCAAGCTTTCTGACTTCTTTTAATGCAATTATTCTATTTAACAAATCAGATGAATTAACATTCCTCTAGCTAGAAAATATACCTTTTAGAGGTTTCTGGTTTTGTGACTTGCTTCTTGGTGGATTTAGGGGGAACTGGGCTTTCCACGGATCTAGGAGCCTAAACAATATTACATTTTAAACCGAGTTGACAAGGACTGAACATTGCGTTGTAATTTTTTTGCAGGAAAATAAAAAAAGGAAAATTAAATTTGTTAAGATATTAGGATATTATTTCATCAAGCTGTATGGATTTGAATTTATCATGATAAAGAAAGAGTGGCATAAAGGATAAGTGGGATAAAATGGGATAAAGGATGAGAATAGCTAAAAGTTATTGAATTAGGTATGGAGACTGGAGAGTGTTCTAGAGAGTAATCGAACTAGGTACGGATCACCGGAGGAGTATTCTGGAGAAGTCGAACTAGGTACAGATAGTTGAATCACTGGCAAAAGTGCTCTATAAAAGTAGCAGAGAATCGGCTATACATAGTTGAACAACAGTATACCTTCCTTTTAAGAAAATCCGACCGCGTGGGATCGTGAGATCGTAAGATAATGAGATCATTAAATCAGGAATATTTTAGGACATCAGAACATTAGGATTAAAGGATACCAGGACGTCAATTTATCAGAGAACAAGAATACAATAGTACAGGGTGGAAAATGATTGTTATATGAATGAAAAATATTCAAATGAAAGCAGAGGTGCAAGTTAAGTATTATTATTATTATCAGATAACCCTGCATTCGCTGAAATAGGGGACGGCGCTCCAAGCCGCCGAAACGTATCCATGGGTTAAATTGTGAAATTACCTTTTTGCCTGGAGTTTCTACACTTCCAGTGCTACTCATGCTCCCTCGTCGTCTGGAATCAATCAATCAATATCAGACATTTTACAAGAATGTAGATGTAATTTCAAGTGACTTTTAAAATATAAAGTGGCATGTACTATACACAAGGTACCCTAGAATCATTTAAATTTCGTAGTTTTCTTTATAAAGGAAAAATCACTTCTTTTAAATAAATAAATAAAAGGTCATCCAAATAAATCGCCAACAAAAAAAAACTATTGTAACATTCCCTGAAGCCCGAGACAAGTGTAATCTTAAACGATTTGAACCTTCCTGTCCAAAAACTACAAGTCTGCTAAAATATTAGTGTCATTTTATAAAATGTGGGTCCAATTGTTGGGATTTTAATACAAAGGAGAAGTCCGGTTGTTTATTTACATTGAAGTTCGGGGTTCAGGTGTGAGTAGATCCGATTGTTTACTTACACTTTAGTTCCGGGTTCAGGGGTGAGTAGTTCCGGTTGTTTACTTCTTCTCCTTGAAGGTAGATTGGTGAGGTCTCCCCAGTACTTACCACAAAGTCCTTTAAGAGTTAATAAGTTAAACAGGGTGTACATATATAAATATACTTACCCCCCCCCCCGCCCTGATCTGGACCGGAGCGTGGGGAAAAGTCAACATTCAACACCTGACCAAACAGAAAAGAACAATAAAGTGGAATGAAAAGGTGTGAAAGAAGAAAAATACGTTTTCGCCGCAAACCAGAAAAAAAGAAGGAAATTCAGTTTAAGATCTCCTTTTTTTCTTTTCTTTTCTTTCTTCACAAGTAAATATTCCCAGAGGGAACTAATAAAATCTATATCTGTTAATGTGACAGGAGCTTTATAAAACGAATACTATTATGTAACAAAAACAAGAACTTTTAAATAAAATTCAGTAGAAAAAATTCTATTAATTGAAACGCCTTGATATTGGTTTAAAAAGGTCAAACCTGTGTCTTTTACACCTTCAACAACGATAAGATATTCTTCATCTCCTTTCTTCACGGTTTGAGGAACATAGCCTAAAACAAGATTAACATATTACAAAACGAATAAAACGAAAAAAATTATTTAGCAGATTTTCTTTTCTATGTGCTTATTGATAAGTACAACGTTATCATCTATAGGAGTAGAATTTATCTGACCGAACAAATACCAACACTTAAACCATGCCAGTCTTTTCAGAGTGAAATTACAAAAAAAAAAGATTTTAAAAGCAGCAGGAAATAATTTACAGAGTTCATTACCGGGTTTTTATTTTAATTATTACGGGGAAGAGAGGGAGACCTAACTTCTTTAAATTACGTAATTTAAATTTATTTCCATACATCGTGTTTTAATGAATATAAAGTTTATTATACGGTATTTTTTAACATTGATTTGAATGCGTAGAACGCGAACCATGAATTCCTTACGCGAAGAAAGAAAAACGCAAATTTGTTGTTGTTTTTAAACTCACCTGGTGTAAACTTTTCAGGATCAAACACCGGCAGTTCTTCGTCTTTAGGAGGCGATGCTTCACGCTGGGGTAGAATAGAAGATCTAGTTTATTTGTGGGGTCTCAGGGGCCGATTAATATGTTTAAACAGGGGCTAGTTGATTTAAGGGGTCTCAGGGGCCGATTAATATGTTTAAACAGGGGCTAGTTGATTTAAGGGGTCTCAGGGGCCGATTGATATGATTAATCAGGGGCTAGTTGATTTATGGGGTCTCACGGGCCGATTAATATTTATAAATAGGGGCGGCTAGATGATTTGTTGTGTCTCTCGGGATGTTTCGTAACAGGACTTGTCTTCTTGATTTGGGGGGTCTTGGATCTAAGGGCGGATTATTTTTTCAGGGGTTAATTATTGTAAGCATATAGAATACGTTTGGTGGTTAAAAACAAAGGGGAGGGGAGGCTTCGTTTTTATAAGCAAGAGTGATTGTTTTCTTTAAAAATACTAATTGCTTTAGTTTTGTCACTCGTGTTGATAAATTGGCGCCTGGGGTCCCTAAACCTTTTAACAGATTTTCTGGTTCCAACCTCGGGTTCTACTTCAGTCTCGAGATCAGCCTCCTTGGAAACAACAGCCTCCACAGGCTAAGGTACAAGAATAGAAGTTCTGAATTATCTAGTGAAGGCTGGAACATATGTAACAATAATTAAAATGTTTGATCCATGAAAAATTAATTAAATTATTCTAGAAAATATTTGCCTTGCAGTAATGAATATTTAATATTATCAATCAATTTATCAATAAATCGTTCAACCAACTTATCAATCATATTTGTGTACCTGAGTAAGAGCTGGGGTGGCGGGTGTGGCTGGGTTGGATGGAACAACCTTCTTCTTGGCCGGGGTTTTCTTCTCCATCTTCTCCTGCTTCTCCAGGGTCTTCTACAGCATACACAACAATAATATAAAGAGATATGTATCAGGGGTGTAAATTGCAAGAATTACGGGGGGGGCGGGGGGATTTTTAGTGAATTAGGAACAAAAATTAAAAATGGGAGATCAACACTCAACAGTCAACAGGCAAGTTTTAACATTCTTTTTGATACTTTTTACCCTAAAAATCATTTATTTTCCCATATATAACTTATGTGGAAATAAATAATCTTTTAAGGGAGGGGGATGATTTTAGGAAAATATACTGGTATGTATTGAAAATCTGAGGAATGGTAATGATTTTCGACCATTTAGGGGAAACAAATAATAAAAAATAATAATTTTAATCCTTTTTTTACTTTTAACCCACCAAACAAAATAATACTAAGAAACTAAAAAGAATATTTCAAGCAATTGCTTTCAATTATTGTTTTCTTTTTTACTGAGAGTTGGGAACTTTAAAATGGAAAACCTATAATCCCGACTACTTAATCCGAATATCCACTGTGGAAACTTTTCATTTTAGTCCTTAATCCACTCTTTTCTCTCTCTTTGGATATCCTTAAATTATTTTCTCCAATGAGAGTGCAGAAATATAGTTCGTAAATTGTATTGACCAATGACAGCCCTGAAAATAAAATCTATCCCATGAGAGAAATCCGCAATTTCAAACAAAAAAGAATATGTTGTCGGCCATTTTGTAAAATAATCGGTGAAGAAAGATATTTAATAATACGTTTCAGATTATTTTTTGACCATTTTTAACTAATTTCTTAAATAAATGGGGGAGAAATTAAGTAAAGGCCCTTCCAGTCAAGCATTAATCCTGATATCCACCATTCTAAAGTTCCCAGCTCAGAGAAAATTATTAAAGCGGATTAAGTTATCTTAATCCAATTTTAAAAATTGGTTTTTTAAAAAACTTTTTTCTTACCGCAGCAGATTTTAGCCAACTGGGGTTGAGGTTGGGTTTGGCAGGTAACTAAAATTAATTATCAAAATCTAAATAACTGATTTTGTAAAATAATCTAAGTTAAATGTGAGAATACTTAAGTTTATATAGATATTAGATATGGGTTTACGTACTCATTTTATTTTCCCGGACAGTTGTTCATTTTTCAATTATGAGTTACTGGAAATATGTACGGCCCCCCCCCCCCACCCCACCTCCCAGTTCCTAATGGCATCCACGGAATATTTCAGGATCCCCCATATCTGTGTACTGCAGTGGGAGGAGATCAAAACAAAGAATTCAGGGGCAACGCATCAGTTTTGAGGGAAAGGGCCCAAGGGGTGGAATAAGAATATATTGCTATTGTATTTTCCATATTGATCAGAAAGCCAAAAATCTTAAGTATTCGCTCTAACTTGATAAATTAACTTGATTTTGTTGGACTGTAATATTACATCAGAGCTTTAGTCCTTTCCCTTCAACTTCTGTGGGGACACGGTGTACCGTGCACAATTTGCATGTATCTGAGTTAGGCGTTCCTGTATATAGTTCCTTGATTACATCTATTTACTTTGAATATATCAGTGTAACAAACTTAAATTTGGATGTAAATATCATGTTTTCATCTTTGATAATTTTTTTCCTTTTTTGGAATCTCGACCTCTTCGTCCTCACGTTCAAGTCGAGGATTTCGGCCTTTTCCTGGTCTCGCAGATTTCCGGGCAGCCTCTTCTTTCTTTTCCTTTTCTCCCTGTTCATTAAAATATTAATAGGACATATTCTAGAATTCGTTTTTGTCATTCTAAATCATTCTTTAAAAATTATTTCAATTTTTTAGACAAAAGGGCTCGTTTTCTCTCGACTGAGAGCAATAACTTAATTTTTAGATGAAAATTCTTTAATGAAGTAGTCGGCATACATATCAATACAGTGTCGGTTAAGGAAATGGTGATATAATACAATTTCAGTACCTGATAATAATTGTTTCTCAACTCGTTTATTATGAAGTATTTCAAATTTTCAGAACCGGAAACTATATTGAAAATATTTGTATTATATGACCATTTCAGTTAACAAATTTGTACTAATAAATATGCTGACCACGATTTTTCAGGTTTAAATGGCAGTGTATGAGCTCCATTCGTGATATAATGTTCAGATTACAAAATGTTGATTTCTTATTAATAAAATCTCAAACTGTATTCACAATCAATTACATTTACGTAAAAAGTATTAAAGGGGAATCAAGAGTCCTGAATTTTTTACTTGAAGATTAAACTTATTGGATTCCGTAAAAAACTCAAATCATTTAAAAATGATCAGTATGAATTGGGTTAAAACCGAAATCAAAAACAAACTTAGAAAAAAAAAAATACAAAGTGCAGTATAAATCTTTTATCTTATTGTTAGTACTAAATGAAAACAAAACAAAATCTTGTTAGTATTTCACACTCTGTAAACACCCGCCTACCTGCCATGAAGTTTTGCATGTATATACAGGGTAACCCAAAAAGGATGAGACCGCAAATACGACCTGACACTTCCCCGAAATTAGATGTGTTGGCGCGGGGCGGAAATTTTGCTGTGATCGAGAAATTATCGCTGAATTGGGGAAATAAATGATTTTTGGGGAGAAATAACATGCATTAAGTACAAAAAAATCTTTAAAAATATTCTTAAAAGTAACATCTTCAGTCTGTAATATATTCTTTTAATGGCTAATTTAATGATTTTCTAATGAAGACACAAGGTTACAGTCACATATAATTGTAAATGGAAACAGTCACATAAATTCTGTGTACTCGTCCCTGAAGTCTCATCCTTTGAAGGTAACCCTGTACTTCATGTGTACATTAATGAACTTCCCGTCCTAACCATCTACCCATCTATATATCAGCCCAATGCTAGAATCTTTCCCGTATAGGAGTTTAAATCTTTTAGCTAGCCGGCAACACTCAACAATCCATCTTTTAAAAGCAGGATGTTTAATCAAGGGTTAATCTTGGTTAATATTAAACAGTTTACAACCATTACACCTACATGATATAGCCAGCAAAAATATCTACCACAAAAAAATATGTTAACGCCTAAATTTCCACAACTAACAAAAATTGAGTGGATCTTGTAGGCTTTAATTTCTCCTTAAAAGTTCAAAGATTTCTTCCCAGGAGATTTCTTTTCACTGAATATTAAACTTTAAAATCTCAGTTTGACTAATCGCCATTTTATATAATCTTCCCTAGGTTCTATTGTGCTTATTCTCACGAAATGTAACACCTGCAAGTTTAGACCATTTTTTAAGCAAAAGCATATATAATTCCCGTGTCAACCTACTTTCCCCTACCTACATGTGCAATTTGTGCATTGGAATTAAACTAAATATGCTTAAATCTGATATTGGATTTTTACAGAAAAAAGGATATTTTAGTCAAATTTAGTTTCCTGATAACGTGATCTAGTGCTACCCTCTCCGACCTGAAATATCTAAAAGACCAAAACAACCACGAGAATTGAGCGATCTTATCCGAAATTAAAGAAAGAGGATCGGACAATAAATTAAAAGATTTCGGATAAAAAAGCTGAATTCATATAAACCCAGGACATTTGTTTATCTACCTTCTCATCAGGTTTGTGAATGCCGAAATCCAAATCCTAATAATCCAAAAATAAATAAAATAAATGTGACGGTGAAAATTAAATTAACGCCATTTAATGATTCCAAGGGGTAATATGTTTTTAGATTACAATTTCAAACAAACAATCCTTTTAGAGTGGTTACAATGATAAAATGTAAGTTCTTCTCAACCCCCCCCCCCCCCCCCCCCCCCGTTATTTATGGAATGAATCTAAGAACATACACCCCTGATAAAGATTACAAATGTGTTTTTACCTCGTCATCTGAAGTAAGAGGTGGCGGTGAATCCTGCCCTCCTGGTCCTGTATAGAAGTACATATTGTTCCCTAGCTTAGTCACATTATCAACCTTCTCGTCCAGGTCCTTCTTCTTAGGTCGTCCCTTCCTCGCCTTCTTAGATGAGTCCTCGTCACCGGACTGCTCGGGCTCTGGAATCAAAATAGATTGTTGAAGAATTTGGCTTGAAGCCCCATTGTCCCCAAAAATGATGGAAACCAGGTCCTCTTTACTTTTACCTTTCCCGGATTTTTTCGGTGTAGCTTTTACAGGTTTTTTCTGATCATCTGGGCCAGATGTAGCAATTTCCTTCGCGATGGCTTCTACACTTTCCTCTTCAAGGCTTTCAGACTCCAATACCTTCTCCGTTGGTTTGACCTTACGACCAGATTTACGGGGTGAAGAATCGTCTTTGTTTTCAACTTCTGCGTCAGTTTTCTCAGTTTCAACCGCCATATTAGTTTCCGGCATGGTTTCCTCTTTTTTCTCTAGTTCCGGTTCGTCAGTTTCCCACTCGGAAGCAAGTTCCTTCGCAGATTTCTTTTCCTCTACCGCTGCTTGGGCAACTTCCGGTTGTTTTGGGGCTTCTGTCTCTTCCCCTTCTGGTTCTTCCGCGCTGTCGATTAAACTAGCGACAGTTGTTAACCCTGGATCCTCCTTAAACATTGAGAAAAATTAGGGAAATTAATTAATAACTTCGTTATGTTCACAGTTTACCACTGTTCCATTTGTTCCCATCGTCCAAATCTACCAACAAACAAATATACATTTAACAACATTCCAAATACCTTTAGTTACAGCCACTTGAGAAACAGAAGCCGTAAATCAATATTTTTAATTATTTGTAATGAATCAGACATAGAACATTTTTTTTTCACAGATTTTCAAATTATTCTTAAAAGCTTCAGATTGATAAGTTTAAATCTCTATACCTGGAGAAGCTCTGCAGGAAGCTGTTCTGTTGGCTGCTGGATATTTAAACTGCTTTGGTCTCCAGCCGGAGCTTTAGTTTCCTCTGGTTCAGCTGGAGTCTGCTCTTCGGTCGGTTCACTTGACCCTCCGTTGGTTAATTTAGCATCGCCATTGGTATCAGGGTGTTTCTCAACCTAAACATAAATAATAAAGTTTGCAAAAATTTGGTTTTCTAGATCGGATGAGGGGGGAGGTAAGCCGCACCCGTAAATACTCCATCCTGCAATTTACTCACAATCATAGAGTTGCGGCAATGCGCTCACCCGTAGTGCTTTCTAGATTTCTATATATCCTCCGGTATAATGTCATTACTTTTAAATGCTTATTATAGAGAAATGTAGTGTTAATTTAAGATTTTAAAGACGATATGGCATCTATCTTAACCAAAACATAGTAATCATATTGGTTTTGGTAATATGAGTAAACATTCTAGCTCCCTAAAATACAATATTTTTTACATGCCTGCTAAGTTGATCGTTTCTAAAAATGTTTTGAAGGTAAGGAGAAGTTCAATTCTTACCAGAAATTATACAGTTTTGCGTGCGATTCGGTTTAAAATTTTCTAAATCTATCTATCGATCTATCTAAATATCTCTATCTGATTTTAGATAATTGTAATAGAAAAAATTGTAATTTACATTTTTTAATATAATATATCTAAAACCTTACTTATCAATTTGCGTATCATATATCAATATTTAGAAGTGTCAAAATCTAAAGTTCCATACCCAGGCAAAATATTGCCCCGGTTGTGAATTAACGTTACACCGGATCCAGTTCGAATTTAATCCTGCGCACTTAATATAAGTAACAAGTATATTGTATGATGCATAATGTGTAGTTTGCAATTAATTTTAAATGAAGCATAATGTTCAATAAAGTAGAAAGCAAGTGTATATTTATATCAAGGCAGTGTTTCGGATCCGGATCCGGATCCGGTCGGATCCGTATCATTTGGTCGGATCCGGATCCGGATCCGGATCCGTATCAGGAAACGTTGATATGGATCCGGGTAGCGCCAAAAATTAACCAAAACCATGGAATAAATAAATCAAAATGGTTCGTAAATGTATTATTTACATGACGAAAATTTTTCAAAATTATCTTTAATAATTTAATGTTTACATTTATATAATAGTAATGACGACATTTTTAACTTTAGGATTACTATAGTTTATAAATTATAACCTTGCATAACATTTAATAGGGAAAATCCGATTCACAGAATCAAAAGTTACCTCGGATCCGGATCCGGATCCGGATCCGAATCAAAATGATATGGATCCGAAACACTGTATCAAGGTATAACTTATAAAATCTGATTTAAATTAAATATGCATAATCCGAAAAACATGAAAGAGGAGTATAAAATGAACTTCAAAAGGCAAAAGTTATCACCCTTTTTTGATACTTTTCACCCCAAAATTAATTTATTTTCCCCAGAAAATTATTCAGAGAGAATAATAAATTTCAACTGAAAAGATATCGAGTTCTTATTTCGGACCGGAGCATTTTTCTTACCTCGATATGGCCGTTAGTCTTAGGTACTGACTGAATAACAGAAACTGGAGCAGATTTAACAATACTAAAAACATATTTAGAATTGTAATTTTTACATTTAATTCATGATCATTAACAATTAACTTAATCTAATCTAACAGAAAAAAAACTTGTGGCCGAATTTAAAGAATTTCAGGGGCGGTTTAAATTTAAACCGCGGCTTAAATATGGTTGGTTCCACTTAAAATTGTATCAAAAGATTTAAGCCGGCGCTTAACTTAAACCGGGTTTTGGCAGATTTAAACCGCGGCTCAAATTCTTTAAATTCCATCTCAGGAAATTATGTTTATAATTAAACAAGTAAATAAATACGAAATGTCTAAACTCAAATTTTAAAAGAATGAACAAGTATTTTACCGCCTTTTGACCAACATTACCGACCTAAGATTTCCCCAACAGATTAAGTTACTCAACGTCCTTTGGGACAATTAAGTAAAATAACGACCCGCTCTCAGAAGTTTTTGTAAAAAAAATTCTCGCATTTGCACTCTAAAGACTATAAAATTGTAAAAAACTATTTTTTCGAGACCTAAAAAAATTATATCTAACCACGGTCTCTCACGACCAATTTTGCTTACATCCCTAGCTGCGCTCTGAATGGTTTGTAGGCAAAATTGGTCTTGGAAACCCTAGGTAAAGTAAAATTCCCTAACTAGCCTGTGAAGTAATTTAAAAATAATTATTACCTCGGGGTCTCAGGAGCAGCAGACCCAGACGCTGATTTGATTGACTCAGTCTGAAATGAATACAACATTAAGTAAGCATTTTAGAAAATAAGGAAAGGCCCAAAAAAAAGTAAAAGAAGATCGTTGGAACAATGCCTAAATGAAGAAAATAAATGAGGAAGAAAGAAACATGATCGAAATAGAAGAAATCAATAAAACGGAAATATAAATCTAGAAAATGAACAAGCTATTGATTAAAATATTAAAATAAAATTTGTGTGAAGTAATCAAATTTAACTATAGAAATCGGTTTAATAATAAAAATGAGGGATGTAGATAAAGATTGAAATTAAACTCTTAATAAAATACAACTAGAACAATGCAGGTTTCATATTTCATGCAAAGTACAACAGTTTTACCAACAAGACAATAAAATTCATATGAGACCTAGCGGCATTAAAACCAAACCAAAATGGTTAATAAAATATTGAAAAAGGTAAAATTAGAAGTTCATTTTTTTGAAAATACGCATTCATTGCATGCAGACAAGGTGGAAATTTTACACTAATTAAAATTCAATTATAAAAATTGAGATTTTGCAAAAATATTCTTATTTTTATTTCAATGGAAGAAAAAAACGCATCAATATGTCTGAAAACTAAATGTTGAGCCCAACTTTATACCAAATAAAAACCTGAAAACAAACCTGGAGGTCTGCAGAGCTTTCCACAGTTTCTAAACCTTCCATGCCTTAGCAGCTAAGATTCTTTGTCAAGATAAAAAATGTCGAGAAACCCCAAAGTTGATTTTCACACAAATATAAACGGATTAAAAATAATAAGTCAATATTTCATTTTAAAAAGAATCCTCTACCTATGTGTTTCCTTATCAACAATTAATAAAAAATATCTGAAATGATGAGATAATGGAACAAATTTGAATGTACAGCTTTAACATTGATAAAAAAGGTAATGGGTGCATTTTTCCAAGCTAAGCAGTATACAAAGCGCTGATTAAATGTCAGAAAAGTTTCATTCCAAAATGTTTAGACCATGTTAATTTAGTGTCTATGTACATGGTACAAGCATAGTTAAACGTACTTTAGTTGCCCAGAAACAGAGGAAATTGAAGCTTTCATTGTAAAAATAAAAATAGCCATTTTAGTAGGTTAGAAAAACAAGAAGCGCAAAAAAATTAAGTTTCATGATCTTACGGCATGTGCAATGGGTGTTCTCCATGCAAAATTAAGCTAACTAAGTCTACATAACCTACACCAAATCCAAGAAGTTAAAAAAAAAAAAAGATTTTGAATATACTGAAGGATTTAAAATGTCCACATTATGTACATGTGCTTTGTCATATTGGACTAATTTCACCAATTTATAATTTTGAAAAAATGCCCCACAGTTTATTTTAAAGTTTTGATTATAGATATAAATATTTGAGACGCAAAATTAATTCAACTTTTTCCCAAGCAGTGATTTTTCTTTGTTTCTCCGAGCGTTGCACTCCTGGAGTTTGATTTGTCTAATACTGACAGTTATCGTGCATGCCAAGTTGTCAGAGTTAATTTAAAAATATGATTATTAATTTTTTTTAAATTTCACACCAAGATATGTAGTACTTTATCTAATGTGTGTTTTAAAAAAATATGCATTTACTAAATCTAAGTTTTAATCTCTACACGAAATGTAAATTTAAGTTAATTTGATATTTTATTCCTAAAAAAATCTAAATTCCACAAATCACCCAATTATATAAGACTTCAAACAACTTAACAAATAACTAGTTTTCATTCACATGCTGGCCACACTTTCTGCACCTAATTGTTAGATAGTTAACACTACACAACTCAAACCCTTGTCATTTCTAAACCACCAAATTAAATATTCAAAATAATATTCAAAATACACAACTGTGTTAACAACTATCCTTGATCCTGGTTTAGGCCTGCCCTGCGAATCCTCGCTCCATGATCTAGATCTACTAGACCCATTCTTAATATTACCAGCTTTACTGGAGCTAGGATAAGTGTCATCGGAAATAACAGTAACATTTTGTTTCTCTTCCTCTTCAGAATTTCCTTTCTTATTTGACGGTAAAGCATTTGATTGCTTAGATGATGACTTCCCCATTGATTTCCCCTGCATCTTGTTATCAGACTCTTCAGAAATTGCTAGATCTTTCAAGTCTTTTTTGTTCTTTTTTATGGGCAGCTCAACATCTCCCTGTGAAATTATTTGTCTCTGTCAAGTTGTTTAATAATTGTATAAAATTAGGGGAAAAAATATATATTAGATCCAAAAAACTGAAAGCTATAATAATGCATTAATCAAATTAAAACTTGAAATTGACTTACCCCATTAAAACATTTCTCAGACAAAAATGACAATTCTTTTTCGTCCTTCTTTTTGCTTAATGTCTCAGTTTTCTTAGCATTAATATTAGACAGCTCGTCTATTTTAACATTGTGCTTTATTGTCTGCTGAGGATGTGCAGAGGCTGATGGTTTTTCATTTAAGTGTAGGTAGGGGGGTTGGGCATGAGAACTTTTAGCCGATTCCAAATGTCGTTTCATGTTGGTCTGTAACTGTTTGAAATCTGGAGAGATAGACCTTTCAGAACTAATGCTTTGCTTTCTATCAGCAATGCTATTGTTTTTTCTTGAAGAAACTTTGCCAGATTTTATCCTATCCGAACTAGATATTTGCTGATAAATATTGTTTTCGGATTTGAAACTGTCATCACTTGCAGAGGTTTTGATTGATCCAGAATTTTCAACAGACACACCGGTGGGTAATTTTTCAAACAGTGACTGAAATCTCTCTTCAGGCTTTGACACTGGAATGGACGACACATTTTTTAAAATCTGCTGAGTAGGAGACATTGAAGAAGAATTTCTTCTTCTAGGGGACAAGGATTGTCTAAACCTTCTCAGCTCCCTCGAATCAGAATAATATGTAGATCTAGGTTTAGAAGAAGACCTTGACTGAGTCAACCACCTGCAACCTGACATTTGTCTTCTGAAAGGCGATCTTGACCTCCTGAGTGGTCTAGTTCTTAACACTGTGATAGATCTAACAGATGAGTTAGATCTTGGGTTTCTTATTTTTCTTGATGGACTTTTTCTTTGAGTCCTAGATCTTCTAGGGCTTTGTCTTCTGGGGCTAGTTGTTCGACTCCTAGACCTATGTCTCGTAAGCATACTGTTTGATCTATCATGATAGAATCTGCAATTGTTTCCATATCTACAACCTATACTTAGGAAGTACCTACAGGGAGTCTCAGAAACCAAAAGCTTTTCCCCTGGGTATCGACTTCTTGCTCTATCTCTACTTCTTGATCTAGATCTGTACCTATATCTTTCCTCAGATACTGGACGATGTCTATATTTTCCATCATATTTATGTTTTGTTCTTGAATGATCTTTGTACCTAGACCTGTCCCTTTCTCTGCATATCAAATTTGTTAAATAAGTTGTTTTAAAAATGTACAAAGAGATGCACCAAAAGAGTTCGTCCGTCCAATATTTTTTGGCGGCTATAAAGTAGTTTCCTTGTCATTTGAAAGTTGATTGCTTGTTATGAAACTTTAAAATGTTGATTAAATTTAATTAACATGAGACCGAAATTAATGAATTGGAGAGAGGTCGTTTTACTTCCAAGTGCGGGTTCAAATCTCGAGTCACCGATTCAAAGTTGAAGATTTTAAACCAGTTCAGAGCTGTGGGTAGTTTAGTGACCCTAAATTCTTTTAAATCGATCCATGTTAGGTACATCTAATTAAAATGATTTCTTCCAAATCAGTCAATATCAAAATATTTAGCAATTTGTATTCCTTTGCTTGTGTCTATCTCGTTCTCTATTTTCAAGTATTACGTTGGTATCTTTTGGATGGAGGAATTCACACCTCTGCCTGCTACAACTACCTCTAGAAATAACCAAATACTAACTCTGAGATTTTGTAGTATTAATTCCTTTTTATTTAGTTACCTCAGGAAAAATTGACAAATACGATCCTCCATCATTTAATAATATATTCAAAACACTGTTCAATACACCTGTTAGAGTTGAACTGAAATAAAATCTCTCCAAGTTAATTGCTTTAGTCTCACATTTCATAAAGATTTAACTAGACTGTCTCTCCATACTGATCGAATTTTGTATATATTTAAAAAATGTTAGGTTTCCAGAGGGCTTCGCGTACCTCTATCCTAAAGAATCTTTGGTAATTTTAAAAGCTGTATAAGATATTGGAATCGAGACAATTTAACACATTTTACTGGTTTGTAAATTGGGAGTATTTTCACTTGGGAACCCAGCTTTGTCTAGAAACTACTCTGTTTCTACATCAGTCAACCTACTTAACTTAGAAATTTTAAGAGATTTGATGTAAATCGTCGAGGGGTTCCTGAGTTCAGATCTGACAAACAGAGATTACTAATTGTAATATTAGTATATAATCATTTATTTGAAAAGTTCAATTTCATATTTTGAAAATATTTATCTACCTTTCATTGATAATTTTGCTATATATAAGTTTCGACCATCAAAGAAATAAATATGATTTTTTTCAGAACAAAGGAACAATCGTAAATATCACTTATTTCTCAAAACTTAAGATTCAACAACTTCATTTAAAAATTCCAAAACTCTTAAGACAAAAAAAATTAAAAAATACTCAAAAAATGAATATTAATTATTTTTTAACATAGATAATTATGATAGNAGAGCGAGGGAAAACATACCACACCATATTTTTGTCCACACTACAAATGACGTCACAACTCACCATTGTTTTGTACGACCACGCCTTTTATCGTCCGGCCTTGTTTACATTTTTGAAAATTTCTATTTATTTTTATAATTCCTAAAGCAAATTAAAACCGAATGGTATGTTCCCTACTAAAAATATTAATTTATAGAGATTCTAAAAGTAAAACTCACAGCTCATGCCGGATCACTTAAAAGTTGCAGTATAAGGAGTAATATAAAGGAACGAAAATTAAATGAAGAACACATATTTCTAATTTGGGCTTAAATGATGTTTTATATTTCGAACAAAATGCATTTAAACAAATTAAACCTGTAAATTTCTAGTATACGATTTTGACCCCCTCCCCTTTCTATCAATTTTGTACATGGATCTCATATTATACACATGGATAAAGTTTTGGTCAGCACCCAGCCCACTAGCCTGTCCTAGCAGAAGCGCTAGGCCCCCTAACAGCAGCGCTCGGCCCACAAATTGTCTTAACCAACCCTAACCTTAAAATAATAAAAAAATAATAATAAAAATTTTGCTGAAAATTACCCCAGACTAGAATACAAGACTGGAGTAAAACAAGAAAACGAGAGAACAGATAGACAGCTAGGAGTAAAACAAGAAAACGAGAGAACATATAGACAACTAGGAGTAAAACAAGAAAACGAGAGAACATTATGGACAGCAAGGAGTAAAACAAGAAAACGAGAGAACATTATGGACAGCGAGGAGTAAAACAAGAAAAAGATAGAACGTTATGGACAGCTAGGAGTAAAACAAGAAAACGAGAGAACAAATAAACAGCTAGACAGCTAGGAGTAAAACAAGAAAACGAGAGAAAAAATAAACAGCTAGGAGTAAAACAAGAAAACGAGAGAAAATTATGGAAAGCTAGGAGTAAAACAAGAATACGAGAGAACATTATGGACAGCTAGGAGTAAAACAAGAAAACGAGAGAACAAATAAACAGCTAGGAGCAAAACAAGAAAACGAGAGAACAAATAATCAGCTAGGAGTAAAACAAGAAAACGAGAGAACAAATAAAAAGCTAGGAGTAAAACAAGAAAACGAGAAACAGATCTAGCTAGACAGCTAGGAGTAAATCAAGAAAACGAGAGGTAAAACAAGAAAACGAGAGAACAGATAGACAGCTAGGAATAAAAGAAGAAAACGAGAGAACAAATAGACAGCTAGGAGTAAAACAAGTAAACGAGAGAACATTATGGACAGCAAGGAGTAAAAGAAGAAAACGAGGGAATGGTTAGGAGTAAAACAACTCGACCCACAAGTCGTCTTAACCAACCCTAATCCTAAAATAATAAAAATAATTTTGCTGAAAATTAGTGATCATGTACAAAATTGATAGGAGGGGGAGGGGTCCAAAAAACGTATACTGATAACATAAAGTTTCCTTTTAAACAAAATAAAATAAAATTAGGTTTAAAGGCAGAAAACGAACATTTTAAAACACCAAACCAACGCCCTGACACGTCGTGGTCGGAAGAAGTAATGGCGAGTTGTGACGTCATTTGTAGTGCGGACGAAAAAAAGGTGGGGTCTGTCCTAGTATACGATTTTTGGACCCCCCCCCCTCCTATCAATTTTGTACATGACCATTTATTTTTACAAAATTGATAGGAGGGGGGGGGTCCAAAAATCGTATACTAGGAAATTACCAAAAGGTGTGGTGTGCCTTCCCTCGCTCATGTGCATTTACATAATTGATGGGAGGGAAGGGTGGAGGGAAGGTTGCAAGAGCGTTGTCAAAGATGTTACTAAATATATCTCCTACTTATAATCCTACATGCGCCGAGGACATTGTTAGGTTATGTGAGTTATTCAACAACTCATAATAGAGAAACCAAAGCAGATATGGATGTAGGGTGTCAAGCTTTACATGTAGTTCCTTTTTAAACCTAAATGGTATTTAATTAAGTATGGTTTAAATTCTTACATTGAAACTGACAACAAGGCATGCACACAAATTACGATAAGACTAAAATGAAGCCGCTGTCTTGTTCAAGAAGAACTAGGTTATTATCTGCGAATAAAACGAGTTTGAAACTAGAAATGAAAAAGTAACATGCGAAATTTGATTAACTGAAAACGTGCAAAAATAACGACAATGATAACTAATAATGATATATCGACAACGTTTTACTAATAACTTTTGAAAGTTTCACTGTTTCATTGGTAGTTTTCAGAAACAACATTGCCTGTAACTACCTGGAATCGCTAAACCAAACTAGCAAAATGGCCGAAATATACACAATCTCAACAATAAATTCAAATATTTTTAGAATGGAACTTTTTTTAAAAAATCTAAACGGTTAAATATTGCAAAAAAGTCATTATTTAGAGATTTCAAAGGAATTGAGTAAAAGGCAACGGCTGATAACAAGAAGCCCACGCGAAATAGTTAAACGTTTTCGAGAAATATTTTCAAAGAATGTCGTCTTTGATATTTTGTCTCCGCGGTATCAGTAAACTAAACTATAATAAATGTTTATATTTACCGGCTAAATTTCTTCTGATCCTTTGACATTCACATTTCACTGTTTCACTATAACAACATATAATCAGAAATGTTTTAAAAAAATGAATTTATATACTTCTATATTTTCTATGTTGATGTTATACATTACCTTATCAACTCCCCCCCGCTTCCCCCCACCCCCCCCAGTTTTTCAAAGAAAAGTACAATTTACATCCAAACAAGGCATAGAGGTATTTAAGCACGGTATCATTATTATTTTTATTTCAAAGTTTGAACTGGACTGGAAAAACCAAAACTATGTAGATTTTCTTGGAAACTTGAACTGCACAGGCCCTGAATTGCGAGTTGTACTTTGTTTTTGTTTTTAATAAAAGGATGATTTTAAAATTGAATATCTTTTAAAGGAATTGAGTCTTTGGAACGAAATTTTAAACCACAATTCTTTAGAACTCGATGTTGTAAACCTTTGATATTTCAAACTCAGCTATTATTTGATTTAACAGAATTCATACTACACCATGACGACAAGAAAATTTTAGAAATTAGAAACAAAGACAATATTTTTCAAAGTTTTGCAGATTTTAAGTCAACATATTCTAAATGATTCTAAATTCTAATGTCATTACAATTTATATATGTTTTTAATAAAAAAAGGGTATGGGCAATGAAAAGTACATTTTTACTTCTAAATAATGTCATTTCCATATTAGATTTATCTAAGATCTTAACATACTACATTGACGACAAGAAAATTTTAGAAATAAGAAAAAATTTTTCATAGTAACATCCTTTTCCTCTTAAGTAAAACTATTATTTTTTATCTTACTTAAAATAAATTAAGTTTTTTTTTACAGATCTTTGTAGTTAATGTAAAATGACTGACTATAATGAAGGATATAAAACAAGTTGAAAGCTGAAAGGTATGAAATGAAGCCTTTGTTTGATGGAGTTTGTGAATGCCAGAAATGAGTGGAAAAACGCAAATCAAACCCAACTAAAACCAATATTTTAATATACAGGGTGTCCCACATCAAATTAGACTGCGTCAATAGTTCTAAATTACGATATGGGGTTCAAATCAGAAAATTTTAGAAGAATGAATCCTTTTGAAAAAATTAATAAGGCTAATAGAATTTTTTTCTTGCAGAAAATGCTAGATTTTTCGAGTATTATATGTGTATTTTGGCGTTAAAGATTGGAGAAAGTCTAATATGATATGGGACGCTCTGTAAACATGATTTGTACACTTTGAACTCCCTTTCAGGCTGAAAGGGACTGAAAAAATTCATACCGAGAGATTCTTTTAATTCCTCTCTATATATTCTATTCTCTAAGTTATTTACGCCCTGCCTGCAGTTGTAAATTTACGTCTGTAAAAAGCAATTTTCTTTGATCTATATGTATTTGCGCTTTTTAAAAAAAGCCGGCAATAGTTTTAAAATCATTAGGTTATAACAGAGTTTTGTTTTCTTTAAATATCTCATTAACTAGAAAGTAAATTTACAAAGGGCAACAATTTTAAGAATCAACATTTATGAAGAATATTTTTCATTTGTCTACTTGAATTAGTAAAAGCAAAAACTATTCATAAAAAGGAAGCAGCCATTTTGCAAGATTTGTTGAGAAAAAAATCTATAAATAAAAGCTATTTTCTCCCCGCTCTGTATGATTGTAAAAAAATAATATTATGCAAATGTTAAGGATATACTATAGATGAACTACTGTGCTTAAATTATATAATTGGTTCCGTTTTAAGTAGACATTATAAATGGAAGATCATTCCCGGAAGAATGAAGACTGTTTGGGGGAATGTCGGAAGCTATATGGGGACGCGCACTGATAGGTAAAATGAGGTTCGGAAGAGCTGTGTTGGGGAGATTGCCTTCCCTCCCTTTCCATGTTACATACCCAAGATTGTGGGGTGGGAGGGGGGAGGATTACCCCTAGGATTTAAGGGGAAGGCAGTATAAAAAACTTTAAACTTAATTTAGTTAATTAGGTGTTTCCTCTTTATTTTAAGGCATTTCCGGAAATTTTGAGATGTTTCCGTTTTTTAAAAAACTTTAAAAACTTTTTATTTAGTTGAGGTACGTTTACTTTACTTTTTTTGAGGCATTTCGGCATAGTTTTTAGGTGTTTTCGATTTTAAAAAAAAAATTGAAAAACTTTATTTTGTTGAGGTGATTTTTTTGTGAGACCTTTGCCGGAAATTTTAGAGGACTTTCCGTTTTTCAAAAAAACTTTTAAAACTTTATTTAGTTCAGATGTTTCCTCTTTCTTTTGAGGCGTTTCTGTTTTTAATTGATATGTTTCTTCCTTTTTTTAGACGTTTCCCCTTTTTATGTACTAAAGCTGGGGTGTACGAGAGCTTTAGTGGGGGGGGGGGGGCCCCTTAATTTTAATTTGTGCACCCCTAGAAGATTTTGTGCCCCCCCCCCCCAAAAAAAAACCATACTTTGACAAAATTACTGATTAGTTTTTTATCTATAATAAAGAACCGTGTATCTTTCATCTTAGGCTTTTTTGGTTTAGAACATATATTTGTTGATTATTTATCAGAGGATCAGCAAAGGATATGAGATTATGCCTATATCTGTGCAACGAGATGTCGTAGATCATGATATTTTCTAACTAGAAATTCTATGAACTTTGAAAAAGCCAAAGTTTGTAATAAGGTTTACACCATCAGGTTTTAAAGAAATAGGGATTAGAAAGCTACTAAACTGAAAATTAGTATCGAATCGAAAAATGTAAAACTAAATGCCTTATTTTTTCTAAAGAAAGATGATTAATTATAATGAAATAACCCCAGTGTTATAATGTATGAATCACCGCTATCATTTGTCAACGACTTAAAACATTTAGGAAATGTTCTGCTAAGTGATAATGTCCCATTGGACCCTGGATTCGATGATTACGTAATAACTGAAATTAAATATGTTACTTAACGAGTAATGATCAATGTTGCCTAATCCTATTTGTGTTTTGTATATATTTTTCTTTTTTCTTTTTTCTTTTGTAGATTTATATATTAAAAAATTTTTTAAACAAATTTAAACTACACCATTTATATCTTTGTGTGTGACTGTGAATAAATCTTATTATAATAATAATAATAAATGAAGTTTTTAGAATTTTTAAAAAAACGGAAACTCCTCAAAAAAAAGAGGAAACACAGCTTAACTGAATGAAATTTTTAAAAATAAGGAAATGCCTCAAAAATTTTGCAGAACCGCCTCAAAAAAAAAGAAAAATCTCAAGAAAATGGAGTTTAAAAAAATACCGAAACGCCTCAAAAATTTTGCGGAAACGCCTTAAAAATATTGGGAAATCCCCCAAAAATATTGGGAAATATACTTTAAAAAATATTTGTCAGCTACAAAGCGAACACGCCTTAAATTTTTAGGAAATTCCTCAAAATAAAGAGGAAACCCCTTCAAAAAGAATCATGGAAGATAGTAGCAACATATTTTTATCGCTCCGGTCTATGGGAGGAGATCGGAGTTGAAAATATTCACGCAACTTCCCTCCCTAGAATTCATAAAGGGGGAGTGGAGGGGGGTAGAGCAAACCGGGATTTCTCTTTTTAACTTAGAGTTTTTCATTTTTCAATTTTGTAGATTTCTTGTAAAAAGGTATAAAATCATTATCAAATGTATTATGAGTACTTATAACAGCACCTTGTACAATTTGTTCCACAGTTTGTTTATGATGCAAATATAATTGTTTTATACCAAAAAGTGCATTAAACATGTGCAAACAAATTTTTATTTTTTACTTGGGGTCTCCAATGAAAACTTGGGGGTCTCCGTTGAAAATGCTACTCATTTTTTTCGCAGATTAAAAAAATACACACTTTATCTTATTGTTATATTTGCAAAATGCGGCAGGATTTTTAAAAATTGCAATTTCAATGACCCAAATTTATCATTTAAAAACGTAATAACTGCCGGAAGACTGTAGTCCTATAGCCCTCCCCCCTCTAAGCATATCCCAGACCTCCCTTGGGATTTTTGGGAAATTTTTAGGTTGGGTTAAGGTGAACGATCTGAGTTTTTCCCCATCTGAAATGGTATCATTTCCCCCATCTAAAAAGGTATTATTTCCCCCATTTAAAATGGTATTGTTTCCCCCATCTAAAATGGTATTGTTTCCCCCATACATGTGACTTCTCGATTAAAGAGTTTTACTCACGAGTCCAAACCAATCAATTTGAATTTGGTTCATTCAAGAATTTAACAACTTACCCAGAGTTGTCTAGTTTTTATAACCGTTCATTGAAAACTCATCCACGGATAAAAAAGCATTCCAGATAAAATGAGAAAACCTTATGTTTTATGGGTCAGGTTGTGATCAAAGCTCCAACTTACTGGGATAAAGGAAATGGGGGTTCAATGGATCAGTAAAATCATGGTTTCCCCCACTGAGCTGAGACTCCCCCCCCCTGGAAAGAAAAAAAGTTTTTCTCTGGAAAAATTCCTGTAGTGTTTGCCCCTGTGGACCCCCCCACCCCTCTCCCCCATGTAAAGGCTCTCGAAGTCTCAAGGCAAAGTTTTTAGTGAATGTGTTTTCCCTGACTACGTCCAGTTTTGCTGACGTACTGCTTACCGTGCTGACCCATATTTGAGTAGCTTGTGTACATCTCAGTATCTTATTTTCATGATTATCTATAATTTTATTTTATTTTTATTATTTAAATTTATTTTTTTTTTAAATTTTAAATAACGACAAATTTATTTTCCCAAAACAGAACGCAAGGCAGTTAGTTTAATAAATTGGTTGTATGCAAAAAAAATAATCAGTCTGTAATTAACCTAAGAGCTCCGGTTTAAACCTAAAAAGAATTAAAATTTTTAAATTATTTTCCAATTTTGAAATTCTAAGTGCAATCACTGTCAGTTCAGGTTTAAGTGTTCACTTTTCTCTGTTCAGTTTTCACATGTTAATCATGAAAAATTGTGTTTGTTTAACTATGGTTATATTTCTCATAAATTATATTCATTTATTTGCAAATACATTATACACGCATACACTACACTGTATATTGTTTATTTCTGTGTGTAATGAATACTAAGATTTTGAAGTTCAGCACTAGACTCGTATTTTGTGTTCAATTTTTAGTGTTCTATAGTGTTCACTGTTCAGCTTATTAGGCGTGTACTGTTCGGTTTTTAATATTCAGTTTTTCATTTGTTTTATAAAACATTTAGATCTGAAACATTTAAAATATTCATGATTTTTGTAAAAATTAACTATAAGGTATGATTTGACAAAATTGAGTTTCTGAAAGTTATTTTGTAACTTTTAAAAACTTGCTGGCTTAGTTCGGGATTAAAAGTCTAAAAGGAGGATCAATTAAAAAGTTTATTTTCAACAATTTTATTTTGAAATTAAATATTTACCCAGACCATATATAAATCCAGCATTGAATCATTTCTCCTGACACTTCAACATCTTCTAATCTCCGGGTGTAGTAACTAAAGGATATGTATTTAGACCAAGGTTGTATGATAAGCTAGGTTACTCTCGATGCGCTCCAATGTACGGAAAATGTCGTCTCCTAAGATAGATAGAAAAAAAACCTTGTATGACGTCACTCTTTCCTCTCTAATCAGTGACGTCATATGAGGTGTTTATCTGTCAATGCTTAGGAGACGACATTTTCCGTACATTGGAGTGCATCGAGAGTAACCAACCTTATTATATAACTTTTATTTAGACGCAGTGTGTTTATTCTGTATAAAACTTATTTTAAATCTTTGTTCTGTACCTTGGATGGTTCTCTAATTCATCAAGTTTGCTGAGCATTGATGCATCTACGCGGTATACTTCTCCTTCAACCCTGCCCACCAATTTTTAAAAACTGTGATTTTATGAACATCAACAAAAACATTCAGAAATCATGAAAACATTACAACTTTTGTATACTTTCTCTGAAATTGTCTTTACCTTAAACTCAATATAATGGTATTGATCTTAAATAAGGTATTTCATATTTTAGAATTGTTTTGAAGGTCCCCACCAAAAATGGCTAGAGGAAAGGGTTTAAGAAATGAAAACCTTTTATTAATTTTGGGTAAAATCTTGAAAATTTAATTTTGCCCCCCCCCCTCCCTCCCATTCATAGAAAGATTATGGTTATTAGTTTATAGAAATAAAATAGGAAAAAAGCATAAAATTCTTAAATGGTTTGTGATAGAATGAATTTTTGATATTTTTATTTTACTTTTAATATTTAGACTTAATTTTAGAAAAGGAAAATTAATATCACAAAATTAATAAAATGTTTAAAAGTTTCCTGTTTCCAGTCCCAGGACTGTCTAACACAAATGGAATATTGTATCTAAATATATTTGATCTTAGATGGAATTTAACAAATTTGAGGCGCGGTTTAAATCCACCAAAACCCGGTTTAAATTTAGCGCCGGCTTAAATCTTGAAACATTTGATACAATTTTAAGTGGAACCAACCATATTTAAACCTCGGTTTAAATTTAAACTGCCGCTCAAATTCTATAAATTCGGCCACAGTTCTTTATAATTTATCGATATAACCATGGTTATCTGCAGATAAGATTTCTACCTAGATATAACCATGGATGCAATTTCTACCTAGATATAACCAGATGCAATTTCTACCTGGAGATATGACCAGATGTAATTTCTACCTGGAGATATGACCAGATGAGATTTTTACCTGGATATATGATTATTATGAGATTTCTACCTGGATATATGATTATTATGAGATTTTTACCTGGATATATGACCAGATGGGATTTCTACCAGGAGATGTGACCATATGGGATTTTTACCTGGAGATATGGCCAGATAGGATTTCTGCCTGGAGATAAGATCAGATGTAATTTATACCTAGAGATATGGCCAGATGATATGTCTACCTGGAGATATGACCTGCTGAAATTTCTACCTGGAGGTATGAACAGATGGGATTTTTACCTAGAGATATGACCAAAAAGTGATTTTTACTTGGAGATATGACCAGATAGGATTTTTATCTAGAGATAAAGTCAGATGCGATTTTTACCTACAGATATGACAAGAAGTGATTTGTACGTAGAGATATGACCAGTTGGGATTTTTACCTAGTGATATGACCAGATGTGATTTGTACGTAGAGATATAAGCAGATGGAATTTTTACTTGGAGATATCACCAGTGTCCTAATTTAATCAATTTAAGCCGCCTCTCAAATCCCCCAAAAACCGGTTTTAATTGAGCGCCCGCCTAAATCTTGAAATATTCAATACAATTTTAAGTGGAACCAACCATATTTGAGCCCTGGCTTAAATTTAAGCCGCGACTCAAATTCTTTAAATTCGGCCTCGGATAAGATTTCTACTTGGAGATATGACCAGATGAGATTTCTGCATGGAGATATGGGCAGATGTAGTTTTAGCTAGAGATATGACCAGATGACATTTGTACCTGGAAGCTATGACTAGAGGAAATGATTTGTTCGTTCTGCCTGCTCCTAGATACTCCTGGAATCCATTCTCAGATCTGGACAACCAGCCATGGTTTGGTTCTCCTAGAGATCACAGTTACTATTAATATGTAGTTATTTTGCGCATTTATTTCAAAATAAGTACTTGCATTTTTTTATTTTGAATAGTGATAACCAGAAAACAATGGACATTATAGCACTACCTATATGTATTTAATGTTGTAAAAAAGCATCTCATGATCATTGGACTTTTTAAAGTTATTAATTGATTCTAAAGACGTCTTTCTTTTCAAAAGTTTTCTTGTTATCACTGGTATTTTGTGTGTTATGATGTGAAAGGAGAATAATTCCTTTAAAGTTAATTTTGTATATTTAAAGTCAGTATGGAATATGTAGATATATTGTAAAGTTTAAATTGAATGATTTCAAAATTCAATTTATAGAAAAGTTTTAAAGCGGATAAGAGATAGTTTTATGAAAACTGGAGAGTGAGCATTTTTCATGAAAACTGGATAGTGAATAGTTTCCATGAAAACTGGATAGTGAATAGTTTCCATGAAAACTAGATGATAAATAGGTTTCATGAAAACTGGATAGTGAATATAGATTTTATGAAAATTGAATAGTGAATAGGGTTCATGAAAACTGGATAGTGAATAGGTTTCATGAAAACTTGATAGTGAACAGGTTTCATAAAAACTTTATAGTGAATTGGTTTCATGAAAAATAGATAGTGAATAGGTTTCATGAAAACTGGAAAGAGAATCGGTTTCATGAAAACTAGCTAGTGAATAGGTTTCATGAAAACTAGATAGTAAATAAGTTTCATGAAAACTGGATAGCAAATATAGTTTTCATGAAAACTGGATAATGAATAGGTTTCATGAAAACTGGATAGTAAATAGGTTTCATGAAAACTGGATAGTAAATAGGTTTCATGAAAACTGGATAGTGAATAGATTTCGTGAAAACTGAAAAGTGAATAGGTTTCATAAAAACTGGATAGTGAATAGGTTTCATGAAAACTGGATACTGAATATAGTTTTCATGAAAACTGGAAAGTGAATAGGTTTCATGAACGCTGGATAGTGAATAGGTTTCATGAAAACTAGATAGTAAATAGGTTTCATGAAAACTGGATAGTGAAAAGGTTTCATGAAAACTAGATAGTAAATAGGTTCATGAAAACTGGATAGTGAATAGGTTTCATGAAATCTGGATAGCTGAGGTATTACCTTTCTTTAAAGTGCCGTAAACAAAAACATTCCATCTAGTTTCGTCAGTCATATTTCTAAGCTGATTTTTATAAAATTAAAAATTAAATTGTATTGTAAGATATTGCTAAAAGAGATTGACTTCGTTTTAGATAAAGCTAAAACTTAAATCTTAGTGTTAGTTTTTAAGCTTTTTAAACAAAAAAGAAACGACAAAACAACAGTTTTGAAGCAAATAAAATTAGTTTTCTCTGTTGAAAACGATCATTTCACCTTAGAAAGCGAATAGTATCCTAGGATCGTTTTACTTTTGAAAAACGAAAACGATCTTATGATCGTTTTGTTTTAAAAACTGATTGTTTCGTTATTTTACTTTAGAAAACGGTTGTTTCAATCTTAATTTTTTAAAAACTATTGTTGACTTTAAAAGTCACTATATTAAAACAAAGAGATCTAAAATGGATATTTCTTAACATTTATTTAAAAAAAACTAAAGTGTTTTGAAATATTTGCATAAGACATGGTTAAAAATTGGTTGGCTATAAATGAACAAAGAAAACTATTGACAAACATCAGTGGGAACATCAGTGGTAACATCAGTGGTAACATCAGTGGTAATAAAATCAGTGGTAACAGCTTTGTAGAGCTTCATGTTGGTGGTGCAGATCATCAATCTTGACAGCAGGTTTGCTCACAACTAGGTTTCAGGCTAAGGGAGAGATATCGCGGTCTTATCGTGTGCAAAATAAGCGATTATGTTGTCGCTGGGTTGCATGATAATGTTGATCTCTGGAGCATTGTGGGGCTAGATGTAAGCAGTGTCTGCAACTAGCTTGGTATCTGAATCACCATCATGAAGGAGTCAGAGTTGAGACAGAGTTGTGATCGTCTTAAGTGTTTCAGGCTGACTGAGGGCCGGGAGGTGTAGAGAGGGTGAGGGGGGGGGGAGGGGACGGAAGGGTAAGGGTGACATGTGGGCGGAAAAGGATTCAAAAGTCTTGAAACAAACAACGGCATACAGAGTCAGTAAAATCGTCTTCCTTAGATTTCGAATTTTTAACAACTATATATCTCTGACTCTTCTAAACCGATTTTTTCAAAAAATTTTATTGTGAACGAAACGATCAAACATGTGAAAATTTCCCATCTCTAATTGTCAAATCTTTGTTTCATATTTTACTGATAAATTAGCAACAAATTCATATTTTCTAATTACAAATATCAAGAGTATTATTTGATGTTATTAATTAAAAATTTAAAAAATATCTTGTTTTAATATTCTGCTTGAATAGAATAATAAAAAACATTTTTTTCCTAGATTTCCAAAATTTAAAAGAAACATAAAAAATATTTAATTAAAGTTTCCTGGTAAAGTCTTAAACTAATGTTGTACTCTTTTCTTTAACTGTATCATAAACTAAACCTGAATAATCTCATCTTTGGCATGTTACCGTTTTATTCAATTTTTTAGGGGTTATTCTATTTTTTTTTTATTATAAATATATGTATTTGGTTTGGTTTAATACCAATAATATGCAGAGAGAAAAATAAACAAAGAATAGATACAAATTGATTTCATGTTGATTTTTGAAAATGTTGCGATAAGATGATACAAGTTTTTTTAGGTTAATGCATGCAAAAATTTTAAAAATTTAATTTTTTAAGACTAAATAACTTTCGCTTTTAGAAAAAAAACGAAGGGTTAAAGCAAACGAAATAATAGTTTTGAACTTATTAAAAACAAAAAGCGAAAGCACAATATGTTTTAATGAAAAAAAAAACGATTGTTTTTAAACCTTTCCTCAAGTAAATTTGTGTTTTTTAAAGTTATGAAATAGTTAATAGTTATGTCATGTTAAAAGTTTTACAATTAAAATACATACAGAATTCTTATAAATAAGTTGAAAGAAAAAATGCATTGTGATTTGTGCATAGTGTGAAACCCTATGATTTATTATTCAAAATACATAAGATGTTTCTGTCGTGTTTAACTACAAACTAACTGTATACTTGTAAACCAGGACAGACATCATTTAATAAACATGTGATAGTTATGTCGGCTACATACATAAAGCCTGCTCTACTAACTGCAAATACAGAGCGTCCCATATCGTATTGGAATATCTCCAATTGCTTTAACGCAAAAAAACGCACATAATACTTGAAAAACCTGGTATTTTCTACAATATGATTTTTATATTAGCCTTATAGGTTTTTTTAGTGATTCATTTTTTTAAATTTCTGATTAGTCCTTTAAATTTTAATTTGGAGCTATACACACACGATCTAAAAAATGTTAGACACCCTGTATATAGTTTCAGAAAAATACCAGGCGTCAAACTTGTTACATGTTTAACAAGAAACATTTGAGAAAGCAATGTATAATAAANACGATACAGACAGTATCCTACGATACAGCCAGTATAATACGATACAGACAGTATCATATGATACAGACAGATACGATACAGACAGTATCATATACGATACAGACAGCTATACATTTGATACAGCCAACAACATATATGATACATCATACAGACACAAACAAAACCGATACAGGCAACAATATACACGATACAGACAGAAACATACGCGATACAGAGAGCAACATATAGATACAATACAAAAATACCTTAATTTGTTAATATGTAAAAAATATTATATTCAAATAAAACGAGAGTGGAATTATAATAAGGTCTTATATACATTAGAAATCATATATTATGTAACAGAAATAATCCACTGTGGACCTTCTCTCCACTCCTTCCTTTACTCCGACATCTAGTATTTACTTATCGATGGTTGAATAACTTGGTCTCTCTTCTCCTCCTCCAAATTCTCTTTATAATCATCCCCGGATAAACTCCGAACCCCCTGGAACCAGTGCAGTTGGAGGAAGATAGTTTAATGGATAGGACTAATATAAAGGAGAGGGAACCTCTCCTTTATCTTGTCTCCCTTCTTACGTACTTAAATCCTTCAATATCTTCTTTTACTTTCACACACTCCTTCCCTCTCCTTTATCTTGTCTCCCTTCTTACGTACTTAAATCCTTCAATATCTTCTTTTACTTTCACACACTCCTTCCCTCTCCTTTATCATGTCTCCCTTCTTACGTACTTAAATCCTTCAATATCTTCTTTTACTTTCACACACTCCGATTTCCACCTTTATCTTTACTTCACCTCTCCTAATATTTTATTTCTCTTTTTATCTCCTACTCTTTTTACTACTACTTCTTCGCCGTTTGGCACTCCAAATCTTCAGACCATTATATTCTTCTCTAACTTTACGACAAATTGATTGAATTTTTTCCCGTTTTTACATTAATTCATAGATTAATCAGTAAATCAATTAATATGCAAATACAGGCATTTAAACTGTTAGTATCTGAGTGTGTTCCAGCACAAATATGTTTATTAAATGAATATTCTTTAAATTAATAATTCTAGGGTTACCCACAAAGAATAAGATTGTAAAGACGGCCTTAAACTCTAAAAATATGACGAAGCTTGATTTTTTGTTTCTGCATTCAAATGAGTATTTTGATGGTTTACTAAAGGATTAAGCGTAAAAATTACAGTTTTAGCATACAAGGAACCCTAAATACAAGAAACCGGACTAAACAAAGGAATTGAGTTTTTGCCACAACCACAAAATTTTCTAATTATTATATCTCTGCATGCTTTGGGTGAAAATCTTTAATATTTCAAACTTAGATTATTTGATTCAACATAATTCACAGTTTGAAATATCTAAGGTATACGACATTGGGTTGCAAAGTTAAAGGGATTAGAAAAATTAAAGTTTGTGGCAAAGGCTCAATTCCTTTCCGTACGATCGTCTCTGAAGTCTATCCTTTGTGGTTAACCCTGTAAATAGAGGGTAGAGAATACAGGGTAAATTATAATAGATAGAAAAATAATAAGAGTTTTCATTTTTATTTTTTTATGACAAAAGTCACGAAACATTTATATGAAAATTTAGGCTTTTCTCAGTTTATCACGGGAAAATATTCATATTCTTTTAGACACAGCTTTCATAATATCTTAATACGTTGTAATTCTGAACAGATAAAAACCAGAAAAATGTCAAACTCAACTTTTAACCATTCTTCAGAAATGGGTTGGAACTCTAGTGAGTGTGGGAAAAGTGCAAATATGGAGCTAGTTGAGGTTTGTATATTTACTGTAATCACTGACTATTATATGGAGCTAGTTGAGGTTTGTATATTTACTGTAATCAAGGTTTGTATATTTACTGTAATCACTGACTATTATTATTATATGGAGCTAGTTGAGGTTTGTATATTTACTGTAATCACTGACTATTATGGCTTATACAATGTGTACAGAAAACAATTATCAGTGATTAATTTTCTATTCAAATCTATGTTGCAGAAAGAAAAAAAACTGCTTATAAAGTTTAATAATGAATTAGATAATTTAAATGTTTATATTTCAAATTATTTCATGTTATGCTACTTCTTACCTATTCTCTTCGTAATTTCAGCTTGGCCAGGATTCCTGCAACCTTTTTTCTTTTAAAATATTTGTTCTGAAGTTAACGGAGAGATTTTCTAATATTCGACAAATTAAATTATCGGATGACAAAAACTTACTTAAAAGACCCATTCTTAAATTAAGAACTACACACTGGTGCGCTTTTCCTAGACTTTTAAAACGATTAAAAAGTCTAAAAACCCCTATTTTTTCTGCTTTAAATCTTAAGTCTTCAAATAAAAATGTTTCAAAGGGATATTAACCTATTCTAACGTGTTTTTTAAAGTGCCAATTATTCAATACATTAGTTTCTTAACTGAGGCATATCTTGCTTGTATATCCTGTAAAAATCCACAAATCGCTGCATCAAAAATCCGTCATATTTTTTAATACTTTTAAAACCTAGCGATCATTAAAGCTGCACTTGAATTAAATGTATTTGAATGTGTTGCTCTAAGGGTGAAAATAAGTTATATAATATATATTTCGTCCGGAAAAATAGACGGTTCAAAAACCATTTTGCAACGATTCTTCTGGTTTCTTCGTATTTCAAGAAAACTTGTTGCGTTTTATTCCTAGAAAATATTTGACAGTCAGCGAAACATTCTGTCATAAGCTTTGATCCAACAATAAAAGAATATTTAAGAATACGCCATGAGAAGGCGCAGGATTTATCCGAAAACTGTCTGGTCCTGCATATCTAAAAATGTTTTAGCTTTTAGAATTTTTAACTTTGCAAGATGTTTCTATAGGAACCGAAAAATAAGTTTCACAAACCTACCAACATCATGTTTACACGAGTCAAATTCAATTGTACAAAAAAATCTAACCTTTAAGGGTTCTCCTAGGCATCTTACAGGGTGTCCCAATAAACATGGGAATTCAGTGACGAATTCGATATCGTCTTTTTAAATAATTCTTTGATTTAGTATAGTGATACCTACTGAGAAAGCTGTAATCTGTAAGATTTTCGTCTGCTATGTTTACAATTTGTTTGTTTATGTTTTGACTACATACGGATGTACTTAGTAAAACAAGAAAATTGCAGTATACAAACAGAGTAAACTTGTCCGTCTTCACTGTTCATCTTGCGGATACTTTATTGACACATCTTTATAGCTCGTATATCTTGCAGTGTTGTCTAGCTCGTATATCTTGCAGTGTTGTCTAGCTCGTATATCTTGCAGTGCTGTCTAGCTCGTATATCTTGCAGTGTTGTCAAGCTCGTATATCTTGCAGTGCTGTCTAGCTCGTATATCTTGCAGTGCTGTCTAGCTCGTATATCTTGCAGTTTTGTCTAGCTCGTATATCTTAAAGTGTTGTCTAGCTTGTATATCTTGCAGTGTTGTCTTGCTCGTATATCTTGTAGTGCTGTCTAGCTCGTATATCTTGCAGTGTTGTCTAGCTCGTATATCTTAAAGTGCTGTCTAGCTCGTATATCTTGCAGTGCTGTCTAGCTCGTATATCTTGCAGTGTTGTCTAGCTCGTATATCTTGCAGTGTTGTCTAGCTCGAATATCTTGCAGTTTTGTCTAGCTCGAATATCTTGCAGTTTTGTCTAGCTCGTATATCTTAAAGTGTTGTCTAGCTCGTATATCTTGCAGTGTTGTTTAGCTCGTTTATCTTGTAGTGCTCTCTAGCTCCTATATCTTTATCAAAAAATGGCAAAAAGTGGGATTTTTAATCATTTTTCATCGATTGTCCTCAAGACTTTTTTTTGAACTTTGAATGAAATTCTTTACGCTGCCAATTTCACCTGTAAAATTCATACCCTATTTTTTCCCGTTTAGACCTTTAAGAAGTGTTTTTAAGAGCAATTGTCAAAAAAAACATAATTATCATATCATTTAAGTATTTATATTTTAATAATTAATTCATAAGGAAAATTTAAATATCCAATTATTTTTTAGGCTGTACACCAAATAATTCGTTCTCTTCGTAAATATTTTACATTAGGTACCTGGGGAAACCCTGAAGATTAGATTTTTTGTACAATTGAATATATCTTAAACCTTGAAGAAAAATCTAAAAGAAAAGGAATCTCTTGAAAACCAGTGCACATAAAAATTGAAGAATCTAATATCTTGTCCTTTAAAAGAAACTTGAGAAACAAAGCAGGCTGTTGTAATATTTTAATGTTAAGGGACTGAGCACGGAATTTCAAGTGACACTATATTTGTAGAATGGAGTTCCCATTCAAAACAGTGTCCTTAGATATTTGACTGTACAAGGATGACAGACTAATCCACATTTCTTTACAGAATCTCTTTACAGAATATCTTGTAATTTTTGATAAGTTTGTTTGCAAACTGTTTGACATTCAAAAAAACATAATAATATTAACTTTCCAAAAGTCAAAGAAAATAACTACTTTTATTTTCACGACATACCACCTTGAACATATAGTTTTTGGGATTTTCAAGAAATATATCTCAAGCCCGTTGCGTTGAGATGACACTGCACTTTAACAATCAAGCTCCAGTTTTTCGTCAAGGAAATGAGTTTTTGCCACAAACTCAGATTTTTCAATCGACATATCTTTGCAAGCCAAAGCCGTAGACTTTTAAAATTTCAAACTTTGAATTTTGTTAGATCTGACAGTTAAAGTTTGAGATATGAAAGATTTCTAAGATAAAAGGATCAGAAAATTTGAGTTTGTGGCAAAGATCTGTTTTAAAACACCATTTCAAAGATAAACACAAGTTGTTCTCCCTTGTCGATCTTTTCTAATCCATATATCGCTGCAACCTTGTTGTGTAAACTTTTTATATTTCAAATTCAAATTATTTGATCTAACTGAATTCATAGTTTGAAATATGTAGGGTGCGATATTGGGCTGCAAGGATAAAGGGTTTAGAAAATCAAAATTTTAGGCAATGGCCTTACTTTTATTATACATAGTTTATTTTTTTGTAGAAAAAAGTATTGAAAATTTATTTAGAGTTAGAGTCTTTTCAATTTCATTTAAAATCTTTAACTTATTTTGAACACATGCTCACTTAAAACTTTAAAAGGTTTTGCGAATTATTTCCAAAAGACCTTTTCACTTTAAAGTTGTAGAATTACAGTAAATAATGATAGAGGGAGGGGTATAGTGGGATTAATAATACAGACGATCCATGGTAAAATATATTTTTTTTCAAAACCTAAATCCGCGACGGATTTAATGTTCCAAGTTAGAGAGCTCTTTATATAGATGAAATACAATCCCAGAAAAAGTTGACTTAAAATAATTTGTAACAAAAAAATATTACGCGGATTTTTTTCTCTGCGCTAGATGATATTCTTGAAAATTGTTTATTCAATTTTATCATTTTCGTGTCTAAAACAAACTTTGGAAAAAAATAAATCTGTATTTTTTAGAACGCTAGGTACAATCTCCTCTCTATCCTGCCTTGTCAGGAATATCTATAATTCAAGTGTCCGTGAATCCACTCAGCATCTGTATAATGCAAAATCTATCCTTTAATAAATCTTTTAGAACGTAGATTATTAATTGCACTTTTCCCGATATTTTTAGCATTAAACTACATTTTCGCAAGGAAAGAACAAACACCAAGAACCTCCATATTTGTGTTTAAATAAAGCTCTGTACTGAAATTTCCTTGATGTGCGGAGGTGTGCCACAGTTACAGAATTTGAAACACTTTGAAAAAAACGTTTTAAATCGAAAACATCATCTTGAAATTGAATGATCAGTCCCTTTAGTTTGTTTATGTTAGTCAAAGAGAATAGAATATATATTAGAGTGGAATTTAGACAATCCTTCGGTATGAATTTAGACAATTTAGACAATCGGCCCTCGGTATGAATTTTGTCAGTTCAAAGTGTACAAATCATGTAAATGTTCACAAATTATATGCAGTAGAGTAGATTAATACAGTATGTTCCCTTGACTATCCATTTCGAATTTCGAATTTTTTAAAGCTGTTAAATAAACGTTTTAAAATTAATTAGATGAATAAAAACATCATTTGATTTATAGTTCTAACGGAAAATCATCGTTTGTAAAGTGAAAGGCGTAGAGTTTATATGAAATGATCATTGGTCAATTATGAAACCAGTATATTTCACAATCTGGTTTTCTTTTAATATTAATTTTAGATTTTCTATAAAATGACCGTTTTACACTTGTTTCTAGTAAATTCCACTCTAATTTATATTCTATTCTCTTTGATTTTAGTCTGTTAGCTGGTGGATCTCCGGTATTATAACCTTACCAACTGCAGGACTGGGAATACTTGGCAACATCATCAGTGTAATAGTTCTCTGCAAAAAGTAAGTAAATTTGGGAAAAGGTGTAATGTATAAAATTTGGACTTTACAAAAACAAATCCTGTTTTCAGTTATTATGTAATCATCGAATCCTTCAACATATAAATTATTTATTTTTGTATTTATTAGTTCTTTTAAAATCCGAACTTTCTATCGAATCTTTCCCTGGATTAACCAGAGCTACTTGTATTTGCTTTCTTTTATTTATAGCTTTATTTTATTTTGGTCTAAAATTCAGTCATCTTCTCAAATGTTGCCTTTTCTACTTTTCCATTTAATATTTGAAATGCATCTGCCGAATAAAAAAGAGAGAAGCAAAAAACTCAAGTTTATTTGGTCCAATTGGGATAGAAAGTGATAGCTTGCTGAACAAAGACCAAATTTTTTATTTAGTGCGCTCTTCGTGTTTTTTGTTATTTTTTAGCAATCCTAAATCCTAATGTGTAACAATGCAAAACCCCTATCCCCCTCCTATAATTTTCTTGTTCATAACGTTTACTATTCATGTATCTATTCCTTTTTTTTAGTGATTTTGAAATTTCTAGTGCAAACCTTCATTCTACAGACAATTTTCACTTGCATAATATTCTTCCAATAGTTGTTAGATCAATATTTTGATTCAGTTAAAATAGGAGAACTGCAGTCCGAATTTAATTAATTTGAGCCGCGTCTTAAATCCGCCAAAAACCGGTTTTAATTGATCGCTGGCTTAAATCTTGAAAAAATTAATACAAGTTTAAGTGGAACCATCCATATTTGAGTCGCGGCTTAAATTTAAACCGCGGCTCAAATTCTTTAAATCGGTCTCAGAGCAATTATAAAATGACTATTTTTGTTTTTACTGAAATTTCATAATTTAAACATTATGTTTCTTATGTTTTGTTTTGTTGCGAAAATATTTATTTTAAAATGTCCAAATTAGATTAAAAATAATTCAATAATTTCATAAGGTCGATGAAAAACCTGTTTCATCATCTGCTGGCGTTCCTCTGCTTAGTGGACATAATCTTCTTGATCAGCAACCTGGTCATGGTCCCCCTTGCCTTCAAGTTCAAGTTGTTCAGGTCTCTCATTCTTTTTCATGATCCGAGACAAAAAAGTGTGTTTCAAATCTAGGATCACTTTTTATATTCTCAGTTTTTATTCCCGGTTTATCTCTCCTTTTTAAAGTTAAAAATCACTTTACTGTTCCGACTGAGAACTTTATGCCATTTTTTTTCTACCCACTGAAAGCAAAATTTACCCGCTGACCACTATTTTTTTCTTTTGTAACACATTTTACAATTTGGATATAAAATACTCTAAAATTCTTTGTAAAAAGATATTCCGGATTAAGTTGTTTTAAAGAATTCTGTTTATATTTTGATTAAGAGAAAGTGTTTAACAGCTTACTTTCCAAATACTCTGATATTTTAACATTGCGTAAACGCACATATTATCTCTTCCTTTATTAAAATTGCTGAAATTAAAAAAAACACAAACATGAATTTACAATCTTATATTCATTTAATAAAAAGTTGAACATTTCCAGGACTTAAATCACTTAAGCCTAACTTTTATAGCACATTTTAAGTTCAAAGACCACAAATGTGAAATATTCATGGCTTACAAGATTTAAAAAAAACTAGACTTTTACACTATTTTTGTTCAGTTGGGTTTAGAACCTTAATATATGTATATATATTTTGCATAGTTGGGTGGAGAATTTGAATATATATTTTTGTGTAGTTGGGTTGAAAATCGGAATATATATATTTGTGTAGTTGGGTTGAAAATCTGAATACATATTTTTGTGTAGTTGGGTTGAGAATCTGAATATATATTTTTGTGCAGTTGGGTTGAGAATCTGAATATATATTTTTGTGTAGTTGGGTTGAGAATCTGAATATATATTTTTGTGTAGTTGGGTTGAGAATCTGAATATATATTTTTGTGTAGTTGGGTTGAGAATCTGAATATATATTTTTGTGTAGTTGGGTTGAGAATCTGAATATATATTTTTGTGTAGTTGGGTTGAGAATCTGAATATATATTTTGTGTAGTTGGGTTGAGAATCTGAATATATATTTTTGTGCAGTTGGGTTGAGAATCTGAATATATATTTGTGTATAGTTGGGATGAGAATCTGAATATATATTTTTGTACAGTTGGGTTGAGAATCTGAATATATATTTTTGTGTAGTTGGGATGAGGACCTGAATATATATATTTTTGTGTAGTTGGGTTGAAAATCTGAATATATATATTTTTGTGTAGTTGGGTTGAGAATCAGAATAAATATTTTTGTATAGTTGGGTTGAGAATCTGAATATATATTTTTGTACAGTTGGGTTGAGAATCTGAATATATATTTGTGCAGTTGGGTTGAGAATCTGAATATATATATTTGTATAGTTGGGTTGAGAATCTGAATATATATATTTTTGTGCAGTTGGGTTGAGAATCTGAATGAATGTGCTTGTCACTTCTCCTTGGCTGCTTCTGTATTTTTAACCCTAGCCATAACATTCGAACGGTATCAGGTACAGATATAAGTGTACAGTAAGACCCATAAAACTGCGAAATATGAAGACAATTGCATAATGTGAAGAGTCCTGTTTTACTTAAGTTGATTTTAAAACTAATGGAAAAAAATATATCCTTTATCAATATCAAATAAGATTGCTCAAATTTTGCAGAATAAAGGGATTTTTCAGATAATTGAACCTCTCTTATGTTTCACGTTGAACCAAAATGTTCACTATCTGACGTGGAATGCTATCATTGCTAATAACTTTTAAAAATAGAGCCATAGAAACAAGTGATTTGAAGCTTTAGCTGTATAAAGGTTGGAAGGGTTTTTATTTCTAAGTCAGTCCTGTGCTTGGGGGGGGGGGGGGTGCAAAATTTAAATTATTTTACAGGTGTATCATGTACGAATGAATCTAGACTTCTTCTAGTTAACAAAACATAATTTAGTTTTTGTAAAATATGCTTGTATAGTATGCTTTGTTAAAACTTTTCAGAAGAAAACAAGTTATAATCAAATGAATACATTAATCATAGATTAATTGAAATATCATATACGACACTATATGTCGTCTTTATAAGATTTGTTTGTTTTTCGTTCACAATAACCCTGAGGCAGAAGTCCGAAGGAATTACGCGTAGTCGGCGTAGAACAGGGTCTCTCTCTGTAGAATTACAAAACAGAGAGGGGGCCTGTTCATCGCTCAACTCCTCTGGGCTTCTGTCTCAGGGTTATTGTGAACGAAAACACATAAATCTTAAAAAAGATTACATCTAGTGTCCTATCTGTTATTTTAATTAATCTTTGGAATTGAAATTTGAAATTTGTGGATTAAATAACTTTTTAAACTTTTGTGGGTTTTACCATGAATGCTGTCTTCCAGAATAACTTTCTAAGGAATCCAAGGAGGCGTTTCAAGATCAGCTGAGTCAAAACATGTGTTACATATTCAGATATTTTTACTATACAGATTTTGGATTTAAATAAAGTTAATCGTTTTGAAACTCTTTTCCTTTTAAGTCGTAGCATGCCAAATTGGTGACCCCGGACTTTTTGAATACGTTTTCTAAAGTTCTTTTCAAAGCAACTCACAGTGTTGTGATATTGTTTTTCCCAAGGAATTAAGCCTAGGCGCTTGAAATAATTAATCCGTGTCACTAGCATTTTTTTTCGGCTGAAAAGTGATTCTGCCTCCCTGTTTTCTCCACAGGCTCTCACAGTAAGCGAAACCTAGTTCGACAGTGATATTTTCTTTTCAGCGTTGCGATGCCTAGAGACCCAGTTTTGACCACGGGCGGTGTTAGCCAACCGGAACCTTCTCAGTCCAGTCATCTTTATGCAGTTGCTCTTAAGCTGCCTACTTTCTGGCCTGATAGTTGTGAATCTTGGTTTATCAACGCCGAGTCTCAGTTCCATCTGAAGAACATTACCAGCAGCGTTACTAAGTTCCACCATGTTGTTGCATCGCTCCCTCAGAATGAGATCGATAGTGTGGTTGATCTAATCAGGAATCCATCAGCTACGGATCCTTATGGAATACTCAGAGCTCGTCTCCTTCAAACACACTCCCTGACGGATTATGCTCGTTGTGAATCTATCATGTCACTTCCCTTGTCTGGAGATATGCTTCCCTCTGCTTTGTTATCCAAGATGAGAGCCCTCCTTCCTACCGAGCATCAAGACTGCCTGTTCCTACGGTATGCCTTCTTGAAGCAACTTCCAGCTGACGTCAGGTCTCATCTAGTTCATGATAAAGCCGTCGACATTGCCATCCTTGCTCAACGCGCTGATGAGATTTACAGGAGTAGTTTATCTTCAAATTCAGTTCTTAATGCTGTGGATTCTGTGAATGCCGTGAACACTCATCCTTCAAGGCAGAACCGTCGTTCCCAGCGCTCCCGTAGAGTTTCTAGCCCTGTTTCCCGCCGTTCGCAGACTCCAGCAGCCTCCTCCCGCCGTTCCTCTTCCCCGTCTACTTGCTGGTATCACGCTAGGTTCGGATCCAAGGCTCTAAGTTGTCAAGCTCCTTGTACCTGGTCAGGAAGCTAGAACACCGGCAGGAGGATGCGTTTTCCCTGCCTGCCGGTTCAGCTGGTTCCTCTCTCATTTATCTTCAAGATGAACTCTCTAATCGCCGTTTCCTGGTCGACACTGGAGCTTCTATATCTGTTTTTCCATCTCCTACCTCAGACTCATCTTCTGGCGTGCGTCTGATCACAGCTGATGGGTCAACTGTAACCTGCTCCGGGTCCAGAACTATACCTCTACGTTTTGGAATATGGAGTTGTTCCTGGATGTTTCAATTAGCACCAGTTTCCGTTCCTATCCTTGGAGCAGATTTCCTTCGACATCATGACCTGAGTGTGACCGTGAGCAGGAGAAAAGTGTTTTCTGACCGTTCTGTCAACGGTTGTAAGATTGAACTGTCAACATCTCATCCTCCTCCAACCTCATCCTTCCGAGCAGCATTCTCTCCACTCCACAGTGTGTGTCAGACCTCCTGAACGAGTTTCCTGATGTTCTCCAATCCGATGGTTTTACTGCTTCAACTCCACGTCACAAGGTTTGTTATCACATCCTTACCAATCCAGGCCCGCCGGTTTTTTCCAAAGCCCGCCGGTTGGATCCTGCCAAACTTGCTGTAGCTAAAGCTGAGTTCTCCGCCATGGAAAAGGCAGGTATTATCCGCCGTTCTACTTCACCTTGGGCTTCTCCGTTACATATGGTCAAGAAGAAGGATGGAGGATGGAGACCCTGCGGCGATTACCGCCGTCTTAACACCGCCACGGTGCCTGATCGTTATCCTCTTCCCAACATCGCCAATTTTTCTTCACAAGTCAGTGGTTCAACTATCTTCTCCAAGCTGGACCTTCAGAAGGGATACTACCAAGTACCAGTAGCTCAGGAGGACGTCGAGAAGACCGCCATCATCACGCCTTTCGGGATGTTCGAGTTCTTGGTGATGCCCTTTGGTTTGCGGAATGCTGGAAACACGTTTCAACGTTTAATGGATCAAATCTTAGGAGATTTGCCATACTGTTTTGTTTACGTCGATGACATCCTCGTGTTCAGTAAGGATCTGACCTCCCACGTCCAGCATCTCCGGGATGTTCTCCTCCTCTGTCGTGAGTATGGTCTCACTATTGGTCTTCCTAAGTGTCAGTTCGCGGTGAAGGAGATCGAGTTCTTGGGACACCGTCTCACTCCCTCAGGTTGTTCCCCTCTACTGAAGCATTCCGCCGCCATCTCCGCCTTCCCTCAGCCAACAGACAAGCCCAGTCTTCAGAGGTTCCTGGGGATGATTAATTTTTACAGGAAGTTTATTCACTCTGCGGCTAGAGTGCTGGCTCCTCTCACCGATGCTCTCAAGGGACCTGGAAAAACCATCTCCTGGACCCCACTCATGAGTTCCTCCTTCTCCAAAGCCAAGCAACTCCTCTCATCCGTTCCAGAGTTGGTCCATCCACAATGCAACGCACCAATTTCTCTCGCCGTAGACGCCTCAGATTCTCACATCGGAGCCGTCCTTCAACAGCAGCTCTGAGATAGATCCTGGTCTCCGCTTGCTTTCTTCTCTAAGAAACTTTCTGATGCTGAGAAGAAATACTCCGCCTTTGACAGAGAGCTCCTGGCAGCATTTTCATCTGTTCGTCACTTCAGATTCATGCTAGAAGGTAGAGATTTCACAATATTAACGGACCACAAACCTTTAACTCATGCATTGTTCAGGACGAGTCCTCCGTGGTCAGCTTGTCAACAGCGCCAACTTGCATACCTGGCAGAGTTTACTAGCTCCATTATCCACGTTCCTGGTAAGGAGAATTTGGTAGCTGACGCCCTCTCTCGCCCCGTTTCGCCTGTAACCTCTCCGAATCCTAAACCTAGTTCATTTTTCCCAAGTTCTGCCAAACTTGCTCCGCTTCTCCGGGTACTGTTAAACCTTGCTCCGCTCCAAACCCTGTTTCACGTCCTTCTCAGCTCTCTCCTAAGCCTGTTCAATTATCCTCCATTTCTGCTGAATCCTGTGTTCGAGCTTTTATTTCAACCTGGGTGTCGAGATTTGGAGTTCCTGCGGTTCTAACATCTGACAGAGGTTCTCAGTTCACATCCTCTGTTTGGACCAGAGTCTGCACTACCCTAGGAATCTCAGCCTCTACTACAACCTCTTTCCATCCTCAGAGTAACGGTATGGTCGAGAGGTTTCACAGAAGCTTGAAAGCTTCTCTTCGAGCAAGATTAGCAAACTCTGACTGGATTTCTCATCTTCCTATGGTTCTCCTGGGTTTGAGAGCCACTCCGAAAGACGACACCGGCCTCTCAGTATCCGAGGCTGTTTATGGTGCTCCTTTGTCTCTTCCTGGTGAACTTGTAGATGTGCCTGAGCTACTTCCTGACGCAGTTCTCAGGAAAGTTAACAGAGCTGTTGAGGGTTTCGCCGTTCCTCCGCCTCATCATGTTCGTCCTGCCCCTCCAGTCCAACTACCTGAAGCTCTCATCTCGGCTAAATACGTGTTTGTTCGTGAGGATTCAGTTATATCATCATTAGCACCACGTTATCGAGGACCTTATTTGGTGATCGACAGGAGAGACAAATTCTTCCGCCTCCAGGTTGGTTCTAAGCAAGACGTAGTATCCGTTGACCGCTTGAAACCAGTCTTCAGTGATGTCCCTGTTACCACTACAATTCCTCCGCCTCGAGGAAGACCCAGGCTTAGACCAGCACTTGCTACTACAACCACTCCGCCTCCGTCCGCCGCAAAGAAGTCTAAGAAAGTTAGGTTCCTTCTCAATCCTCAAATTGTTCCGCCACCTATACCTTTACGACAGAATCCACACAGAGCTGCAAGAGATAGAAGGATCTGCTCCGCCATTTCTCCACCGTTCCTTCTGGGATGAGTACTGTGGCGGATATGAACATCGTCTTCCTGAATAATTCTAGAAATCCAAGGAGGAGTTTCCCGATCAGCTGATATAAAATCATGTGTTAAAGATTCAATTATTTTTACTATATAAGTTAAGATTTTAAATAAAGTTAATCGTTGAGTAACTCTTTTCCTTTAAAGTTGTAGCACGCCAAAATGCATCTATTTTTGTTTACAAATTCCATGATCCCCGCAAACTGACCTCCAGAGCCTCCTAATTGGCAACTTGGCCTCCTAGCCAATTTTTGGCCAATCAAAATCGTCTCCAAGCCTCAAGCTTAGTGATGTTAACGTTTTAATTTTTTTTGAAAACGAAGACAAAACACATAAACGAAAGGATTTTTTTTAATGATCCTTTTAAAAAGCTCATCAATTTTTAACGATTGTTAACAACGTTCCTTTGTTAACAATCATTAACGACAACCCTTCATTAATGATCGTTAACGATAATCCTTTGTTAACAATAGTTAACGACAACCCTTTGGTTACCATTGTTAACAAAGAGAGGAGGAGAGAAGTAACTGCCCTGAAGAGCAGTTTGAAAGAAAATATCAAGAAGTTTTTAAAAACTATTGTTCTTTTCAGAAAAGGAAGCGATCGTTTTTGAAAACAAAAAACGAATAACTTAACCTACTATGTCACGTCTGACAGGCTTCTCAACTCTTTCCAGAACTATTGCAGCTTTATATAAAGAAAGACAAATTTTATATAATTTCAAGGGTGCGTCATGTACAAATCTATCTGGACTACCACCAATTCACAAAACATTATAGTTTTTGTGAAATACTTGAATAATGAATTACAATAAAACCTCAAATTTAAGTTTTTCTCAAAAACTATTAAGAGTCAAATATTTTGCTGGACATAAGACGTGGCATGAGGCTCGGAGACAAATTTGATTACCTAGGAGTTGGCTAGGAGGCCATTCTGAGAATCATGAGGCTCGGGAGGTAAGTTTTACGGGGCTCATGAATGCTCTGCACCCCCTCCATAGCGCGGCTAACGTGTTCACAAATTAAATTGAACAAATTTCAAGTTCTAATTGCAAAGCTAAATCTTTACTTTAGAACTCTATTTTTTCAATAATCCTTGTCAGAGTTATGCGCGGCAGCGAGGCTCACAGATTAACGACACAGTAACCCAATTTTTGATTTGGTGCAGCTTACACCAAGTCCTCATATGGTTTGTAAACATTTGATATATCAAAATATGAATATTTTATCGGCAACTACTAGTTTTATTTTTTTGTAATTTTACTTTAGTTACTTTTTATTTTACTTAATGTAAGAAAATTATCATACAAAAAATAATAAATTCATAAATTCGTCGACATCAATTTAAACCTTTTTGCCTAAAAAGCTTACTCAACACGTTTTTCAAATCTCAAATCTCAAATAACAGAAAAAGTTGCATTTTTCAATTAAATAAACATATTTTATAAAAAACAAATTATACAAATGATGATTTATTGAATTTAAGCTGGAGTTAAAATCACTGATATTTCTTCGTTTGTCCATTCACTGTTCACCTCCAACTAAAATAATAGAAAACTATTTCTATTAAAAGGACTGTTAGGAAAACTATTTGGTAATTACTAATTTCCTATAGTTATAATTCACCGTTATTTTGGTTCGCAGTGAAAGTTTGGGACAAAATCAAATCTTAAATGGCTTGAACCTTCTCGATAAATGGAAAATTTCTGTCTAAAAACTTTATACCACATTGTGCCAAATTATTCTGTTATAGGTAATTGTATGAAACGTTTGTATACTTGTTTTATTTCAATGGCTATTACTAGATCAAATAAACTTTGAAACAAAGCAGAAGTCAAAATCTAAAGTTTATGTCAATTTTACTTTCATTTCAATTGAAAAGGGTATTTTGGAAAATCCGGGAACCAATCAAAACTCTATAGCACACGTGCTATAAAATACAGCTAATTTAACTTTATAGCACGTTTATTATGAAATTCGCGATGAAGTGAGGAAGAAATAAAATTCATATTGTTTAAAATGTGCAGTAAATAAACAAATAAAAAACCAATAAAATATATAAAAATAACAATAACAACATTTAATTTTAAGTAAAGCATTTATTGTTATGTAGGAAGATTTCTGTATAAATTAGATTTCCGTATTTTTTTTTTTTTTTAAACTAATTACTTACAATTGTGCTAATTAATCCTTAAAGATTGTCTTTGTTTGAACGTTTTAGCGATTTTTAAAAGAAAGTGAACAGTTTAGAGTTGCAACAAATCTTAATTATAAGAAAACAAACAAAAATAATTCAATGCAATCGTCTCTGAAGTCTCATTCTTTGTGTATGTATAACCAAGACCATATATTTATCCCTGAAAGTACCCAATTACCTCAATTGTAGCATTCAAAGCTAGAGTGCAACACCCCTTCTTCCAATTCACCAAACTATAAAAAAATGTTTTTATTCAAACAAACTAAAAAACTTTGGGATTTTTACCTTGGGAAAATTGTTACTGTGTATCCATTTTCATAATTCCATTCTAAAAATATTAAATCAAAATTATTTTTTGCTTCCTTGCTTTTGCCGTATATGTAAATCTCCAAAATCACATTCTGCTATATATTGACAGAAAACACTCTATCATCTACCTACACCCTGTTCCATGATAGGAACACTATCTCTACCTACATCCTGTTCCATGATAGCAACACTATCTCTACCTACACCCTGTTCCATGACAGGAACACTCTATCTACCTACACCCTGTTCCATGATAGGAAAACTCTCTCTACCTACACCCTGTTCCATGATAGGAAAACACTCTATCATCTACCTACACCCTGTTCCATGACAGGACACTCTCTATAGCTACACCCTGTTCCATGATAGGAACACTCTCTCTACCTACAGCCTATTCCATATCAGGAACACTCTCTATTCCTTCACCCTGGTTCATGATAGGAACACTCACTATTCCTACACCCTGTTCCGTGATAGGAACACTTTATTTACATACACCGTGTTCCATGACATGAACACTCTCTATAGCTACACCCTGTTCCATGATAGGAGAACTCTATCTACCTACACTCTGTTCCATGATAGGAACACTCTCTCTACCTATACCCTGTTCCATATCAGGAACACTCTCTATTCCTATAGGAACACTCTATTTACCAACACCATGTTCTATAATAGGAACACTATCTACCTACACCCTTTTCCATGATAGGAACACTCCCTCGACCTACACCATGTTCCATGATAGCAACACTCCCTCTACCTACACCGTGTTTCATGATAGGAACACTCCCTCTACCTAAACCCTGTTTCATGATAGGAACACTCTCTTTACCTACACCCTGTTCCATATCAGGAACACTGTATTTACGTACACTCTTTTCCATGGTTCCTACGATCAGTTCCATTCACCTACCCAATGTTCCATGTAATAATTTAGATTATTAACCTGGAACGGCTAAAATTGTGTTCCCAGGAATACGTGTATCAGGCTTGTAGATAAATATGGCTTCCCTGAAATAAAGATGTTAATAATTTTTTATAATCAACAAAAATTACTAAACTGCTCCCCCCCCCCTCCAAAAAAAAAATCAATTATATTCTTGCAAAAATCTAGTTTTCCACAAAGAATGATGGGATGAGGGGATAAGGTCTTGATATTGTCCATTTAAGTTAAACAAGTTTATCTTCAAAAGAAGAAGTAAATTTTATTATTAATTATACATCATTATAATTAATTTATACATCACAGTTTGAGTCGAGTAATCAAGTTCGTATTCAGACTATACGATTATACGTATCACAAGCTTTTCCTGTGTTTTAAAAATTGATGAAAATTGAGATGATAAAAATATAAAGACAAATTTAAATGAAACTTTTACAAATGTTGTAATATCTCCGTCAATTTTGAACATACAAAACTGTCAAACCAGGACCGGCGTTTTCATGAAAAAATGCCGTGAAAATCGAAGATTATATGTATGTCGTCAGCTAATTCCCATGTTTATTGCGACACCATGTAGTTTAAAAATAATTAATAATTTTACCTTGAATCCGCCGCATAATGAAAATATTTCACCTCCCCAGCAATAGTTTGTGGGTAAATTCTAGCATAGGTTTTAACCTAAACATTCAAATTTTAGGAGATATAAGGCTAACCCCTGACTAACCCTAAAAGGAACTAAGCGTAATTCCATGTGACATTCAAAAACAGATGATAATTCATAATCTTTTATCTGATCAAAAATGTGAAAAATATTGTGTCAACTTCTAGGCTTAAAATTGTTAAATCTGATAATTGTATAAATATCGTCTTCAACCTTGTCAATACAGTGTAATACACACAATTACCTTTTCTATATCTAAACATTCATCCATGGAACCAGAGCACTAGAAATATCGAATATTTAAAAATGACATGTTAACAAAATATAACGTAGGAATATATAGTGTTTTCTACTTCATAACAATTTATTTTTCATAGAATTATCAAATTTCGTAATTTTGTCTGGCCCTTAAAAATGACACGAAACTTGTTGCTTATTAAAATAAAAAAATTAATAAATAGTTTAATGAATGTTGAAAATACAATACTGTATGTTGAAATAATCAGTGTTTATTTTTATAAACTATTTTATTGAATATTAAAATTTATTTGAAAAAGAATTAAGTATTAATGTTTTAAGTTTTCTGTTTTTTACCTTGTCATAAGTATTTTCTGTTAAAAATAATCCATTATTATCCCAGGTAACGTTTCCATACCTATAAACGTACCTATTATTCCTGAATTCCTTTTTTGGGCCTTTAAGTAATTTAATTTAGTTGTAGAGGCTTGGGTACAACCTTTTTAGGACGGTAAAAATACGATTTGTGTAAAACAAAATCGAAAATAGTCCAAATAAATGTTTGTTTATTAAAGCTACAGATCTATTAATTGCATTTTTGAAAATTGCTTGTAAAACTGATGTAAAATGTAAATAGATTCAGACCCCCCCCCCCTCCCCCAGTCTTTATAAGAAACTTGCAAAACTTAAATCTAAAATGAATTTTACTTGTGTTTAATGTGTGAGTTATATTTATGCTCACCATTTGTATGCCCAATGGTGCCAGGAGTATCCCCACCTTACCAGATCATCCATTAAGTCTAACCTAATAAAATATTGAAAAAAATATTGGAAACAAAAGAATACATTTGTAAAACCTCGTTTGAAAAAATATTTATTGAGTGTTTAAAAGGTTTATCATATCTCAGTAAATGTGATGAACTTGAGTTAAATATTGAAATATTTAAATAATACTTACCAAAGATTTTAATTATTTAAACATTTATCTGGGTAACAATGAGGAAGATATCGTCGTTATTTCAACTTAAAAAGGGATGAATTCTGTAAATTATGTTCATTGTCTTTCCAAGTTTCCACTCGTGACTTTTATGGACAATTAAATATTTCAAGATAGAAAAACTAAAGTGGGTTCTTTGTTTGTTTTTAAATATCTTTTTAATCCATTACAAAAGACGACATTATGAAACGTCAACAAGTTAAATATATACTGGATGTCTAGAGAAGACGACATAAGTTACTATCTTTGTCTACCCGCTAAAATGCGGTGAATTTACGTAGATTTTCTGATGGGCTATCTTTAATTAGCAAAGTCTTTGATACTTACTGATTCCTATCATTATTTGTTTCCGTGACAAACCCAGCAATGCCTAGCCGTTTGATTTCTTTGGCTCTAAAAATAAAAAAGTTAATTTTTGAAACAAAATAGTTTCAAATTCGATTTTAGAAAGGGTCAACAAAATCGATTTAAAGGGACAGACCGGCTATGTAAGGTAGTTAAACTGAGTATTCAGTGTTGTGAATAAATTCTTTAGGATTCATTTGAGACATGTAAAACTTTTTAAAGATCTTTAAATCCTGAGTTTGAGCGTAAAGTCGACAAAAACTAAAGTTGTATACATACATAAACTAACCTACCTTTTTAAATCTTAAAAGTACTTTTTGCGTAAAATTTTGTAAACACATATAAATATTTTAGCATATTTTCTAGTACTAATTTTTTCAACTAGAAGGCAGAACTTTGGCATGGCTTAGGCTTAAGCTTTACCAGCGAAACTTGAAATCCAATTCACAAACTTATTAACTGAGGTTGCACTTTTTAAAGGGATTAATTTCTTACCACAAACTCAAACTTTCTGATCTTTTAAACTTGATTTTAAAATCAGTTTGCACAATGGCCGAATTTAAAGAATTTTAGCGGCGGTTTAAATTTAAGCCGCGGTTTAAATATGGTTGGTTCCTCTTAAAATTGTATTAAAAGTTTTAAGATTTAAGCCGGCGCTTAATTTAAACCGGGTTTTGGCGGATTTAAACCGCGGCTCAAATTCTTCAAATTCCATCTCATATTTCAGTATTTCAAATTATATTGGGCCAAAAACTTCATTTTGTGTGGCAAAGGGGGGAAAATTGTCCATTACAGGCTCCAATGATTTAACCAACCAGTAAACAGGCTGAGCGATTCAAGATTCAAAAGTTTTGGTCTGAGGGCCAGAAGGAGGGAGTTTAAAAGTTTTGATCTCAATTTTGAAAAAAGTGGATTAAAGTACCTCAGATCATAGTACTTATCATCCGGAGTAACCTCAGGAAGAACAGAGTTGTGGAAGGATAATACAGATCTATAAGAGAAAAATAATAAAAATATATTTATAACATGGCAGATATATATATTTCAAACATCGCATAAATCAAAGATTTAGATATGGTTAAATTTAAATTTCTAGAAAGTAATGGGGAAGTTATCAATTTTTTTGATTGGATTATCTTGTTAATCGTCAGCTGTTTGCAAGAAAAATGACATTTTATCGTTTTCAAATTATTAAACATTTGCTTTGAAACATTGAGATTATATAGAAGTATTTGTTCTGTAAGTAAACATTTACTTAAGAACAGAGATAAGAGAAGATCACGGGAACTTAAAATCAGCTAACTTGAACTTTTTTTCTGATATTAAATAGTATCACTTATGATCACATTATTCATGGAGGGAAGGGGGGGGGGGTTAGGTAACCAAATATTTGTTTTAATTTTTACCTATTTTTAAAGTCATCTCCTCCAGGGGGATGAGCAAATCCGTAAGTCTCACCTGGTATACATTTTGTAGTGAAATATAAAGAGATTAAATAACCAAGAGAATAAATAGTACAGTCACGTGACAGTAACTGAAGCGCTAAATCAATGAACAATATATGTCAAAATAACAAAGAGTTCACCAAAAGAAACTTAAAATGCAGAAATATAATGATATTTTTGTAGATTATAAATGGTACCATCTATTTTATAAAAAATTATTTTAAAAAAAAAGATATTTTATTTTTAAAGTATACATACTCTATTTCCATGATTGTACCGAGAGTTCCAAGCAAGGTTTGAGTGAAATCAGTCAATTAGTTTCTAACTTAAGATCGGCCATACAAACGGACAAAAAAACAACGATTACACTTTATATTCAAAGATGATTGAAAATAATTTGCCAAAAAAATATCTACCTATTCCAGCAATTTCCCATGTAACCGATTCGAAGAAAATAAGATGAGTTTGATCATGTTCACGAATCCTGTCATTGACAGCATCATACATAGGCTGCAAATATCTGTTGTCAGCAACACCTACAATTTAAAGGGACCTGTACGTTCTTAAAGGGAGTGTTCGCCAAAATTGAAAGGGGGTGTAGGCTTTCGTCGAAAAATATTCGACAGTGATTGCTACTGATATTACTTCTATCTTTCGCGTCTACAAGGAAAAATTGTTAACAATCTCGTACTGAAGAGTCGCGAAAGTTCGTAGTAAGATTTTGACTCTACTGGAGACCATCTGGAGGGAATTCATTTTTTCTGGATAGACGCAGGGTGATTTACATTCCACTGGAGGGATTTAAATATCTTTCCAGGGGTTTCAGAATTCCACTGGAAGGATTCATAAATCTTTCAAGGTCGTTTATAAATCCACTGGAGGGATTCAGATATCTTTACAGGGGGTTTATAATTCTACTGGGGGGATTCATAAATCTTTCCAGGGGGTTTATAAATCCAGTGAAAGTTGTAATATCTGAATGACTTATTTGGAAATAAATTGATTTGTTTCCGATCCGAGTTGAATATTGCAACTTTAAAAATTTGATGCTGCGTTCTTCGGTAAGAGTCGTTTTTTTATAATTTTCTCCTTACAGACGCAACATATATAAATAAGATTGGTAGCATTCCCTATCGAATATATTTCGACGTCAGCCTAGCTATACCGCATTTCATTTTTCGCAAAAACTCTTTTTGATGGAACTGAGTTCTTGTAAAAAAATCCTTTATCTTTGCAATTCTATCTCATAGACCTTTCATATTTCATTCTTTGAGTTCTGAGGCCGAATTTAAAGAATTTGAGACGCGGCTTAAAATTGAGTCGCGGCTCAAATAAGGTTGGTTTAACTTAAAATTGTATTCATTGTTTAAAGATTTAAGCCGACGCTCAATACAAACCGGTTTTGGACGGATTTGAGACGCGGCTCAAACCTATTAAATTCGGACTCAGTTCCATCAAATGATTTAAGTTTGCAATATCAAATGTTTACTCCACCAGCGGAGGCCGAACTTAAAGAATTTGAACCGCGGCTTAAATTGAGACGCGGCTCAAGGTTGGTTCCACAAAAAATTGCATTCAATGTTTCAATATTTAGCCGGCGCTCAATTGAAACTGTTTTTTGGCGGAAATGAAACATGGCTCAAATTCATTTTTCTTTGAATTGATTTGCTTGATTTAATCTAATCTATAATGTGTAAGATATCATATATGTTTTTCTAAGTTAAGATTGTTTAATTCTAAGAACTCGTATATGTTTCTTGCAGAACGGAGAAATCTGCGTTTCACTTTTGTAGAGAAACCTCCATTAAAAAGTTATAAACATTGATATGTAATTCATACTTGATAACACAAAGCTTTAAGGGCAAGGTTTCAGGAAATTACCATCTATGTCTTGGAGAGTCACTTTAAATTATGATGGAATACCTGGAATAAGTAGTTCAGGTTCTTCATAGGTATTTCCACACCAAGGCTCATTCATTATCTCATAGCCAAGAATATATTCATTCTCACTTAATATATATTCATTATCTCATAGCCAAGAATATATTCATTCTCACTTAATATATATTCATTATCTCATAGCCAAGAATATATTCATTCTCACTTAATATATATTCATTATATAATATCCAAGAATATATTGAATAATAAATATAATGAATTATGAATATATATTCATAGTAAAATATACTCTTCAATCAAGGATGACTTATGTTTGTCATAGAAACTCTGGTAATTTGGGATATCTTTGTATAAAGGCTGTTTTTATTTTAAATCTTTTTATTATTTGTTTTCAGGCGGACATATTTATTTGGAGATTAAAATAAACACAAATCTACAGTCTAGTTTGTAAACAAGTTTTAACAAGAAGTTTTTTTTAGGATGTTTAAAGGATGGATTGGAGGTAGCTTGAAACTACTTTTACTGTACATTTAAGAATGCACACAAGTGTAGTCAGTTACACACATTACATACTAATATATAATTAGATATCATTAAAATGTTTCAAACCTGAATCGTTCTGCTACTTTCCCCCAAAATTCCACAAACCTATCAAGCAATCCATCGTAGTTCTGATACAGCCTCCCCACAGACTTAATACAAAGTTACAGCTATTAAGTCTTCATCTTTGCCTTTTGCCTTTGTATAATTTCTCCAAACCCCTCCCTCACTATATCCATAAGGACTCATATAAAACCAAATCAGCCAGAAAATCTGAGCTGAAAACTTTAGAATGGTGGATATCGAGATTAATGTGTGATCCTCTCTTTTTCTTAATATCGAGACTAATCTAATCTTGTACTTGTATCCTGAAAACTGTATAAAATTCAACCAATCAGAGTCACGTATATGAAGCTGATAAATTTGAAATTTTGTGCGCCATTTAAGATTATATACAGAAATGGGAGGAACTCTCTAATTTAAAAACCCGGTTTTTTATTTTTCTCTACTATATCCAAGAAAGAACGGATTAAGAAGAAAATCAATAGTGTGTCCATTGGATACTCAGATTAGATAAGATAAGATAAGATAACGTTTATTGCTAAAATAAATGTATCTGTATACAGATAGAGTTTACAATCACAAAATTGATGATTATATTAACAGTACAAGTATAANACTGATGTTCATAAAGTAGTTTAAATTTATTCAAATATTTCATAATTTGATTTGCTGCCACTTTTTCTAAAAGTTTTGAAAACGAAGAAAGCAAACTTATAGGCCTATAATTTGTAAAATTATCCGTTTCCCCAGCCTTGAAGATTGGGACGATTTTTGCAGTTTTAAGAGTGGTAGGAATAAACCCAGTTTTGAAAGATAAATCAAATAAATGACAGATAGGACCCATGATAATTGGTATGATAGACTTTAGCAAATTTGTTGAAATTTTGTCTGGTCCAGAACTGTTTTTACTTTTTAGTTTTTTAAGAGCATCATTTATAATATCGGGGGTCATATTTGCAAAAACAAAGATTAAGTAATCGGGATTAAGGATATCTCATTCTAAAGTTTTCAGCTCAGATCATTTGTTCTTAGATTATGTACATGCTGACAAAACATTTCTACTGTACCGTAAAAGGATGTTTTACCCGACAAAATCAACAAAATCATTGAATTCTAACCTGTTCTAAAGCATATGTAAAATGGTAGTTAGGCCAAGGAATACTATCACAGTCAACTCTGAAAAATTGATAGTTACACCATTGAATTAAATTAATAAGAGTAAAAATAAGAAGTAAAAGATAGGGTATTGTCATGGTAATGTAAAGAGTGGCTTATACACCTGAACTATGATTACTGAACAAAAATCTGGGTCTTAAAAATTATTGTTAATAAAATATTCTTTGTTTATAACAAAAACTATTCCCAGAGGTACATCCTGCTACGTTTATTTATCTCATTTTCACGCTTGATGTCTATTCATAGTCAAAGAATATTGAAAGAATAGCATCTATGGAATCTATGCCATTAAAATATTAAAGATCACTCTTCAAATCAGAGTGATTACGAAAACATTTTTTTTGTAACTTTAGAGGGACTGTTAAGGTAAAATAATAAAGGTAAAGGGTAATTGCCTTAAAATTTTAGGAAATGGTATATGAGTGCAGTCTGAATTGTATAAGCTCATATATTTGAGATATGTTATATTGAATCAAAGTGTAAAGAGATTATTTTTAACATATAAGGAACGAATCTGAAAACAACGATAATCCAGAGGTGCTCAAACATTTAAGGTAAGCTCCTTTTTTCAATTACTTGTTTATTTTCAATAGATATACTTGTTTTTAATCTTTTTTTCTCACAAGACCAGAATTTCCCCAAATTACATGCTGAGTACAGTATCTGGTCAAGGGGCTTCATTTATTTCACATGACCTGAATAACCATGCAGTACTTGGCAGAAACATGTTGCAGCAAAATAATTGTCATCAAAATAAAGCATTTTATTTCAGAGGTAACTTAATTATGACATTCAAATTATAATGGGAGCATACCTAAAAATTGTCGTCACCTCTGGATTATTATAGGCTTTTGATTCGTTCTGTATTTGTTGAAAATGATCTGTTAACACTTTGATTCAAAATTACTAAAAATATAAACTTTTATTTTTCTTTACCTCCCCGGATATATGTTTTCATCTGTTTCGTATTCCTCAGCAAGTGGAACAGGAAAATTGTTCTAAAAAACGTCTATAATTTGATGAGGTGAGCCGGCCGTCAGAATTATAATTTGTCTTTTTTATAGTGATTTCTGTCATGATATTTCTTAAGTCAACCTAAGCATATAATGGAAAATCCAGCAAGGGGCTAATAAAGGAGTGGCTTAAAAAAAGTTCATCAATAAATTGAAGAAAAAAAATTAACCAATAAGAGCTGAAAACTTTAGAATAAGATATCCATAATAATGATCGCTTAATCTGATTAGTGATTATCCAATGTACACACTTCTGATTTTCTTCTAAATCCTTATTTTTTGGATATCCCTACTGTATAAAAGTTACGCTTGGTAACAATTACAGATACAATGCTATATCTGCTATATCGATTGGACTAATACACATTTTAGGAGTTTAAGCATTAATCTTGATATCCACCATTCTAAAGTTTTCAGCTTATGCCGGTTATTTTCGATAGCTAAATTTTGCTAGGGATTTCAGATGAGTAAGAAGTTAAGAACTATTGTGCCCACTGCCCGAACCAAGAGCATATAGGGATGTTAATCGTATTTAAAAAAAACTTTTTAAAAAAGCGATCTTTTTCATAAATGATCGTTCCGTTTTCATTCTTTCGTCGACGTTTTCATAACGAAACGATCGTTTTAAAAAAAGGAAAAAGTTAGCATCCCTAGATGCTATTAGTAAATATGCGCATTTCCAAGTGTGTTTATCGTGTTGACCTCATCATGAATAGCTGCCCAGTCAGGAACACCATTCCCACAAAACTTTCTGTTAAACACATCCTCAAAAATTTAAACTCATTAAGCATATTGTTAACATAAAAAAACAGACTATTAATCATATTTGCTTTTAAATTTAATAATAAATACTACTTAGGATCAACAGGGTTACCCACAAAAGATGGTAATGTAAATACGACCTAAAACTCTTTAAATTTGACGATTTCAAGGTTAAAAGAATTTGTTTGGTCTTGAATATAATCGTTTTTTGGAACATGCCGTAACAATTTCCAACAGTTGTCTCTGAATCTCGGATCCTTTGTGGGTAGCCATGTGTAATTGTAGGGGCTCCATTATTTAGGGAAAATAAATGAATTGCATAATCTTAAACTTTAGAATAGGAAATGAAAGTGCAAAATTCATCTCCCTGCAATCAAAATTTTGCATTTTTCTTTTGCAATATGTAACCCAGACGAGATTTTAAAACCCAAGTAAACCCCAAACTCGGGCTTAGACAGAACCCGAGTCAGGATTGGTTCTTATTCGACCAATGAGAGACTGTTTAGCAAGCTTTCTCTCTGCCGTCAGATCAATTGTGACAAGGAGATGTAAATTTCAAAAATTCAAACTTTACGTAGATACATTTTTTAATAATATGTTTATTTTAACTAATAAAATTTGACACCACAAATAATGAGATTTGAAAAGCTTAAACCCAAGTAAAACCCGGTCTTTGCCTCTGCTTAGACCCAAGTAAAGCTCAATTCAAGACCCTGGTTTTGGATGGCCTTGAATTTAGTAAAAACATACCATCTTGGATTTTTCTCTCTTTAAGGCTTGAGTTTTTATAGCAGCTGATGATTGTAAATTTTGTAAAATCTTTTATATTTGTACATTTAAAATCTCAGGAATTGAACAGAGCCTGCTGTGATTTAAAAGATCCAGGTAAATACAACTCAAGTGTAAGCTTCCGTTGGGCCTTATTTACAGCTTGGGCTTTTCGTTGTAATTTGCTTGCATCCAATTTTGCACAGATGCAGAATTGAGTTCATAAAACACTGGCATAATATTGTATTGGGCGAATTTTCAGAGTTGGAATTGGCACATTCTGGGTTTCGATGAGAACTAGACTCAACATTGAGCCTTATTTTCCACTAAAACAAAGCAAGGTAGGTTTTTTTTTTCATTGGGCCTAACTCGGTAAGTCAAGTCTTTAAGATCTTGCAGCTGTCAATCACATGACACAAGCAGTCCTCAGAGTTGGGTCTAAGATTGGAACTTAAAGCTGGGTTTAAGGAATTACAACTCGAGCTGAAACTTTTAAATCAGGTGCTCAGGAAAAATTCTAAAGCAATCATCCAAAATATTTATTTTTTTTCAGAAATATCTGAAATTATTCTGAACTATAGTCATAATTTCAAACAAAGTCTCCGGAAAGTTGTTGTAGAATAATTTTTTTGTAGTAATGTATAAAAAAAAATTTGCGGAGCAGAGAGAAAGGGAAAAAATAAAAATAAACTTTTAATTAATACCTGATGCATGTCTAGTAAAGAATAAATACCCCTTTCTCCAGCCATATTTACAATTTCCTCAACTATATCTTAGCAAGTAAAACCTCACATTATTCTTTATTTTCAAGATTCTAGTTTTGTAGTTTTTTATGTGTTATTATATGACCCAACAAGGTTAGGATAAAGCAACTTCTGTTTTACCGAGCTTATCTCCTTATAATGAAATTTTAGATTTAAAAATATGCTAAAATTTTTAATTGAACTCTGTATCTAATTCTAACCTAGATAGGTTTCATTATATTCTCCCATTGTTGGTTCGTATCCAGCCCAGAGCACACCTAAAAAATAATATCACAATTCTTGTTACTTTTAAACTCTACCAGTAAGTAAGTAAGTAAGTAATCATTTATTTATGAAAAATAACAAAAACATACAAAATTCAGTGTTTAAGGAGAAAATATTTGAAAACCTCCAAAAATAGAGGTTGTGCGAATATTTCCCCCCAATTCTAAAAAAATAGAAAAAATCGAAAAAAAAGAAAAAGGAAAGGAAAGGAAAAGGAACGTTACATATTTATTGTTCACATTATATTTAAACTAGTGGTGGATTGTTTGTATTTTTCGACAAAATAGAAATAAAAATGATAGATTTATTTGTAATGTTTAAAAATATAAGATAGGTTTTTTGGGTTGTGAAAATGAATAGGTTAAAAATGTGTATTTTTAAGCATCTTTTTAATTGACGCTGAATTTTTACATCCTTTATGTTTGATTATATCTTTTACTCTTCTTAATCTTTTTAGTCTTTTCTTTGTAAAATGGTAATCTCCAAAATTGTGGTCTCAAGTCTGCCTTTTTTAAGCTTTCGAAAATATCAGAGATTTAAAGAATTATGTTCAGATTTTATAAGAATGTAGGTTAACAATTAGATAACATTTTTTATTTCAAAATAGAAGATCTTCAAATCGTTGTAAAGTTTTCAACTATGATGTTTGAAATGACCGGAAAAGAAAGCAATGATAAATATTTTAATAAAGTTTTTTTTTCATTTCTTGGTGGGCAGAGGGGGGGGGGTAATTTACCTAATCTTATGCTATTGTATCCCATAGAGGCCAGTAGGTCTGCATCCTCTACACTGAAGGACTCCTATATTTACATGGTATTTAATTAAAAATATTCAATTCACCTTAATATAGACAACTCTGAAACTTATATATATATATAATTTTATTTTATTTATGTATATTTTCTTAAACTGCCATTCTAGGAGCTGCTCGAAGCTTAACAAAGAGATATATGTAGGTAGTTAATACAGCATAAAAATGTCTTTGTTGAAAGTGCTTTTTTTCCTGAATGCGAACTTTTTTTGGCACTTTTATTTTGTAAAAATAAATAAATAGCCATGAAATATGCGGGGACAATGGAGACATCTTTTTAAGATGTCTATATAGATATTTATTCAAAAAATTATATTTGCGGCATTCCATTATCAGGAGATTTAGAAACGACTTTTGATAAATTCTTTCGATGTATTCTTTATTTAGGGTTTAAATGTAGGCAAATTTAAGTATTACTTCTCCCAAAAATTGAACGGAATATATTTTGAAAAAATTAATTTCACTTGAATCCTAAAAATACTGACCTTCGCATCAAAGCTAGATGTATCTGGAACAAACGGAGCAGTTTTATAAACAACATTAGTACCGTGGAAAAACCGGGTTCGACCTTAGGAAAGGAAAGGAATAATGTCCCAGTGAGACCCAGAACACTGTGGAATAGAAAGACGGTTCATGGATTTTTAGATAATCCAATGAACATTAAAGGGACAGACCGGCTATGACTGAGTTAAACTGAGTTAAACTGAGTACGCTGTGTTGTGGACAAATTCTTTAGGATTCATTTGAGACGTATAAAACTTTTCCACGATGTATGATTGCTGAGTTTAAGTGCATAGTTGACGTTAAAAATCGTGAATTTGGATGGGTACGTTTTCAGAATCGGTTTTTTAAAATTATTAGATAACAACAAAACATAAAGTAAAAAATTTTACCGTAATCTAGATGATTAGGAATATATTTCTCAAAAGAAATTTGTCAATAAATCAATGCTAGAATCAATCATTTCGTTTTCATCATTAAATTGAATTTCTTATTTTCTATGAATATATTTGCAGATTTTTACAAATTCTTCAAATGTCGTCTTTTTAATAAAAATTCCAGAAAATCTGCTAAAAATATTTGTGAATAACAAGAGATCATAGAAACTGACAATAGAATAAGATTACTTAGTTTGGAGGATAAGATTAATTTTTATTTTCTCAGCCTGTTTCTAAACAACTAATTAGTTTAATGTAGAATTTTGTTTACATTTTTTGTCGTCGTTATTTAATAATTTTTAAAAAAAATTCTGAAAACGTATCCACCCAAGAATACAATTTTTAATTTCGACTTTGCGCTCAAACTCAGGATTTACAGATCTTTAAAAAGTTTTACATGTCTCAAATGAATCCTAAAATTTGTCCACAACACTGCTTATATACTTGGTTCAACTACCTTACATAACCGGTCTGTCCCTTTAAACACAGACCAATTACGCTTGACTAATTGATTTTCAAGCTATTATCAAAACTATTTACTTTATAAACACAAAAAAAAAAAATTAAATGTCGTCTTTTTTCACTGTTTAAAGTCTTTAAAACTTATACTACGCATGGTGGGATTAGGGATTCGTTTTACAGAAACTTATAATGTTTTAGACTTTTCAAAGATTTTACGACAATCTGTTAGGGTTCCAACATTTCAAAATTATATTCTGTAGAAGTTGTCTTTCATCAAACATTCAAATTTGTTAGCCTAGAATAAAATATAATGCAAAAACGATAATTTTGGGTTTTAAAACGACAATTTTTGAATCGTTATTGCCTTATATTTTCACCTAGGATAACAAATTTTGAGTGTTGGATAAAAGCAAACTTCTAAAGAATACAATTTGAAATTGTTGGAGTCTTCTCAGATTGTCGTAAAACCTTTCAAAAGTATAAAAATATTGCCCATCGCTAGGTGGGATGTCAATAATACTTGAATGCATAGAAAATGGATCGTTGTTACTCGCTCTTTAAGATTTTTTTGTATAAAATTTGAAAAGTACAGTTTATAAATTGAATTGAGATCAATTTTGTTTTTGAAAAATAATATCGGAGTTATATTTTTCTCTTATAAATTTAATTCGATCGCGGCATGAACAAAACCCCCAAAGTTTCACGAAAACCCAAAAATACAGTAATAACAAGAAAACCGTAGATGTCTTCTTTGATATTCCGTTTCATAAAGAGGTGTCTTAAGAGATATGTGTTGTAACTAGAACGCTCTAGAAATGTACAGCCTTACAGGGTACTTTTTTTCAGTTAAAAATAATAAAAATGACATTTTATAATTATAGGAAAAAAGCCAACGAATTTTTCTAACCTTCCGTGTCCAGTATCCTATGCGTTTCTGGATTTACTGTTAAAGTACAAAACATGATATAGCTGTGTAGATGCAAAACGTTTTCAAAGGTTTGTACAAACCATTTGCTCACTTTCTTTGAGTTATGATATCATAGAATGTATGTCAAGGGAAAAAACAGGTGTTAAACTAATATCATTGATAAACTCGTCTTAGCTGCTTACCTAAAAATATATAACTTTCTATTGTTGATTTGTTAGTTATATTGCATATTTTGTTGCAAAATTTGTGCAAAACGTGGCAAAAATAGAGCAAATTTTAATTATTATTATCCTCCTGGGTTTCAGGCTTTCAGCTTTTTAAAAAGCTATGAATCATCAAGATTGAACAATTTTCAATGGTATTAAAATCAAATTTAAAATATGAGGTAAAACAGGCCTATTTCTGGCTTCCCATTACATTTTCAAGCAGTCCCAAAGGTTTAATTCTTTAATAGGATTTAGGAAAACTCAAGAAATTTCAGCTTTTTTGGTTTTTAGCAATATAAAAAACCATAGGGGATGGGGGGCATTTTGACCCTCCCCCCCCCCTGCAGGAATATGGTTAAGAGATTAAACGGAGGTGACTTTTATTCCTCGTTATTTTGTCAAAAATGCATTGCGTATTTTCAATATTATGTTCATTCCTATAAATTTGCTGCTACTGCAGCTGCTCAACGAGAGCTGAAGCAAAAAAGCTACTGCACTCAGGAGCAGCATTTTCAAACTGAGATAATTTAGGAAATCTTATCTTTCTAGTTTCTATGGCTATTAAAAGTTATTGAATCAGAAGTCTAAATACACGTGTGTATCACCAAAATGGGAATATATTAATTATTAAAAGAAACTTTAACATATTTTTCTTAATATAGAGTTATTAAAATAATTTCAAAATCAACTAAAAAAAAACTCTATATTTATGTAGACCAGGTGCCTTGTAGTTGTAGACCTTCGTCTGATAAAAAGTATCACTGCTTTCATCTTAAAATTCACTATTTTAAATTAAAGTTCTGTATAAAAGATACTTGTAAGTTGTTGATATATGCAGGATTCGATGATATCGTAATAACTGAAACGATAAACATGTTATGTAATGAGTAATTATCAATGTCGCCTATTTGTGCATAACTTTGAATATTTTAATTTTTTCTTTTGCTATATATATATATTAAAAAAATTTGCTATATATTAAAAATATTTGCTATATATACAAAAAATTTGCTATATATTTTAAAAATGTATTTAAACAAATTTAAATTACACTAATTATATCTTTGTGTGTGAATAAATCTCTATAATAATGAAAATAAGGAAATTCTTCTCTATATTCAATAGGGTTTGAAAATTATTAGATGTATGGTCTCTAAAAACAAAGTCAACAATACCATGCAATAAACCGTTAATACCTTCAACCTTTATTCATTTAACCACCAAAAGTGCAAAAAAATCCTACAGTGGGCCCTGTAAACAAATCTTACAGTGGGCCCCGTAAACAAATCTTACAGTGGGCCCTGTAAACAAATCTTACAGTGGGCCCCGTAAACAAATCTTACAGTGGGCCCCATAAACAAATCTTACAGTGGGCCCCGTAAACAAATCTTACAGTGGGCCCCGTAAACAAATCCTTCAGTAGACCCCGTAAACAAATTCTACAGTGGGCCCCGTAAACAAATCCTACAGTGGGCCCCGTAAACCAATCCTACAGTGGGCCCCGTAAACAAATCCTACAGTGGACCCCGTAAACAATTCCTAAAGTGGGCCCCGTAAACCAATCCTACAGTGGGCCCCGTAAACAATTCCTACAGTGGGCCCCGTAAACAAATCCTACAGTGGGCCCCGTAAACAAATCATACAGTGGACCCCGTAAACAAATCCTACTGTGGGCCCCGTAAACAAATCCTACAGTGGGCCCCGTAAAACTTTAAAATAGGAAAACAAATGTTAGACTGAAAATACAGAGCGTCCCATATCATATTAGATTATCTCCAATCTTTAATACCTAAATACGCATATTATACTAAAAAATCTAGCATTTTCTGCAAAAAAAAAATTCTATTAGCCTTATTAAATTTTTTTGATTTGTCCCTCAAATCGCAATTTAGACCCGTTCTCGGTCTAATATGATGTGGGACACCCTGTATGATTATAAAAAATGCATGAAGTATTTGTGATGTGTATACACAGACCCATTTCACTTATAAGTTCTTATAAAACTATTTGCATTATGGCCACATAAAATACACTTAATGTTGCTTGGATGTCGTCTTTATTGGATTTATATAAACCTTCCCTGAGGTCATGTGAGGTCCCTAAAAAAATTGGCCACAATCGATTAAGCCGTTGTCCTGCTAACTGGACACAAATAAGTACACCCAGGGACCAGAAAAGCCAAAATAATGTATATAAAATTTAAACATTATTTATTAATTTATTACAAGAAAGCTTTATAAATAATATAAATAGATTATATATATTAACAGTTTAAATATGAATAATAATATATAGTGCAAATTCTCGTTTTTTGTAGTTTTTTTTAAGTATTACAGCAAAGTAACAATTCATATTTAATGACCCTTCATGTGTAGGTTGATATAAATATGAATAATAATATATAGTGCAAGTTTTTCAGTTTTTTTAAAGTATTACAGCAAAGTAACAAATTATGTTTAATGAGACTGTAGTGAAGTAATTCTAATTGAACTTTCATGTGTAGGTTGGCATGTCTGATTTATAAAGGTCCCCTTAATATCTTTATCTGCTCAAGGAGGATTTAGATATACTATTTGCCTTACTGAGAACTGACACCAGTGAACACTTAATTCCACTTGATATTTTTAGCTAGAAAAATAAAAATATCTCTGTCATCTATTATCAGTAAATGATATCGTAGTAAATCAGACATACAGATTACGCCTTCAGTGGTCGAATTTAAAGAATTTGAGCGGCGGTTTAAATTTAAGCCGCGGTTTAAATATGGTTCGTTTCAACTTTAAAATTGTATCAAATGTTTTAAGATTTAATCCGGCACTAAATTTAAACTCGGTTTTGGCAGATTTAAACCACGGCTCAAATTCTTTAAATTCCATCTCTGTTCTCTTAAAGGTTGTAAGGTAGAGAAGTTTCAGAATGTTTTCCAATCTCTTTCAATCTCTTCTTCAAAGCTTCAGCACTGAAAATAATCTTTTTAGATATTTATTAATAATAATGTAATTATCATATATTATTATTAAATTATTTGCCACTTTTTTGGATTGTTATAAAAATAGAATAGTCAAGAAAACTTGCTTGAGAATCGGCTTGGTCTAGAAACTCAACTTTCGTTAAAAAAAGTCATCACTCAACTTAAAGGGAGTGTTCGCGAAAAATGAAAGGGGGTAGAGGCTTAATGCGATAAAAAAGCGCTTTTGATCGCTACTAATCTTACTTCTATCTGTTTCGTCTATAAGAAGAAAATTGTTAAAAACGACTCACACCGGAGAACGCAGCGTCCATACAAATTCGTAAAGATGCAACATATTATGAAATATCAACTATTTACGAATGCGTCGAAAAATAATCGATGACTATTGATTTGTTTACGATCCGAGTTGAAAGTTCTGAGTTTGTATGGACACTACGTTCTTCGGTATTAGTCGTTTTTAACAATTTTCTCCTTATAGACGCATCAGATAGAAGAAAGATTAGTGGCGATCTAAAGCGCTTTTTTATCGCATTAAGCTTATACCCCCTTTCATTTTTCGCGAACACTCCCTTTAAACCAAGCTAAGAACATTCCTGTGTGTCTGCCGAGTTCCATAATATTAGTAAACAATGATTTGACAAGCCCGGTCTATCTACCTTGTCCAGGAAAATATTAACCTCGTTTTACAATCTTTGTTAATGTTTTGATAAGTTCCGAGGAGTTCTAATACAGGGTTATCCACACAGGACGAGACTTTTGAGACGACATTTATACTTATATTCATGATTTCCTCCAACTTTCGTTGTCAAATCATAAAAAAAAACATTTAAAGACAATTTTCAAGGCAGAAGACTTAATTCAACCTCGGGATCGTCATATTTGAAGAGTCGTCTTTACTGTGCTGTATTAAAAACCCTAAGACATCTCCATTATCTTATGTCTAAACTCATTGAAACAATCTGTTAAGGGGGCTGGAAACCTTATTTTTCAGTGAAACTACTTCTATCTTAAAATACCTTTTAAAGAGTAAACTCAATCGAAAGTATACTCAATTTTACTGAAGATAAAGAAGGATACCTCATTAATCCTATAGAATGGTTTTATAGGTGCCAATTTATAAATTTAGCCTTTTGTCCCTTTAAGTGGTTTTTTTTCACCAATTGAGCATTTGTTTTTACAAAAGATGTCATCACCTATTTTCTGGATCTGATCTTGAAGTGTAATGTCCTGTACTATCCTCTCCATATCCATACTCTAGATATCCAGATTCGACCTCAGGGTATCCCTGATATCCAATATGCCCAGGGGCACTGTATCCTTGATATTCAGCAGGGGCGGATAGAAGAGGAGGGTCAAGATGAGGATACCGAGGAGCATGATGATGATGATGGTGATGATGAAAAACTCTTGGAGGAAGAACCACAACAACACGCGGCTGAGGTTTCTGAAAGAGATTTTTCAGACACAATAGTTTGCAGTTCTTTCTTTAAACGTTATTTTGGAATTAGAAATTTTAAAAACTTACATCTAATATTTACAGAAAGGATTCAAATTTCAAACAAAAATTTTGTAAACTTCTTTTGTAGAGTTCGGTTTTGCGAACAAACCATTTAGTATATTTTTGTTCAGTTTGGTTGAAGAGACTTGCCAATTTGAAGATGCAAGATTGAGCTATATTTTTGTTCATTAATTTGCTTTACAAGAAGTATTTTTAGGAACAAATTTTTTGGTTTAAAAGGAACATCTTTAAGTAGTGATCAATTTGTTTCCTATATGGGTCAAATCAAATTTAACAATTTTGGTAAACAAAGCTTTCATTTGTTCATCTAAGTTAAAAGAGGAAGCTAATATTTGTTCATATAAAGGAATTGTGTCTGTAAATATAATATTTGTTCATATAAAGGAATTGTGTCTGTAAATATAATATTTGTTCATATAAAGAAATTGTGTCTGTAAATATAATATTTGTTCATATAAAGGAATAGTGTCTGTAAATATAATATTTGTTCATATAAAGGAATTGTGTCTGTAAATATAATTTCAAGTGACCCTCCACGCAAAGGGTGATTTTTTATATCATAACTCATAATGAAAGACGACAATCTAAATATTTTCAGAAATTTTTTAAAAATACAAATATTTATTTTTTCTCCTTGTTAGAGAATCCACATTCCACAATATTTTTACCGTAACGTAGAATGGTGGATGCCTGTAGTTTAGTCCCGGGAAAATAAATCCTTGAACAGGAATCAAAGCAAACCAGGAAAATAAAACCTAAATTAGAAACTTAATATTCAGAGCTTGGACAGGAATCAAAGCAAACCAGGAAAATTAAATTAGAAACTTAATATTCAGAGCTTGGACAGGAATCAAAGCAAACCAGGAAAACAAAACCTCAACTAGAAACTTAATATACAGAGCTTGGACAGGAATCAAAGCAAACCAGGAAAACAAAACCTAAATTAGAAACTTAATATTCAGAGCCTGGACAGGAATCAAAGCAAACCAGGAAAACAAAACCTAAAGCAGAAACTTAATATTCAGAGCTTGGACAGGAATCAAAGCAAACCAGGAAAACAAAAACTAAATTAGAAACTTAATATTCAGAACGTTGCTGACTAAAATTTGTAGGTAAAAATCGTTGAACGAGACATTGGACTTAGCTCGAGGATGTCTCATAGATTTAACGTTTTAAATAAAGTTCATATATGGGCATTTCAATTTTAGATATGGACATTTCTTAAGCGGCATTTCATAAATAGACATTTCATAGATTTATTTCATCGGTGGAAAATTCATAGATGTTATTTTATAGATATGCATTTTAAAAATGAACATATTTATTGATGAAAATGACACAGATACAAATTTCATAGACGGAAATATCATAGATGGACATTTCATAGATAGACATTTCATAGACGGACATTTCATAGATAGAATTTCCATAGATGGACATTTCATAGATGGATATTTAATAGTCGGACATTTCATAGACAGAAATTTCATAGACGGAAATATCATAGATGGACAATCCATAGATAGACATTTCATATGACGGACATTTCATAGATAAACATTTCATAGATAGACATTTCATAGATAGACATTTCATAGATATACGTTTCATAGACGGACATTTCATAGATAGACATTTCATAGACGGACATTTAATAGACGGAAATTTCAGTATTGAACATTTCATAGATAGACATTTCACAGTTGGACATTTCATAGATAGACATTTCAAAGATAGACATTTCATAGACGTACATTTCATAGATAAACATTTCATAGATTGACATTTCATAGATGGACATTTCATAGATAAACATTTCATAGATAGACATTTCATAGAGAGACATTTCATAGATATACGTTTCATTGACGGACATTTCATAGATTGACATTTCATAGACGGACATTTCATAGACGGACATTTCATAGATAAACATTTCTTAGACGGACATTTCATTGATCTAAATTCCATAGATAGACATTTCAGAGATGAACATTTCATAGATAGACGTTTCATAGACGGACATTTCATAGATATACATTGCATAGACGGACATTTCATAGATAGACATTGCATAGACGGACATTTCATAGACGGACATTTAATAGACGGACATTTAATAGACGGACATTTCATAGACGGACATTTCATAGACGGACATCTACTTACGTAAGGTAGAAACATCTTGGCTTGATGAGGGAAGTATCTGGTCGGTTTGACCACTGCAGGAAGACAGAAATAGTTTTAAAATTAGATAAAAAGATAATTTAACCCTTCACACTTGGCAGGAGAGGGGCACGTAAAGGGAAGAAGAGGGGAGGAAGGGGGCGAATGATAAAATAAAACACTTCTTCATTAAATCGTGAAAATTTTGCCCCTTTCTACATTTTCATAATATTTATCAGATTATTCTTTACTTTGTTTTATTTTGTTTAATCTTGGTAATTACATCAGAGGCAGACTATATTGTTATCTGTTTTTAATTATTTAATGGGACTGTCCAAGTATTTTTCTAGACACCAGTTGAATCTGTGTCAGATTAACAATGGTACCCTTGAAACCTTGGCTGAACAAAAATTCTTGATCTTAAAATAACTTTCAAATGTTTGTTCTCTCTTTTAGTGACTTGCGGTCTGCGAATTTTGCAGTAGAGTCCAAGAAGGAAATTGACAGAATTTAACACGTGTTCTAGATATAAAAATAAGGATAAGGTTCTAAATTTCCTTGGGAATTGGTAATGTGACTTTTTATTAACGGGGTAGCTTACTGCATAAATATTTTATATTTTGTCAAGTCTGAAAGCCGTAAAGTTAGAAGCAGATTAAAGCTTCTTAAGTCCTCATTACTTTGCGAGAAATAATCATTTTTAGTTTTCTAAATTAGCAAAAGTCGACAAAAAATTTTTTTTAACATTATTGATTGATTGAAAAGGCATTTCATGAAATTTTTCATAGTACAGGTCAAGGCTGTAATGCAAGGAAAGTTAATGGCAGTTACGTATACTCTGCGTACATATTGAAACCAGTTCTCTCTGGCCGGAATTTGTAAACAAGAATAGATGCATCAGTGTTCATTTAGTATCCGATGAGGATAAAAGCATTAAATTTTGATAATTCACATAATAGCTGGTTTCATATGACCAAAATATTTAATTGATTTTTTGTGTGAAAGATGGATCCCATGTCAGGCTTCGAAATCCGTCTTGTGTTTACATTACCGCCCAGAGACAGTACACTGCAGTACAAAATCTGCGCACACCCCTGAAATAACTTTCCTTGCATTATAACCTTGGCACAGGTAGTCCCAATGAAAAGGAAATTTAAAGATTGCAGTATTAATATAATTTTTGTTTTTTACTTACTAACAAATGTCCCATGAAATACAGAGACGATAGAAAATCAAAACTTTTTTTTGGATAACACTCTGTAATTTCTTGGTCTTGAATTCTCAATGCTGCACTGGATTTTGAAGTTTTTAACTATTAATTATACTTAAAGACATCTTAGAAAGGGTGAAGGACACATTTTTAAAAATATTTAGTATCAGAAAGACCCGGAATATGTTGACAGTTAATCAGGCGATTTTAGATACACATCTCTTGCAATTTTAAATGCTCAAAAAATCAGACCACATTTTGGAAATGCCAGGAGTAGGACTATTTGTGATTATGGTTTTATCAATCATATTTGTAAAATTATATTGTAAAGTCGTCTGATTAATTGGAAATTAATTCCGGGTTTTTCTGATTAGGACTGCTTATAATTGTATTTTGATTTTATTAGAATTAAAAAATTAAGACAAAAGATAATCCGTTTTACTTTAAATACCAATTTATTTAAAAAAAATGTTCTACCGTAACTAAATTTCTCTGAAAATATTAAGATTTTATCTTGACTAAATAGCAGAAATTATTAAACAAGAGACCGAATTTAAAGAATTTGAACCGCGTCGCTGAACAGCCATAAACCGGTTCTAATTGAGCGCCGGCTCAACTCTTGAAACGCTAAATACAATTTTAAGTGAAACAACCCATGTTTCTTTAAATTCGCCCTCAGTTAAAACTAACTCAGTCATCCTTCATAAATTTTAAACTTCACGTGGATTTAACGGTTCTGTCAATATTCCAGAAAGCTGTGACTTTCGATCACAATTTTACCCATTAAACATAATTTGCTAGCCTTTTCTATGAAATACTTTTTTGTGGGCATATGCATTTTAAATGAAAATGTATTATATAAACAAATCCGTAAAGTAAATGATTATTGAGTTAAAGACCAAAACTCGTTTGATTTCAAATAGAAGACACCGAATGCTGCTCACTCTGGTTAGTCCGGTGTGGGATAGTATCGAAAACTTTTGACTTTTCCTACGATTATACCCAGCCTTGCCCCCAGGAATATAGACTTTAGTATTATCAAACAAAATTCTCCTTTGGTTTAAAGGAATTTGGTCAAAAGATTCAAAAGTTATGGTATGACTTACAACCAAACAGAGATTAGTACTTTATTTAAAGGGAGTGACTGCGTAGACTTTGTGGTTGAGCTGAGAGTTTAATATTGTAGAGAACGTTTTAGGATTCATTTGAGACCTATGACACGTGTTTACAACCAAACAGAGATTAATACTTTGTTTAAACGGAACGACTGCGTAGACATTGTAGTTGTGCCAAGAGTGTAATATTGTAGAGAACCTTTTTAGGATTCATTGGAGATCTATGAAACGTGGCGGTGTTTACTGCACTCTCAGCTCAACTACCATGTCTAAGTGGTCACTCCCTTTAAGGAGATTACACTGTTATGATGAGATAATTATCTAGCGGGACTATTTTAATCTTGTCTTGTTGGAATCTTTTTATCATGGAATTTATATTCATTGTCAGAACAATTCAAACAATGATATCTATCTATTAAAATAAAAAGGATTGTTTGAATTGTTTGGATAGATATCAGGGGCGGACTAAACCAATATCTTGGGAGGGGCCTGCCCCCCCCTCCTAAAAATTAAACAAAAAGCAGTAAATTTCCAAATTTCTTATTTATTATCACATTTCGAGATTTACATATAAAAAATGAAACATTTTTATTGAGATCGATTAAGCATGAATCTTATCGGTAATTAAGAAATAAACAATTAAGTCGCTGTCCAATTCATAATTTGAATAGGAATTTAAACTGTTTACCAATAAAAAGAATTTTCCATAATGAATAATAATCGAGCATTTTAGCCTTTTTTACATTTTTACATATCAAATCAAAGGTAGTAATGTTGGTGCTTATCTATTCTTTTTTGAGCATTTACTAATAATTAATGAATCCTTTATATCACGTGTTTAATGAATTTTTAGAGTGATAACCAGAAAACTTTGAAATAGGAAGACGACTTTGAAATTCAAGTTAGGACTTAAACTAGTTCAATAAACATTAGATAAAGCAATTGTAGAGTGTAAATAGACCCATTCAACATAAATAGTGCTTTGCTAAGTTACTAGTTAATATATTTGCTTTGTAACAACATCAAAACGCTTAAGTATTGTTATAATGTCGTCTTTCTATTCCATTGTTTTCTGATTCTCACCGTTTGAGAAAACAATTTAAAAAGGTATTTCAGTTGAGGTAATTTATTTAATACTATTTTCGTTCGATCTTTCATCCCTTGATCTTTTTATTTCATATCATGAATTTCCTTAGGGGTGGGCCCATCTGATAGGCATGTAAATATATATAAGGAGTTAGATCCTGAAATATTTTGAAATTTTCTAATCTGAAGCTGATACTTTAAATATATATTTATATACAAATACATATATCCTAATCAAGTATATATATATGCAATATGCATATATATATATATACATACTAATCAAGTATATAAATAAATCCTAATATAGTATTATAATACATATATATATTAATCAAGTATATATATATAAAAAATAAAAAATACTTTCAAATTGTCATTAAAACCAGAATATTTCACTTTAAAATTATGGTTTCAACATTGCTACATGATATTACTGCACAATTTATTCCATTTTCTATTTGAACTTTCTTGTCATCATGCTGCTGAAGAATGTCCAACATGAAACACAGTGTTCAGCAATAATCAATCTTAATAAACAATTGAACATGTTTTAAACTTATTATAAGAAGATATATATATACTAATTAATAATATAGTACTTTCAACTTTTTTCATTTTAAATATACATTTTAGATGTTTAAATATATATTTTTTCCAAGACAAAATGTTTCATGGGTCTAACCCAATCATCAGTTGGAATAAAACTCTGATTTTATTGTTTGTTTGCATGTATGTCTCTGATCAAAATTATGAACTCCTTGGCCGATTTGCCTTACATTTTGATTGGAAAACTCGGTTAAATCACAGGAATTAGTAGGGAAAATAAAGTTTTCAGGCAAAGCTGTATTCCCACGATGAATTGATAAATTCTTGTTTAGGAAAAAAAGATGATGAACTCAGGGGTGTATTGAGGAAAATGTCAAGGGGGCTTAGTTTTTTTTCCTCCAGGGAGGGCTCAGTATCTGTTGGGGCCTGAAAAACCCCTAATTTTAATGAATCTATACGTACAATGGTAGAGTATAAATGCAAATTTATGATTTATTTCAAATTCCCATTACATATATCTAACACATATCTATTAAACTTCTTGTGTTTATTCCACAATAGTAATGTTCAGATTTCTGGCAAAATCTAGAATTCTTTGTTTATGCTTCCCCTGGACTACACAAACATGATGTGGGAATCCAATCTGGATCCATCTATCGAACCCTGTCTCGAGGTTCACCCCATCTATCTCCACTAGACCATTGTTGCCTAAAAGTAGAGATGGCATCATTTTTTTTAATAAACTAAATTTTTCAAAACAAACGAATGATGAACGAACAAATTGGATTGTTTAGGTAAATAAAAAACGATAATTTTTTTTTAACAAATGAAAAAGGCAAAAACGAACGAAATAAAAGTATTAATAATCGTTCACACTTTATTGATCAGTCAGACCGCCTGCGCACAATTACTAAATCGTTTTTTCGAACTTAAAAAAACCTATGGTTTATACTGAACTAACGATTTTTCGAAAGAATTTTTAAAAATTTCATAGATCTTTAATCCACTGATTTTTTTAACGAACGAAATGGGACGTATACGATAGATTAACAAAAAAGTTGTAAAAAATCCAAATGTGCCCATCTCTACCTAGCAGAGCTCTTGAAGGCTTAATAGAAACTCCTTCTAACACCAAGATGTGGTATTTATTGTTAAACACCCATAACCTAAACATTTCAAGCGTGATCAACTTTTTCTTTCTTTAGAATGGATATTCCCCTTCCCTCCCTGAGATGTCATTTACCTGTAAAGTTTGGACCGAATTTCAGGCTCATTAAAAAAAGTCCCTTGTAAACAAAATTTCAAATATGTCGATATTGGTAACAAAAAATGCACCCAGAGCGAATAAATGGTTTCCATTTGATTAAATATTTTCAAAACTGTTTCATATAAGAAAACTGATTGTTATTGACTCTTTTTGTAAATTTTTTAATGTTTTTAGGAATATTCAATCTTTTGGTTCGTCAAGTAAAAAATTCAAAAAAAACATGCCTTGCAATCTCTGAAAATTTAATTTTATTGGTCAACCAGACTAAAACACTTAAAGGTATAGAATTATGAAAATGGATATTTTGTTCTTATGGCAGTAAGGGAAGAAAGGAATATAAAAGCCAAATTGTGCAATATAAAGTACAAAATGACTCTCTTTTCACAAGTAAGAATAGTCTGCTAGCTTTGAGCTATTCAGGCAGAAGGTGCCTTCATATTAATATTAAACCATTATTGAGTATTCTGTATTATGGTTATCATTCACCTGTAAATAGTTAATGGAATTCCTATTCTTATTGTTGCATCTAAACAACCTGGGACCCGGTTGTTAAAATGTCTAGATATGCAGGGACCAAGAACACTCCCAATTGGCTCACTAAAACAGGAAAGCACTGTATCATCATACAGTATATGTTTTCAATTCTATCAATTATCGTCTAAAGAATGGTGAAACAGAATCGAATTTGGATTTAATTGCTTCTAACTTTACTTCTATTTATAGCATCTATAGAGAGAAAAAGATAGAAAACACTTAATATTAAGGGCTGAGAAGTCAAGTAAATTCACGGATTTCACAGAAACATGATTGATTGATTGCATTCTCTGTCAGTAAATAGTTAAGGAGAACAATTAATGAATTGAAAATGCGGCTTTGGTTATTAAAAAAACACGAAAATGGTATAAATTTTCTCAAAAAGTTACACTACCATCCTTATAAAGATTAAAAAAATATGATATGCAAGCTGCGTTCGAATGACAAAAATGAAATTCAGAATTTATGTATTATTGTAATATTCTAATTATCAGTTATGAATTTATTGAAATGTTTAAGATTTGAGTTGTAACATGCAACTTAGTATATTCCCACCAACTCTGTTGCTCTTAACATTCAGCGTGTTTAGCCCTTTCCACCTAATAAATGCTATAGTAAACTTAATAGCAATACTTCCTTGAAGATGACCAAAATAATTTTACTGGGAACCTTAATTGAAGTGGTGCCATACCACCATGCCAGAGCGTTAGACGGTTATCTTCATGTTCCAACCAGTCGGATAGATAGACTGCTCCAGATCCCAGCAGTTTACCAACCAGACAGCTCAGAGCCCCATCCACATCGCCTTCACAGGCTACTGGGAATCCTTCAGTTGCAAGTCTTGCTAATGCCATGTAGCACCATTGTTCCAATCCCTGATTATAGAAATGTTTGGTGCTAAAAAGTTCTTTAATTATCTGGTTTGACGGGAATTAAAAGAAAAATGATTTCAGTCTTTATAATATATTGCAACTAGAAAGCCACAAAAAGGTTAAGAATTCATGAGCTAATGAGTCTTTGCAACAAATCCCAGTTTTCTAATATCTATATATCTACAACCAAATTATGTAAACCTTAGATATTTCAAACTTTGATTGTTTGATATAACAGAAGTCATAGTTTGAAATATCTAAGGTCTACAACATTGGTTGTTAAGATATTGGGATTTAAAAACCTGAGTTTGTGGCAAAGACTCAGTTCCTTTCTTACTCAAATCACTTTACACAAACAACATATTATATCTATCGTTAGTATTTATAATATACCTGTGGACCTGGAAGTTCTGGCCAACAGCGGATTGCCAAACTATCAAAATTATTTTCTTGGATAAACCGTCTTAGTGCAAGGTAGTGTCGAGACGACTGAGAAAGCTCTGATTGTTCAACTCCAAATCCTGTGGCAAGGCTTTTGAAGGGAAGCTTAAGGTTATTTATGATATAATCAATATCAGCTGAAACTTCTTCATCAGAAATAAGATGAAGAGCTGTAGATATATACTCTGTCATCCCAACATGTTGAAGGATAGAACCCAGCTGCTTACTCATCTCGAAAGGGTTAGGGTAAAAGTCTAGAAAGCCAGGAGCTTGATGCCCAATCAACCCAATCTTGGTTTTACTGATGTATCTGGTTGCAAAGGCAACATGTACTGCTGATATCAGTTTCTCAGAAGCCTTCTCCCAGTCAAGATTAGAATAAACGACCTGACATATTCGTCCAAGCTGTCTAAAATATCAGCTATAAAGGTGTATTCATAGATATATGTATACATAGCAAGAGTTTTTTTTATACTGTTATATTCTCAACCTATTTAAGATCAAATACTGCGGAGAAACAAGTATACTATATCAATTGGTGTCCTGCATATTTCAGGGCTATTAATTTTCCTTGAAATCAAAATAAAAAGTAGTTTTTTCAGTATTATCAAAAAAAATATGAATCAACAATTTTGATATATTTTCATAAATCAAATTTAAACCTTTGAAGCTATGAACATCTTTCTTCATGTGCTGAACAATGATGCAGCATAACAGCAGTCATAATATTTGAAATAAATTTCAAGACAACATTTCATGCCCTCTTGCTTTGAGCCTTTATATGTGAGATCTACTGTATGCCTCGTAACTGACAAAGTTAAGAGAATCAATGATTTTACTTTAATCGGCCGAATTTCCATTAATTAATGTGCAGCAAATTAATATAGAAAGATAAAAAATAGGTGGTTAATGTTTGTATATTGAAAGGGAAAGCTGAAAGATTGCCAGAGTATTGGAATTCTGATTAGTAATCATGTTTAATAACAAAACAAAAAAGAAAACAGACATAAAATTATTATTTTTGTGTATATTGGCTAACCTGAGTGTGGCTGCCATAAGATGAGTTCCAACCAAAGAGTTTCCAGAGATCATCTCTCCAGTCTGTTCCTCCGGAGAAGCCATAAAAACCAGAGCAGGTCCCCACTCTTGAGCAAGAACCGGAGCTAGTCTGCCATCACTGTGGACAAACCCCAGATAAGTATAAAATATCCATATTGGGTTTCAAAAGTTTTCTCATGCAAAAATCTTGGATATTTTCTTGTTCATCTGTGTTTTAGAAATTTACAAGAAGTTATAGCTTTTAAGAACAAATTTTGGCCTTTCACATCGGGAATATTTCGAAAATAATTTAATTTTTACATCAGAAATATTAATACTGTATTTTTAATTTTTCAATGGGTTTCATAAATAAAGAGCCTTTAAAATAACTTCATATGGTTTTTTTACTTGAACTAAATATCTGCAGCATTCCATTATCGGTAGGTTGAGAATTTGTAAATTTTGTAAATTCTTTTGATATTTCCAAAGTTCTGGGTTCATATTTTTTATTTTCAATCTATAAGAGGTGGTTTCCTGATGGTGGGCTGAATAGCAACAATAACGTTCACTTCTGCTTTCCTAACCATAAAATCATTAAAAGCTGAAATTGTTTTTGAAAAAAATTACATTTCTTTAATATATGCATTACACACCTGCAGAGCCCTACTGCTTCTCTTAAGGACCTAAATAAAATCTGCTCATTTTACATCAGAATTGTACAACAATTAGCAAAACAAAGTTTCTCGCATTTTTGTCAGGTCATTTGTAACATTTAGTTAATATATAAGAAATGGCCAATGTTTTAGATAGCCGTTTTTATTTTTCCGTTCCTTACTTTTCATGAACGGTAATTTTCGTTTGTTAACGACTTCAAAATTAATGGTTTTTACTCGTCGTTAACGGAATCTTTAGTTAATTTATAAAAACTTGCTGTTTGTTAATGGACCATTACTAGCCCTCGTCCAGTTGTTCACAGTGGAACCTGCTGTGGAAAAAATCGCCTTTAATAGGTTTCTTTACTCTCTTTTCTCTGAGTAAAACTAAAACAATGAAATACCTGTCGTCATCAACACAGATGTGTTCATCGCTCCTAAATATTGTAAACCCAGTTTTATCAAGAATGTCAAGCATCTTTGTTTTCATATCTTGGGACCATTGATTTCCAGTTGCAGGGTTTATACAAGCTGGCCATGGTCTCTTCCTATCCAGGTGGATTAAACCAACCTAGAAAAAAACATTGATTTCCAGTTGCAGGGTTTATACAAGCTGGCCATGGTCTCTTCTGATCCAGGTGAATTAAACCAACCTAGAGTAAAAAACATTGATTTTCAGTTGCAGGGTTTATACAAGCTTTTTAAGTTATCGCAAAAAAATATATATGGGGGGGGGGGGGAACAAATAAATGTACACGAGAATTTTTTTGGAATAAAGTAGAATAAAGATTTATTGATAGAGCACTGAGGAAAATTAAAAATTTTCACAAAAAAAGTTTCTTGGTTTTTTTTCTTTTTACCAAAATACAATTTTCACTTGCGTTCAATTTATTTTAACATAAATCCTGGAAATATTTTTATATTGTTTTGTAAAACACAGCTAATCCCGGTTATTTTACGCTTTTTTCTATCTTTTCTCAAGCTATACATTTGCATAATTTTATAGAATTTAAATTAACCCTCTATGCAAAGATGCCAATGCCAGATTTACAATGAACACCCTTAAAAGCTTTGCCTGATCACCTATGAAGCAGATAGCCATATTTATGACTTTAAAAACTGATTACTTTCAATTGGTGTTTCTCTACAAAAGAGACTAATGGACAGTAAAACCATGGAGTAAATATCATAATAAAAGGGAGTGACCGTCAATGTATGGTGGTGGAACTGAGTATACAGTATTGTGGACAATTTTTTTAGGATTCATTTGAGACATATAAAACGTTTCCACGATGTATAGTTAATGAGTTTAAGTGCAAAGTCAACGTTCAAAAATCATGAATTTGGGTGAGTACGTTTTCAGAATAGGTTTTTTTATTATTATTAAATAATGACTACGAAAAATTAATAAGATGCTTACGAGCATATTTCTCAAAAGAAATTTGTCAACAAATCAATTTTAGAATATATTATTTTATTATTATTATTATATTGAATTTCTTATTTTCTATGAATTTCTTCGCAGATTTCTACAAATTCTTCAAATGTAGTCTTTTCAATCAAAATTCCAGAAAATCTTTGTAAATAATGAGAGGTTATAGAAACTAATAATTGAATAAAATTACTTATTTTCGTTGATAATAGTTAATTTTTTATTTTCTCAACCTGTTCTGAAAAAAAACTAATTAGTTTACTGTAGAATTTTGTTTACATTTTTTGTCGTCGTTATTTAATAATTAAAAAAACGATTCTGAAAACATACTAACCCAAATTCATGATTTTGAACATCGACTTTGCGCTTAAAGAGACCGTTCACTTATTTGGGTAATTTCAGGGTATTTGCTGTTGATTGGTAATAGTCTTACTTTTCAAAGTCAACTGTGGCCGGAGAAAAAGCCAATTTTTTGTTCAGAATTTGAGCGGAAAGGGACGGTCCCTCTCTATAGACACTATAATTTGATGTTTTTTTCAGTATGTTGTGGATCAAAATAAATTTTCAATATAAAATTAAATTGTAGTATCTATTCGTTAATTGTAAATGTCATAATTTTAAAAAAAAATTTGTTTTTTAACTTTCTATTTCTAAAATAAAACTATTTTTTTGAATTCAAAATTTTGTATTGCCTGTGTAAAAAGCTGAATTGAACGCGGCATGAAAAATTTAAAGTTGCGCACATACGGGAACAAAATTTATAGGANTCGCTTTATTCAATGATATTTTAATACGATACATTTTATTCACATCGAACGGGAGTGAATCTACGAACCAAAATATGAGTAATGATTAATTGATTGTAGAATATAATTTTCTTGCGAAATAATACAATTAGCTGATTTATTTGATTATTATTACTATTGCTTATTCAATTTATTCGCTTTATTCAATGATATTTTAATACGATACATTTTATTCACATTGAACGGGAGTGAATCTACAAACCAAAATACGAGTAATGATTAATTGATTGTAGAAGAGAACGTCGTCTTTGTATACACTTTTTAAATGTTTTAAAACGAATAACGTAAATTTCTTGCTAACTCAAATATCAAAAGTTTTCATATTTTAGTACATAATAACGAACACATAATGACATTAAAATATGATAAATTTAAATTTTATTGGGCTGCTGTTACTGAAAAAAACATTAAATCGTGTCTATAGAGAGGGACCGTCCCTTTCCACTCGAATTCTGAACGAAAAATCGGCTTTTTCTCCGGCCACAGATGTCTTTGAAAAGTAAGACTAATACCAATCAACAGCGAATAGGCTGTTTAGTTTACCCTAAAATTACCCAAATAAGTGAACTGGCCCTTTAAACTCGGTAAATATACGTCGTAGAAACGTATTATGTGTCTCAAATGAATCCTAAAAAATTTTTCCACAATACTACATACTCAGTTCAACCACCATACATTGCCGGTCACTCCCTTTAAACCCTATTTTTCTAGCTATTAAAAAACGAAGTTATCTTTCATATTATTGATCAGATAAAGTTGTCCAGGGTTCAGTTGTAAATCAAGCATGTTCCTCTTTAAAGGGACCGTTCACTTATTTGGGTAATTTGCATACCTTTGCGCTCGAATTTTGAACGGTAAATCGGCCTTTTCTCCGCAAACAGTTGTCTTTGAAAAGTAGGACTTATACCAATCAACAGAGAATAGGCTGTTTAGTTTACCCTGAAATTATCCAAATAAGTGAACGGTCCCTTTAAATTGTTCATTTATACCTTAATTCGTGGATATTCTTCATATCGAAATATTTCACAACAAGACATTTTTATCAAACTTCTGAAAAACTTCAATTAGATATTTTTAATATAGATATGTATCATATACAGGTTTACCCACAAAGGATGAGACTTTAAGACGACTGTAAGGAATTTATACTTGCAACTATACACTTTGCCAGGTTGTTAGGTAAGCAATTAAAACTTAAAATACCCTTGAGAGCGTCAAATCTCAGAAGCTTCAGGTCGTCTTTACAGTATCATTATATATATTTATATAGTAAGGGACAACAGTAAGAACCAAAAACCTTAAAAATGGTCAAAAGATGACAACAAATCAGATGATTTTATTTTTTATAGTTAAGTTTAAATAAAAATAAATTTATTCTGGGTTTGTGAACTAGTAGTCAGTTTGTCTACGACACTAACCTTCCACTATACTAGACTGCTTAAACTAAAACCTGATATATCTATATAATTCTAAATATGTCTGTACTGTGAAAATAGGGTCATAGAAAACACACAGAAACCTGATTAATATTATTTCACAGGAGGCGATTGAACCTCGAGTCTATAGCTTACAGGGACTGTAATTCAAGTTATTCTCCATACAAAATTATAAAAGGCCCGATTTACAATAGTTCCCTTTTAATACAGGTTTTTATGATAAATCAAAATATAAAAACAACACAGCCAAAACTGTAAAATAAAAAAAAAGCACAAATTGCTATTGGCAAAAAAATGAAAGACAATGAAAACAAAACAAAACTAAGAAATTTTTTTTAAAATAACCAAACACTTATCTAAAAGCAAACAATAAAAAGGCAACTATAATTTTACATTTTTCTGTTTATTTCACAGATTTTAGATTTAAACTTGTTGGTGAACCAAGATTCTCTAACCATCCTGTAGGTTCTATTTATTTTGTACAAGAAGGGGGAAGGGGAATGGGAAGGGGAAGGGGAAGGGAAAAGAGAAAAGGAAAGGAAAGGGAATGATGAAAGTGAAAGAAAAGAGGATTGAGAAAGGGATGGGTCAGGAAACGGTGGAAGTGAAAGGGGATATAGAGCTAAGGGAAAGGGGTAATAAATGGGAAAGAGAAAGGGGGAAATTTATTGGGGAAGGGATAGAGGAAAGGGGAGGTAAGGGAAAAGTGGAAAGACGAGGGAAAAAGGGGGGGAAGGGAATGGGACGGGGATAGGAAAGCAGAAAGAGGAAGGTTAAGGAAAAGGGAAGGGAAAGATCGGGTAACGGGATGAGAAAGGGGAAGGGAAAGGGAACAGAGAAGGGGAACACGGAAGGTAAAGGGGACAGAGCAAATGAAAACAGGAAGGAAAGTGAAAAAAGAGAAAGGGGAAGGAAAAGAAAAAGGGGAGGAAAGAGGAATGGGGAAGGGAACGAAATATGAAAGAGGAAAGGGAGCAGAGAAAAGGGAAAGGGGGGAGTAAAAGACAAAGGAGATGGGATGGGAATGGAAAAGAGTAATAAGGAAGAAAAAGAGAAAGAAAAAAGGGAAAGGGGAAATTGGAAAGGGTAGGGGAAGAGGAACGTGCGGTATGTCTTGTACACATATTATGTCTAGTATACCCATTATGTAGTAGAAACTATATAGGCTGGCTGGATGAATGTGATTAATATCTCAGTCTATTTGAAGATACAGAAATGGCAGAGCACATTTTAAAACTTCAAAGTTTCTTTTGGTGACTCATTTTACTGAAATACTTTTGGTGACTCATTTTACTGAAATACTATTAGTTTTGTGTTCCTATACATAATGCCTCGTTATCAAAGACAGTTATAAAAACTTATAAAAAAAGTATGTTTTTCATTATATTGTACAATGCATACAAATAGAGATATAAAAAAACATCATCTCAGATATTTCCGTAAAGTCTTGATTTTCTTTTCTGATTTCCGTGCTAAAAATAACAAAGGGTACCTTTCACACATGCTGTTGTGTACTTACACTTTTTCTTATTTTTTAACTATAAAAATTGGAAACATTTATTTCTCACAATTTCCAAAATAGCACAAATATCTTACACTATTTGTTTGTTTATTTATTTATATGTTTAAAAATTAACTATTTTATTTTGCCAATCAAATTTTGAGAAAACAAACTGTTTCAGGAAGTAAAAATCATATTTTAGGAGGGTTATCTGGACATCCTCCTTCCCAACAGGAAAGACAGTCTTTTTTTACTTCATTTCTGTTCCCGTCCCAGGATGCCACCCAGGTTGTTTTTACTTCTGCAGTGGTGTCCTTAGCAAACTCACAAGTTAGATCAGCTATAAAATAGTTGTCACAAAACAGAGCACATTCGTTTGACACTCCACCAACTCCTAATGTGAAGTCCCCATTATTTACTTCTAGCTCCTCTTTGCAGGCTAGATTAGTTCCTAGGGCATCTGGTATTCTTAATGTGGGGCACTTACATGCTTCAAGAGCTGCAGGATCTTTTGCTTCATCAGTTCCATCTACCCATTTCCCAGTTCCAAGATTATCTGGATCCTCGATACATTTGGCTTGCATAGTCGCTGATGTGATTGGAGGAGCATGGCAACTAAAATAGCATCATCTATACTTAAAGGGACTGTAAAGGAAAAATGAAAGGGGGTATAGGATGGAACCTGAAAATCTCAGGCGTTGAACGATACATACAAGACATCTATCTGATGTTCCTGTCACGAGAAAAGGGACTGTAACCGTAATTTCAAGTGACCCTCCATTGATAAAATGATACTTCCAATTTACAACAGTACCCGGCCTTAACAACTTTGTCGGATCAATGACGTTATTTTCCACATAGTTGATCATATCAGGTCCCAATAGTACTGTTGTGAATTGAGTTTCACTTAAAATTTCGATGGCAGTTCCTTTATTAATCAAATCTAACATTAACAATATTCTTTAAAGGAGAGTAATTTACTAATAAGGTTCAATAACTATATTTGTTTGGCTTTTCACAACTTTCTTCATAAGTGTGTATGCCAAATGAATTGGTTAGTTTTGAGAATTAAAGGGAGTGTTTGCAAAAAATAAAAGGGGGTATAGGCTTACGGCGATAAATAATCGCTTTTAATCGCTACTAATCTTACTTCTATCTGTTGCGTCATTAAGGAGAAAATTGTTCAAAACGTCTCATACCGAAGAACGTAGATTCCTTTCAAACTGATCGTAACAAAATCAATTTATAATTCCAAACAAAGCATTCAGCTATTGCAACCAATACTATTCGATTAATTTTCGACGCATTCGGAAATAGTTGATATTTCATAATATTTCTTACTTTTTATGATCCGAGAGTTACTTTTGAAAATGCGTGACTAGGATTTAATCATGTGTTTGATATTAAATTGGTTATTTTTTACAATCCAAGTTGTATGTTCCAACTTTCTCAATTTGTATGGATGCTACGTACTTCGCTATGTGACATTATTAACAATTTTCTCATTTTTGACGTAAGATTAGTAAAAGTAAGATTAGTAGCAATCAGAAGCGATTATTTATAGCCGTAAGCCTAAACCCCTGTTCATTTTTAAGAACACTCCCTTTAAAGAAGGCCATGTTTCAGGCGGTAAGTTTTAAATATCATTCTTATTTAACATTTTCAAAATTAAGTTTTGTTAATGACAATTTTGAGATTCTTCAAGTTTTTTAAGAAGGTTAAATCACTTTTTGAACTTTTTAACAATAGAAAATAACAGTAGAAAATAAATTAAAAACTTCTATTTGATACATTCACATTTCTAGATTTAAGAAACTTTGAAAAGTCTTACCAAAGATTTTTCAGAATTTTATAAGAGAAAGATCAAGGGACATATTTTAACTTACTCATGTGTTGGATTACATACAGTTCCAACGGCTTGTTTATAGTAATAAGGATCATTTTTATTCGTTTGTTCTTTATCTTCGCATATCCATCGAACTATGTTATTCCCTGGACTAAAGGGAAATGTAGGACAAATTACTGTATCCGCTGGATCATCTAAAAACAACACACATTTTGTCGTAAAATACAAGCTCAGTTTCTATTTTTATGCAATTTTTATAAATCTTATTGCTTTTAGATTTGACTATATCCCTGCATGTGTAATTGAAAGCCTGGATATGTAGTTTAAAGGTGAATGTGACAAATTATACATTTCTGGAAAGCGCTTAAACAGTTTAGTTCAGATTTGCCAAAAAAAATGGTTTTGTTAAAAAAAATTTGCACAAATAAGCAAAAATATTTAATTTATCTGATAATTATATATTTTGTATTTCTGTCACTTTTTTTTAGCTTTTTGGCCTTACTAATTAAAATTTCTCTCAAGATTTGGGTCCAACCTTAGAGTTTTAGATTTTCAAAAAATATGTAATTTTTGCAAACTAGTTTTCTGATTAAGCTTTTAATTTTTTTACACCTTTTAAGGTTAGTAGTAATATTACCGCATGTCTTTCCGCTTCCTACGACAAAATCCTGTTGTTCTGCTTGTTCGTCTGTTATATCTCCTCTCGATCTGCATGCTGACAATAGCTCACAAACATATTTGACTATTACACCACCTGCACCATCTGGCAGATTCAGCTAGAAATACTTAAAGTTAAATCATTTTAATGGCTTTGTTCTAGAGAATTATATAACACATAACAGTCTCAGGCAGCGAAAATAAGTAATCTTAAAAATCTTAGATATATACAATTTTTAAAATTCCATGGGCAATGCCAGGTCTCCAATTAATTTCAAATTTTTAGTTTTATTCTTTTAATGCCTTAAAAGTGCAGTTCCCATTTAATTTAAAGTTTTAAGATTTCAAGATTTACATATATAAGAACTGCCGCAAAGGTAAGGCATTTGATCATTTGGTTGTAACTACCTTAATAAATCTGTAAGCAACACACTTATCGGTAGCAGCGGCATAAATTTTGCAGTCTTCCTCCGTAGCTATGCCATTGCCAGGCACAGTTCCTCCTCCTGCACATTCAGCCGTATCAGTTCCCTCCTGAAATTCAATTATTTGTCAATAAACTTAAAGTATTAACTAAACAATACCCTTTCAGGATGAAACTTTCTTAACCCTATCACGATGGGGGAGTGGGTAAACTGTTTTTTACCCTCCCCCCTGTGGATTTTTCTTTTTAACTAAAAACGGCTTATATTAGAACGCTCAATTTTCTTGGCTTTTCCACTTTGTACTTGTAAAATATTTTTTTATGATTAGGATAGGTCAAATGGCTGGCCGGTGTTTGAAAAAAAAGAAAAAATGAATAACTTTTTTATTTATCAAGCTTTAGATCTAAAATTGATATATTTGAAAAGCCCTTTAAAATGGATATAATAACATGTGTCACATGTCAATATTTTTTAACATTTTTTAGTCGTACTTTTTGCACTTTTTTAAAATCCTCCCTTGCACCCTAACCATTCAAGGTAGAGGTCTACTATTTTTTAATGAGATGGCCTTGAAAAAGTAGACTTATACGCTATATTACACTCTCTCATCTCAACTTTAAGGGCAAAATCGGGATAGGTTTAAAACTTGGCAGGGCAAAGAAATTGTTCAAAAAAACATCAAAAATAAGTTTTAACAAATCATTAAAGTTATGTCAAAAATTCTCGGAACGAGGTCAAAGTAATGTATTCATCATATCATATATATAGACATAATTAAAGAATCAGCTTCAAATTAAAACCTAGCTTTCAGGATCTTACATGCCTTGCGGCAATGGTAGATTAATTATTTTATATGTATATATAAGAAGAATGTATAAAAGAAACATTATGTCGATACAATAAAAACTCAAACCATAAGTTGAAGACTTCTTTTCTTATATTTATACATAAACTAAAAAATGCAATAACATCCAATAAAACTTTATGGCATGTTTTTAATACTTATTTTCTTATATACATATTACAATATATATATATCTGTATCAAATAGATTATCAAGTACAAAAGGTGGCAACAGAGTAAAGGACCAATTGTACACGAAGTCACAAGTGTCAAATATAACAAGGAAAACGAAATTTTCTCACTTTAGTTGACATGTTTTCCAAGATTAAAAAAAAAAGTGTTAAAACAGAAAATAAAGAACACATAAAATTGCACTTATTTTTCTATAATTTTAGCACTTTATTCTAAAATTATCACTTTCATTAATAGTTTTGTCGGACACAAAAACTAAGTTGACACTTGTGACGTAAGAATAAAGCTGTCCTGAGAGTGAGTAAAAATTCTACATTTGCCATCTATAGTACTTGAATCTATTTGTATCTGTATACTTTGCACTTATCAGATAATCAAATAATAGGGATACAAATAGTTTTTTAAATATTTCATTTATTTGAATAATATTTCTATAAACCTGTGTGCATGTATCAATTAAATCTGTCCCATCTCCCTGTGGTCGGTAATAGCACATGGTTTTACACCATCCGCCAGCACAGTCTTCCTCGCACTATTTATTTGTCAAAACAAAATGTGTTAAAATAGTTTAAGGTATGTTAAGGGGTTCATGACTAAAGAATTGAACTGAGGCCGAATTTAAAGAATTTGAGCCGCTTTTCAAATTTGAGACGGGGCTCAAACATGGTTGGTTCCACTTGAAATTGCATTCAGTGTTTAAAGATTTCAGCTGGCGCTTAATTGGAACCGGTTTTTTGCGGTTTAGCGACTCGGTTTAGATTCATAAAATTCAGCCTCGGAATGGATTAAGCAAAGTTTATACATATTTAGGTTGTATGTATTTGTGTAATTAAAGAAGTCTTAGCACCCGACTTTTAAAAAATCAGAGGTGGGCATGTTTTCTATCAGAATTAAGGTTAGAGTCTTTGCAAATTAGAAAATACCTTTGGCTCATCTGCCCTTGCAAAACTGCCTAGAAGCAACAGTAAACAAACACCCTGTGAATTGAAGAACATCCTGGAGAAGTCTGATTATATGTTTAAACATAAACCTCAATATGAAGGCATTGTTATCTTTTTTAACAGTTGATGAAGTAGACTCAAAAATATTCATATCGAATTAAATTAAATATAAAAAAAATAATTAATTATGCCTGTACAAGTTTACACACTTGAACTATGGAAAATTTGCTTGGAAGATGTATTAAATTTTCTCATTTTTTACAGCTTCTCAATGTTTGTCAAGGTTTTTGGGATAAAAACTTCTTTAAACATTAAATTTATCTTTAGAATAAACAAATACCTGTCCTAAACTCAAACGTATAAGCCTAGAAATAGAAAAACACCACAAAAGAAAAAAAATGTTATTTTGTAATTACATTATTAAAGATTCAAGGCTTTAATAAATCAAATTCATTTCGCGATAGTACTTGGTATTTTCATAACTTTATATTTAGAATAAATATATTTGAATATATATTTATATTGAGAATGAAAATATATGAATTTATTTAGAATAAATATATTTTAATATGTATTTATATTTGGAATGAAAATATATGAATTTATTTAGGATGAATATATTTTAAATATGTATTTATATTTGGAATGAAAATATATGAATATATTTAGAATGAATATATTTGAATATGTATTTATATTTAGATGAAAATATATGAATATATTTAGAATGAATATATTTGAATATGTATTTATATTTAGAATGAAAATATATGAATATATTTAGAATGAATATATTTGAATATGTATTTATATAGATAGAAGGAAAATATATGAATATATTTGAATATGTATTTATATTTAGAATGAAAATATATGAATTTATTAAGAATGAATATATGAATACGGCTGGGCATCATTCTTAATGAACGATTGTTCTTTCGCAAGAACAAACGGAACTATCAAGACTGATCCCATGGTTCCGAAAAAAAGACTGGAACGCAAAGAACGCGTTCTTAAAAATATTGGAATGGAACGGAGAAGAACTGAACGGATATTAGCTTAAAAGAACGTGTAAAATCAGGAACTCGTTCTCATTATGAAGAACGAGTTCTAAGTCCTGGGCAGGGGCTCTCGGATCCATGTTATAAGTACGCAGGTTTATCAGTTGGTGGTCCAGAACTGCCTTAATCTCTCTTTCACGTTTAATCTTTTTAGGCATAAATGTAAGACAGGTTTTCCTCAAGTCAGCGTTATACAGGCCCATTAACATATTCGTCTTGAATTCTACTAAACTCCTCCGGGCTGGGGGGTAGGCTTGCACAAATAACCTCACTCCTCAGTTTGTCTGTGTAGTGTGTAGTACTGCCTAGCATCTTCATTCCTCAACTGTCTCCGTTGCAAATATTCCATCTTCCTGCCCTCCTCATCTTTCTCATGGGTAAACTTTTTTAGTAATTCCTGGAAGAACTCACCAATCTCATAGTTGATAAAGGCCAACCCATCAGGTTTCAACAATACTATCTCAGACTGTGCCTTTCCCGTTATACAGTCTAGCAGCATCCTCTTTATTGCATCATTTGGGATCGTTTCACACTTAAACCTTGACAGATGTTTCTCCAACTCCCCACACCAGTCAAACACCTTACAGGGGTTACCATCATAGGTCGGGGCTCTACAGCTAAAATCCAACAGTCTCTTTTCATAGTCCGCCTCCGCCTTGCTCAGATCTCTGAGGGTATGTCTATCTGCTGTCCCCTCCGCCTTCTCCTTCTTCAGCCAGGACATATAGTACTCTTGTGAATCCTCCACCTTCTGTCGCTCTAACATTGCGACTACTCTACCGATGGGATCCTGTGTCTCTGGTGTCGCTGATTCTTGCCAGGTTTGGGCAAAAGATTTATCCTTATCTTTCTGCTTTATCTCCGCCATTTCCTTCTTAGTCTCCGCCAGCTGAGCTTGTAGCAGTATAATCTGCTGCCTCATCTCCGCCATGCCGTCCAGTCCTGGGTGAGAGGGTCCCTCCATCTCTCCTTCCGATTCAGAATCGTCACTGGGTAGACTGGGATAACCTTGAAAGGTGGCCACTGTATTTCCTGTAGTCACACTTGATACTCTCACAGGCAAATCCTCTCCTGTTAACACTTCTCTGGCTAATCCGTTAAACCAGGTTTTCACTTTACTCTTTTTCCGAAATAATTTCGGAGTCTCGGGCATCTAGATTTGGGGTTATATTATATCCCACCGCTGCCACCACTTCTGTAAACTATCTAGATGCTATAACTTCAATGATAACTCTACTCAAAGTCTAATTAGAACATATCTAACTCTATCTCTTGCCAAAACTCAAGGCTCTCTATATTCTCAGCCAATACTTAAGGCTCTGTATACGTCCGTTTTAATCAATGAATTCTATTGAACTACTTTATTTATAAACAGGTAAAAATGAAACTGACCGGGCTAGCCCAGCTGGGTCAACATACAGATAATTAAGATAAATATATTACTAGCATGAATAACAAAGATAGCATTGCACATCGTTACAGAATATACTTCAGGATGCAAAGGAGGATTTTTAAAAGGTTAAAAAAATACGTCGAAAAAATGTTCAAAAATATTTCAATTTTTGACAAATGTTATATATAATTCGTCCAATTTTCAAGGGCTTTTCAAATATATAAATTTTAGCCATGTAGAAGTAAATATTTCCATTTACTGCTTAGCGCTGATTTAAGGATTCATCTCTCTGATCGGATAATGAGATAGATAGAAAGATAGATGTTACCGCCTTACTATTTCTATTGGTTCAGAATAGTCCATTAGCGCCTCATCCAATCTGGATGAGGCGCTAATGGACTCGGGATACAGGAGTGCTGTGCATCCAAAAAAATGTGCTCACAACTATGATGTTGAGAAAGTGAAGAAGTTTCAGCGTTCTAATGTAAGCCATTTTTCTAAGTTTAGAAAAAAACACAGGGGGGGGACCCCCCCCCCCCCCCAGCTGTGATAGGGTAAATAATATATATCCGGATAACAAAAAATGTTCAGAACACATTTTTAGAGTTTTAAAGTTACAGTTTACAAAATTTTCGGTGACGTTTTACTATTGAATAGGTTAAAATGACTCTCAGGCGGCCTTTTATCAATTATTTTTAGGATACATTTATTGAAATTATTTTCTGCAGGATTAATATAAAGATAAAGAAATCTTCGGACTTAATTTTTTGCCATTTTAATATACCTAAACTTGAATATGATACAATTTACTTAATAATAGCCAACAAAAGTTGCACCTGTTGCGAGAAAACAGTGAAAAGTGAAATATTTCCGGCCTGCTCTAGAGAAAAGTTTCCTCCAAAAATTCTAGAAAAACGTAGAAAAACGTGGAAAAACGTAGAAAAACGTAGAAAAACATGGAAAAATGCAGAAAAACGTGGAAAACGTGAAAGAAACTAGACCGGGTTTTGTTTGTGGAAGGGAGAAACTGGAAAAACCGAGAAAGATAAGGATTTGACACAGAGGCAAAGATAGACACTCAGCCAACTCATCTCACGAAACCTGGATTCCAAGAGGAAATGGGGTTCATACAGTACACATACTGCAAGGTATGCAGGGGTTTGTTTTACACTATTATTTTGGCATATATTTACATCATATATTTAGTAAAATGTAAACTAACAAAAAAGGAAGTAAACAAAGGAAGCACTGGAAAAACAACTTGTTTTAAGAATACGTACACAAACAACCCCAATTTTTCTAAAATTGAGTTTTGACCAGCCTGCGGCGCCTATTATATATACCTGATAGATTTACACTTTATTCTATATTCTATAGTTGCGGTATAAAGTTTGAATAACATTAATATATTTACGTGGAGAACTAAAGATGTGTCCATCTGGGTGTCTGTTTGTGTCCAATAAACGTCAAAACGGCTGAACCATCGGGTCCAAATTTTGTGTAGAACCCAACATAACCCCAGCTAGGGAATGTTTATGTACGCTCAAAATAAACAAAATTTATGTCTAAGCATTTTTTATTTTTGTAAAATTTTGAAAATGTTGAAAAAAATATTATGAAATCCACAATTTTTTTTTGTTTTGTTTTATGCTGTTCAAAGAGAAGATGCTCACAGATGAAGCCAAAATTAAAACTTAAAAATAGAAGATGGGCGTGAAGCGTTTTAAAAAGCCTAGTATATATATATATATATTGTATGCATATATATAGTATATGGATATATACATACACCCTTACATATAATATATATGTATGGGCGATGAGCTTTATTATAGATGATCATCGGTGCGGGTACCCTTGAAACTGTAATTCGATAAATAATCTGGCAGACATAAAAGTATATAATTATGAAAATTTCTTCTTTTTTTCTGTGCAAATCAGTTTAGTTGAAAAAACCACAAATGAAAATAATCAGTTTTCAGAAACAAAAACATAGATACAAAAAGGTTACAGCGAGCTTCCATGAGGAGTACAGCATGAACCTTAGAAGCATAGACACGTATATATAAACGTCAGTCTATTCCTAACGTTCTGTGCTCAGTACTACCCACAAAGTCTATTTAGGTTACAGTATACAGAGGGAAACTATTTGAACGAGCCACTGGTAGAAGAGATGACCAGAGTATCTGTAGTAAAAAGCAATCCTGCTGATGTAGCTGAAGCTGCTCTAGATGTAGATGAAGTTAATCCTGCAGACCTTGCTCCTCTCGTCAGTGGAACTGCTCCCATTGTTACTGTACCAGCCTCGAAGGATGGAGATGTAGCTGAGGACAAGGTATAGGACAAGAATGAGGACGATGATGCGGAGGATCTGATGAAAGTACTGCAGGAAGTTCTAGACAACCTGGAGGAACTAAACAAGGAGGTTAGAGACCTCCTGTCCCCCTCTCCTGGGGGCACCAGAACCCAACAGCCCCCTCCGGACCCACGTATTGATGTATGGGACACCGGGAAGGCTTGGGAGTAAGATTATAACCTTCACCCTGAATCAAGCATGAATGATATCAGTGTCAGGTTGTGCAACCAGGTTGAAGACCTGCTCCAGAAGATGCAGGAGCGCGTCAACCAACAGACCTTGAA